CAGTCAAACACATTCGTATCAGGTAGAAGATTTTATTGCTTTGTTATTGTTATCAAATACTAAAAGCTCACCTTTTCTGACATCAAATTTTGCGTGTAACGTTAGAAAACAAACAAGACTTTCACATGCCTGGCAAGCAAGGAAAAGCTAGCATTTAGAATTCGCAAAAGTTTGCTCAAAGGAACTACAATGTAACAGTTTTCCTCAGTGCAAATTTTCCACAATCTGGCACCAAGGCTAAGGCCATGTTGATTTGATTATATGGATGACATCCTCTGGGAACCCCAAAACTGATGCGAGCGTGCGAATAAAAAAAAAATTGGCCAAAAAAATTGCTTTCGTTATTATGCTACGTGGTTTTAAAGGTTGAACAAATGACAGAGTATGGTCTGGCGAATAATCTAGTCTTCAAATTCATTTCTTTACATTTTCGTCTTTTTCGTTTTATTTTGGCAATCTACGACATTGGTATCATTTTCCAATGTGTCTTTTTTTTCAACCTACGGTATATGTTTCCTCGTTTCACAACTGTTTTGTACGATTTACAGTATGGTTGAAAACTTCTTTTTTGTTGTTGTTGTAAATGGCCGAAAATTCATGTGTGCGAGGATGTCATCCATATAATCAAATCAACATGGCCTGACTGCAAGTTGACCCTGGACTGGAGCTAAGAAGCTACCTATATAATGTCTGGCAGGTTGTGTAAGAAAGCTCAGTCTGTTGTTCCCAAAACTAATTACAAGTTTGGGCATTGCCAACATGTTTACAGTGAAGATCGTTCAAGCATGCAATGTACCTTTTTGACTAAAATGACTCGTTTTTTTGTTGATCTTTTCAAAATTCAGTTATCAAACTTTCCCAGACCATGTACCACTAATATACTGTGAGGTCTACAAAATCAGCATACACTTTAACTGGTATGCGCTCATATAAAAGCTCAGAAGACCTATCATATAACTGACCTAAAACTACAATTTATTAACTATTATATAAAGATGGCCAACTGGCCTAGATGCATATATTGCACATGAAGCAAAGCATTTCATTCATATTATAGCATAACAAGTTACAGTATCTAGTTCCATATGTTAATTTCTTTCCAACTTTAAGAGTAATGTAACTTGTAAGGGAATGCAGGCATATAGCAGAATATGACATGAAAATTTGCTCACTGAATACAGATCAAGTCATGTAATGCTACCCTACGCAGGAAAAGCAATACTAGTATATTGTTCTTGCCAAGTACACTCAAGATCCAATAGTTTATTGCTACTGCTAGAAAGGGTTATTTAATCTTCACTGAATGCCTGCATTTCCAGTTGCAACTTCTATTGACAAGTAGCAGTATTACTATAATGATTACTAGTAGTTAACTATCATCTTCGCTTTAGCAAATACATTGTATATTCAGCATAAGTACTAGTATTAAAAGCTGAGCAGTAATGTCATTATAGCACCACAGTTCATTGTCACTGTCAGCAGTCTTATTATGAAATGCAAAATGTTTTTCACTTTTAAGTCATCAACAACTTGAATACTTCCTAATCTAGCTTTTTTCTGTTACCTACATGTATCTATAATACTTTTACGTAATGTTCTTTCCTTTATTTCTACCAATATCGGTTCTAGCATAAGACTATTCATTAATAGTTAAGTTAACAAGTGTTGGAACTAAGTTAGTTACAGTCCTACTTACGCCACCTAGCAGTCTGTTATCAAACTGCAGTTGTGCAAACTCTCGAACATTCAAAGTTTTGGCAACCTACATGTGTATTAGCCCTGTACTGTCTCTGCCATTGCCATCTATATATCTGCCTATCAATATAACAATATTCAATACAGAGCATGATTGTCAAAGTTCAGTTTCTTGGATGTTGTTTTACCAGCTTTCTCCATCAAAGCACAAATACACGGTACCTAATAAGGTAGTATAACAATTTTATCACTAGTCTTGTTACAGCTATTAAAATCCCTATCAATGTTTCTTCTGCTTTAAGGTAGCAAGACTACTAGATGCCAAATGGGCTCATTTTTATGTAATCTACATGATCTCCAGGACCATTATGTATTAACTTTTGCCTTTCTCTAAGTACATTTTGTACCTTGAAGATCTATCACATTTTGTAACATCTCTTATTCTCAGATATAAGCATCATATTCTACATTTTCTTTGGTTAGGTTTGGGGAGGCTTGCATGATGAGATCAATGAGCAAAAGACAGAAAATTAACACTATTCGTAAGCAGAAATAATGAAGGAGTTAGGGGGTCATGACTGAAGTAAAACTTGAGAGAACACTATGTATCATAATGTAGAAAGAATCGAGGTGCTAGGGGGTCCTAATGCTTAACAGAGAATAAAAAGAATAAATCTCAATGCACTTGCCTGTAGCTAAATTTCTATTATAATAATTGGAGTTAAGGTTAGAGTTAGGGTTGTGTTAGAATTGGGGTAAGGGTTGAAATTACAGTTCAAGTTCTGCCCAAATTACTAGGTACATTTTGTACTTTGGAGAGTACCAATGGTTTAAGGGTTTTTCTACACACAACCTTCTAAGTAAATGATGATTGAGTTGAATCAAAAATGCTGCACAGGTATCATTAATTGTTTTTTATCTTGTAACAAGACCCACCTTCTGCTAAACTGTGTAACTGAATCTAACAAAAAGTTTAAAAGATGGATGTAAAATATTCTTAACTGTCTAACCGAAAAGACAATTAATTAATATAATTATATGGTGATCTTTGCAAACAATAAGAAACAGAAAGTCATGCAAAACAAGGACAACAATCAAATATGAAAAGTAACAAACTTCCTTGTTTATTGACAGAAGTAAAAGTTACAAAAACTGTTGTACAAAGCTAAATAATGGTAAATAAAGTTTTGGTCTCCCTTGCTAGAATGGAATGTACAGCAATATCATACTATACTGTTGATTTAAAATTTAGAAATTAGCAATGGCATCCTGTAAGAGTTTTAGACTCTAATGTGCAATGTTATCGTACAAATTTCCCAATCATTCGTCTTGTTGACTTAATTGTTCCCAAATAGTAGTGCAACAATGTGATACAACCTGATGTAACCCAACACCAGTTACCATGGTGATAGACAGTCTGGTTCAGGTCATTGACCTTTTGTGTAAAATGCCTACATTACAATCAACAGTCTTCTGAAAGATGCCAGTCTATGCATGATTCAAGTTTTCCACATGCTTTTTTCTGTGGTCAGTTGGTTGCATTTTTCCAGCCAAATATACACTACTGGTAGTATACATATAGTACTATCCTAAAAGTTCATCTGTGTTGGTAGTTACATGTTTAAAGTTAAAACTTTTGGTCCAACACAAAAAATTCTCTCACCTAGAGCTTTCGACCAGTCACTCCGGTCTTCCTCAGTAGACTGACCCAGTGAGGCTTGACCCAGTGTTGACGTCACCCTTTCAAGAAGCCACGTGACAAGCCTCACTGGGTCAGTCTACTGAAGAAGACCAGAGTGACTGGTCGAAAGCTGTAGGTGAGAGAACGTTTTGTGTCGGACCAAAAGTTTTAACTTTAAACACTACTGGTAGCAATTAAAAGGTTTAATGAAAGGACAGCATCAATCCTAGAGTTAGGATAGTAGGCACATACAGTCAAACCTGTCCAAGTAACCATTTGCCTTGTCAATAGTGACCACTAGTCCCAAGTGGTCTTCTAAGGCAGTTTTGCCTGTATGTATGTAGCATGTACAATTGTAATGATGTGTATTGTACAGTGTACAATACTGTCACAGTGGTCTTTTCTTTTACATGTATGACTGTAAAATCATAGAACCATATTGCCAATCATTATTGCCATTATGTTGTTCTAAATTGAAGGTAGGCATACATGTACCAAGTAATTCAACAAATTGGGTTAGCCTCCTTGTCAGACTTTTGGGAGAAGCAGCGATAATTTCTTTTGTTTTGGGGGGGGTGGGGGCTGATATGGGATTTTTTTTACATGGGCTAAGGTTCTCTAATGCAGCAAAGGGAGTTATAGAGGGAGTTATGTCTCTCCGAAAAAGCCCCTCCCCCCGAAAAGAAACCACCACTCTCTATAGCCGCTTGTACAAATGTTGTCCCACTAAAACTCTGCGTAGGAGGCTATATTATAATGCTGCTATATCTACTTCACCTATTCCCATGATACGACATACTAAAACTCTACCGCTAACAAAAAATATGGTCTCTTCCAAACATAAAGTTTTTGGCATAAGATTTTGCAGGGTTTCTCAATAAACCTAACATCTGTGTAGTCTCATGCAATAATATCTCTCTTAGGAAATATTTTTCAAGCTCTTCTCTTATAGCTTTGGGCCAATATACATATAGTTTTTCACTCCATAAACATTGGAAGATTAGACTTGATTTACATGTAGGCAAAAATCTGACTGTACGAAAACCGAACACATGCGACGCTATGAAAACTGCGTAGATTGACGTGCTTTGACGTATGTCAGGAACGTACGTTCAGATTGCACGCCAACCCTCGAAGTAACAGTAACATACATGTACCAGTAGCATACGGCAGGAACATACTCTACATGTACGTGCAGGAAAAAGGACTTGTACATGTACATGTACGCAGTTTTCATACGCTCGCGTGCGTACAAAGCCTTTGTACCATCTAACTCAGTTTCTTGTCTGTATCTTTTTTCTTGTCTTCAGGGATTTGAAAGTACATGTAGTTCCCTTAGGAACGAACAACCATATCTTGAAGTACAAAACGCACATTGCAATCAGATTGTACTGAAAATTAAGCAGATTTGCAAAGAATACACTTGCTATAGACTGAAAATACAGCTTTATGCTTTGACTACTAACAATAATACTCCTTTGCCTAAATATGAGAAGAACAGATATTGCACTGGCAAAAGAAGTTCAAAAAGAGTTGGTCTTTGGCCGAACATTAATTTTCTATCAATGACACATGGGATAGTCAGAGATGTTTTCTTCTTGCAGACCATTGCAGAAACAACAACATGCACTTTGCCCCATAGAACACTGCAGCGGCTTTAATTTTGTTTCCACGCTTTCATACTGATTTATTTGATGAATACAGCCTAAAGGGGGCTTCCTGTTAGAGGATGTACTGCATGGTACAAGCTGCATTTCTGAGCCAAAGGATGTTGAATGCATAGAGAATTCTCAATGAAAGCACTGTAGTGACTATTAACAGTGGCATTGTAAGCTCTCACACTCACTATCCGGTTTATAGTCTCTTGTTTAATCCTGACAATGTCTTGCAAGGGTTAGGCAAGTTTGCAATTTAGAAAAAAAACAGCCGTGCCAAGTATTCGGGACTTCACGCCAATTTCCGTCTATTAAACGGCTGTCACTTTTTGAACTGGTCGATGCTTTATTGCAAAACATAGTAAAAAATGTTGAACTTTATTAATTTGTACTTGCATAACGGCACACTTTAAACGTGTTAGCGTGCTCCGGAGTGACCGTTTCAAATGGAGACGGAAGTTACTTCTGACCCAAACCCAGCCTGACTACCTCTACCCATCCACTAACAACTAGTGCTGTGTAGCTAGACCCACATTTAGGTTCAGGTCCGGATTCAAGTCCAGAGGTTTAGGTTCAGTTCCGGACTCGTAAGTCCGAACCTAAACCCATGGCATATACAAAATTGTATGTTGGCAACCTTGCAATGTTGTTTGAGCAAAACTTTGGCCACATACAAATGTAACATGGAGGCCGACACTTGACAATGCCCGATGGCAATGTTTTCTTCATTTTGCAGCACAGATTTTGCAATCTATGGAAGGTTTTAGGTAGTTTGGAAAGAAAAAGGGTATGTGGCATGGGTTTTTTTGGTGATAAGTCTGGAATCGGTTCTTGACCTCTAGGTTTTTATGGACTTGAACCTAAACATTTTTACAAGTCCCGGGACCTGTCCAGTGAACTGGTACACAGCACTACTAACAACCCTGAGGAAAAACCCAATCATCCCGGCACCGATGCTGACAGACGCTTTGCAGACTTGCTTCGACGAGCAATACTAAAACCTTATTTTGAGTTGACCCCAAGTGCGGAGCGGGTTTTCTCGTACACTACGTAGCTGATGCTGACGGCCGGCGCCACCTTCATGAAGTTGGGTGCAATGCCTCGGTACAGCCCCCGCAGACCCTCGTCCTTTAAAATCCCCTGGAACAAACCAACCATGGTGTCTCTGCCAGGGATGGGGGTGGCTGGAGGGACGAAAAATACAATTATTACTTGAAAGGTAACATTTGCAAAGCAAATGCATAATGTTTACCTTCACATACATGTATGGTCTGCTCTGTTAATTCTTACTCAAGCACATTCATACATACATGTACAATGTATATGGTCAGACAGGAGTCGACATGTAAATCCCTCCTGCTATAAAATTGCAACATGATGTACAGGTAACCCAACATCAGTTACCATGGTGACAGATGTTTGGTTCAGGTTCAGATGAAGTCAACATACATGTACCAGGTTAAACTTTCTAACAATGAATTTTAACTTTTAATCAAACCTGTAAATACACTGACAGATGGAAAAACTGGGAATAAAACTAAGTACTAGGAAGACAAGGCTTTCTTCAAATGTTGGGCCAAAATACAATTATGTATGAACATTTTGTGGTTGGTTCAAAACCTGCATTTTTTTCTGCAAAATCAGAAAAATAAAATGGGCGAATCTCCAAACCAATTGATCTCATTGGTGAGGGACTTACATCACATTTCCAAACCGGGGCCCGGCCTGGCTGCTTGAACAAGGCAAACAGGTACACATGCCTATTCGGTAACCAAAATTTACTGAACTCTTTACTTTTTCTTTTTTTTTTGAAGGAAGGAATCTTAATTCAACTTGAAGCCTGAATTTTGTTGAATGTACAAAGTTTAACTCCACACTTACTTTGCGCCTGTAGCCTGGTGCGGATGAGAGCCAGCGGGTAGCTGGCCAGCTGTCCACAGGTGCTGGAGATGGTTCCACATGCCAGCAGCACCATGACACCTGGGTTGGGCTGGTTCTTGTTCTTGGCTAGGTACATGTTCTTCAGCGTCTGTTGGGGACAAGAACGACAATCAGTCGTCCCAGTTATCATTCTATAAACAATTTAGACCAATTTACAAGGCCAGGCTCAACTACCTGAAACTGACATTAGGAACTGAATGATACAAAGCAAAATTGCAAATAGTTTGCTCTGTAAGCATATCTACCCTTCTAGATTTAAAGGTACAAATGTATTATATAAGAAAAAGTTTAGTTTAGCCTCCTCCTACCCTGAAGATGCAATTAAATTTAAAACCTGATACCAAAAGAGCAACATCATATTTGCTATAAATCTTAAAACCAACCAACCTTATAATATTTTTTTTCAAATTACGTATGACACATGACAAATACAAATACATGTAGTCCTTGCCCCATACAAAACTGCTCCTTCAAATTGAATAGTACAGTTAATGATTTATTCAGTGCAAATATAAAAACAGCGGAGGGCCTAAAAGGGACCCTTGTGGGACACATATCCTGGAAAATAAACTTCTTTAATCAGTAAGTTGCAATGTTGTGAACACAACAACATGCAGAGATACAGGATCTACTTCTACAGAGCCACCACCACATACACGACGTAGACGTTGGGGCATTTGTTGAAAAAAACATTCAAAATTAATGTTAAAAAAAGGTGTCATAATAAACATATCTCTAACACCATCACCATTGAGGAAAGCTACTGCTGGATAAATAAAATGGGATGGATACAGACGCGACTCTACATTTAAGAAAAAAGCAATCAGTTAACCTGTAAAAATACAAGTTGCATACCTGGCTCTTGCACAAATCTAATCCTAAAACTGAAACTGAAATCTGATATTGAAGACCTAAACGGACCATCCTACATTTTGTAGCTCTAGTTTCTTAAAATATTCTGCACCTAAAAGTGCCTTAGCAGAGCAATCATGCTATTAATCCATACATATAAGGGTTTAATGATGGCATTCAAAGCACTAGTATGCAAGACTGTGTAAGGGAAATATTGGGGGGTCTTAATTAGTTTCAGTCGATGAGCTACATGCATAAGTATACATGTAGTAAACAGCTAGACACACTAAGGGGTCTTAATACTACAGTAGTTGGTTGTTATAAACTTCATAACACATTAGAAGATAATTTTCTAATTTTTCTTGAAAAAGACATAAAACTGACAGACTGGGTAAAGAAAAATTGTGGTGATAGAGTAATGAGAAGAACTTTATTTAGCTTGTACCTTAAATATTATCATTTTAGGAACTTTTGCAAACAATATTTATCCATAACCTATACCAAATGCAAGTACCCAAACAGTATCAATCCTCTTATAATATGTCAAACAGAAATCAACTGTATAAATGGCATTTAAACCTTTTCTAATTTAAATAGGTCTCGGTTATTTGCAAGAATTAAGTCATAGTCTTTTACAGAATACTGGTCCTGAATGGACTTTACAAAACCAACTTGAAGATAGTTAACTTTGCTGACATTTTGGTGTCTATCAGACATCTTCCTCAGAGCTTCTGCCTGGAGTTCTGCTTCTCGCCGCTATATGTAGCCGTTGTAGGTGGCGCTTTTGCGGCAAGAACACAACCCCCAGACACCAAAACGTCAGCAAGGTAAACTATCTAGGTTGTGAACAAGAAAATTCCTGTATCCTATACTTTACCAACCTGATGAAACTACATGTAGTACGTATTTTCAAACGTCTAGTCTTTTACAGAGGGAACAAAGAAAGAGTTGAGGAAGAAGTTGAAACTAAGATCTGGACCCCGAACCTACCCCGTCCTCTTTCTCATCATCATCTGTTTCCTGAGGCTCGTTTCTCCGCAGCCATCTCTCCGAATGTTGAACCCACATAATCTTTAATGTCTTTAAGGCAGCAGCAGTGCGTGAGAAGGAGAAAAAGAACGGACGTCACAGGTGAAAGATGCTTCAGGCGGGTTACTAAACTCACAGTCACACACCGATGATGACGTAAAAACTACATGCGACTATAGGGGAGGGCATACAAATGAGACAGGGGTTAGAGAAGGCCAGCTATAGCCGTAGCAGTAAAAAAAAAATGTAGCACCAAAGTTATGTATGTGAAACACCGGTACCATTCCAACAGAAAAAAAGGTGAACATTACTGGTAACGAAATTAGTAGATTATTAACCAATGAAAGGTGCCCAATGCAGTTTTAGAGCTTGAAAACAAAAGTCAATATTCTAGTCACTTATCTACATGGTAAGATGCAGGAACAACACGAATTTCTCATTGTATATTGACATTCATGGAGCAAAAATGCAATGTTGTGTGGTGAGATCGACACTGAAAATCTGCAGGCTGCTTGCGCAACTGGGAAGCCAGCCATTTTCAAAATCTTCCAAGCAGGTTCCTAAAGGACTCATCTTGGGGCTTGTTTCTGTGCTTTCTGTGCTGTTTTAAATGCCCAAAGTATGAAATGGTGACGAAAACATGCCACATGTTTGTAAGAAATTGCAGTAAAAACAGGCTTTAAGCTAAGATTTTTTTGTTGGGTGTCTATTTTTTTATAATATGCTATGTGCAGTGAAGAGGTGCAGTGCACAAGCTTTTTTTTGTTTTTTGTTTTAAATTCATAATGCTCTCAAGCACTAACTTTTTTAATCTTGGGGTACAAATTTTGAGGAATTTGAGTTCTTTCCTTCAGTAAATTATCATTTTTGTATTTATAGTTAGGCATGTTTTATAGGGAGGCATGTGTGCATGGCAGGGGTTGGGAGTGGGGAAAATAGGGTATCTTTAGGGTTACCTAATAAAAAGTAGGGCGTCCAATTTCTTATTATTTTTAGTACCGGGCATCCAAAAGACTAGCTAAAAGCGTGAGTCATCATAAAACAGATTTTCTTATTTAGAATATTCTTTGTTTTGCTGCCCTGAAATTGCATTGGATGCCTCGCATTGGGTATCGCATCCTTAACCAAAGAAGAAAATACAGAAACTGAAAAACTGTGCCTTCTCCTCAAACCTACCCACACCAACTCATAACACGAAACGGAGTATTAAAAAAATTGTGAAAACTGGAAGGAAAAGAGACAGAGAAAAGAGCATGAACAAGCTTTCTGCAATAAACATTTTTTTTTTATTTTCCAACAACGATATTTGCTAACGATGCATGTAGCTAGGGTAGCGAGCGCGACAGGACTTGGCGAAACATTCCCCACTTACCTCATATATACACAAGTCTATCCCAGCGTATGGTAGAACGCCAAGTATATTGGGGATGTACCCCTTGTAGAACGCCCGTAGCCCCTCCCGTTGGTAGATCTTGACAGCACAGTCCCACATTCCCGAGTACTGCCCCGTTTTGCGAATGGCAAGACGCGTTTTCAGTACCTAAAATCAAGAGACGAGTTAATTGAGCAGACACAAAAAGGATTACAGACATGAATCTTTTCACATTCATATTATCATAACATACCGGTAAGTTCTGCTGCAGTACCATAACAAGCCGCCAGGGGGTCAACATCTTATCATTTCGAGCTATCAAGACCTACCCACCTAGCAAATATCAGGACATTCCATCTAAGCATTCTAGACTTATCGTGTTGGCGTACATAGGCACAAATCCTACCCAAAACATAACCTTCTAGGCAAAGGTACTTACCTCCATGGGATAGATGGATGTTTGAGAGATCATGCCGGCCAGGGAACCAGAACAGAACCTCTCCACCACACCCAGAGACTGGCCTTCTCTTGTGAACAACTTCTTCAGCTGCAAAATACACAAAAAGTTAGAGGTGGCAAGATATTAGGGTTTAGGGTTGTTGACTGACTCCGATGCTTCTGCTTCTGGGTTCGAGTTCCTGGCAGGCCCCAGGGTAGTGCCCTTATGAACACTGAGTAACATCCTGTAGCTTTGGCTAGGGACATCTTGGATAGGACATAAAGCCAGAAGTCCTGTGTTTGGGAAGAGTCAGACCTTGAGCACGTTTAAAGATCCAATCACGTTTGTCACAAAGAGTAAGGGGTACTTCCCAGTGTGAGTGGAAGAGGTGATAGTCACCTGTTATGTCAATCTTTCCACAAATGTGGTAAATCGTCATATATAAATAAATAAATAAAAGAAATGTTCCACTGTGGGAAGCTTTCAACAAATAATACAAGTTCAATACACAATAAAACTTTGATAATCTCAAATATAGCAATCATTTGCACTTACTTCATGGAAAGAGTATAGATGACAGTATTCATTAGATGATGATACTGCATCAATATTAGCGAATGCATGCTATTCTTCACACTACGAAAAAATGACATTTCTTGCATTCTTGTTTTTTCTTACACACAGAAAATATTTCATCATGGAAGCAAATTTTTCTGTGTACAAGAATTTTCAAGAAAGAGATTTTGTCCACGAACAGAGCAATTTTTTCTTCTCGCACTTTTTCTTGCAATTATCTTTCTTATAGGTTTCTATAAAGTAAACTTTTAGAATCTTATTCTTATCGAATTCTATTCTAGATTCTTCTTGAAATCTAGTAAGACTATTTCTATGGATGTTTGTGATGCAGACAACTGTTCTTATAGAAAGACGGTTCTCAATACAAGCATAAAATTGTATAGGAAAAATAAATGGTATCAGGTTAGAACTTGCTGAATTGTCGTACGTACCCGTTCGTACGCCATGAACTTGATGGCGCTCTCCGGGGCGATCTTGAGCACGTTCATGCCGTTCCCGCGCCACAGGCCCTTCACTCCCCCCTCCTTCAACATCTGCTGGAAACTACCCATAATGCCTCCCCTCGCCTGGTTCGCTCCATGCACCTAGAGAACACAGATTACAAAATAGCTTCATTCAAAAAATTTACATATAACTATATTCACAAACAAATTACTACAATATAATGTGAACTAGAGAAGTAACATCTGCAAAGCAAATGCATAATGTTTACCTTCGGACATGGTCTGCCCTGTTAATTCTTACTCAAACAGATCCACATACATGTACTACTATCTTACTCAAACACATCCACATACATGTAGTACTAGTACATAGTGACAGGAGCAGAGCAGACCGTGAAATTGCAACAGTATGTAACCTGACACCAGTCACTATGGTGACAGACGTTAACAAATCATGTCATTGGTCAGGTCAGAGGTTACATGTAGTGTTTGGAGCAGAAGAGGAGGAAAAAACTGAGTAAAAACAATATGTTTTCCTTCGGTAAACCAAAGAACATACCAAAAGAAAAATATACACCACACTTATAGATCCAAACTAGCACTGAACTTACCTGTAGTAAGACCTTGAGTCTGTCCAGTGGTGCTGTACAGGTTCTGGACACAGCGCCGGCTGTACCGCCTGCCACCAGCTGTCTCCACCACATCCCTGTCACCTTCTCCTCTTCTGTAAACTCATCTGGTACACACAGGTTCTCACCGATGTCGATGGACTAAACACAAACAAATAAACAAACAACAATTAACAACAGGTCTTAACACAAATAAACAAACAAAACAGCAAGTAAATAAACAACAGAACAGGTAAGTACAGGAAAGTGATCTCATCCAGTTTTAGCCCACTGAAGAGCTAATCTCCCACTGGTTGTAAGACAGATGCTACTGTATACTGTATGTATGTAGAGTATTTTCAGGTTCATTGTACCAGGGCAAAAGCCTAGCTCTTTTCGACAAGCACAATAAATAGTGGACCCAGCTTAACATCTCATACTAAAGGAAGGCAACTCTTTCAAGTAGTATGTATACTAAAACATTTGCCCATGACAGGGCCGCCTAGGAAATTTAATCTAAACTGCTGTATATTGCATGACCTGCAAGGAATAGGTATTTCCTGGTAGACATGAATATTGAGCTGTATTTGTTTTTTTTTTTTTGTTTTTTTTTGGAGGGGGGGACTTGAACAAGACAGTAGGACCGGTTCTGATTCAGACTCCAGTGTAACGTACCATTACAGTGTATGTCAGATTGAAAGATTACATCTCATTTTTTTTCCTAGGCCTTATGTAAAGAGAATGTATTGTACTGAATTGTGCCTGTAATCGAGCTAGATGGATCTGGAGGTTGGCTACAAATGGATGTGGATAAAGGTTAGACATTCTGGTAAACAATATTCAAACTCTAACTCTACTACTGGATAAATTACGGAGATTACTACAGAATAAATTTATAGTCGACTGTAGTACCGATTAGTTCTTTAAGTTCATTTAGTGACGCTGGAGAAGAGTGACGGATGTCATGCAAAAATTCCAGAAGTAATCTCCATAACGTCTTTGAATGAGTCACAGGATCTAGGAAGCTGTTCCTTACCACAGTATGTCTCCAGTACCTGACGATGTCCTTCAGATCAGCACTGGGGTGCAGCAGGAGGTACTCTCTCCACTCATCCCAGTCTACTGTCAGGGTGCCATCTTTGTCCATACTGTAACAACAAGAGCAGGGCTCAAAATTCATTTTTAGGAATAGGTGCACTGGTGCACCCAACCTACAAAACCTTTTCTGACACTTAGATGTTCAGAATATATTGTATACTACTAAACATCTTTACATACCTAAACCTACGAAAATATTTGGGTGCACTGGTGCACCCACAGAAAAAAATTGAGTGCACCGCTCCAAATTTGGGTGCACTAAGGTGCACATGCACCCAGTATTTCGAGCCCTGAAGAGTTAACATTGTGATCTTATGCTTTACAAGATCTTCAACCTTTCTCTGTTTATTTTGTTTAGCTTTACATTAGGGATACCCTGCATATCACTATTCTTCCTGGAGCCCATAATAAAATGATACCAAGTATGACAACGTACAATATAAATATACAAGTATTGCATGACCTGCAAGGAATAGCTATTTACAAATGTATATAAGTCTTGAATCTAATTTAAGGTTAATGCTTTCAGTCTAGGCAATGCTTTTGCAATTGTTCATTAGGGTCAAAACATATCATAGAAGAAAATAAAATAAAAATTGAATATAAAAACTGCAAAGACTGCATCTCTAGTCTTATTCTAAACACGTAACCTTAACCTTTAACGAGAGAGAAAGAAAAAGAAAGTCAGAAAGAAAAAAAGTCAGAAAGAAAGTCAGAAACAAAGAGAGAAAGAGAGAGAAAGAAAGAAAGAAAGAAAGAAAGAAAGAAAGAAAGAAAGAAGAAAGAAAGAAAGAAAGAAAGAAAGAAAGAAAGAAAGAAAGAAAGAAAGAAAGAAAGAAAGAAAGAAAGAAAAATAAGGAAATGAATAAATAAGGCCTCGAAAGAGATTTGTTACCAGCAAGAGCATACAGCACTAGGGAAAAGAGTGGAGAAAAAAACTGAAAAAAAATTACCAAAATCATTAAAATCGAGGACAATAAAACATGTGTAACATAAATAGGTGAGCTACATGTATAGCTTGGAGAAAAAGGTGGGTTAATTTTTTAGTTATGTGGCTTGCTTGTACTTAATGTACCCAATGACATTAAATGCAATTTAGAATCTAACAATGAAGACAACAGAAGACAGTACACTCAAGATTATTCCGTGTAGTGCAATGTTTACGAACAGAAACAGACGCAACAGAAACAAACAAACATGCAGACGAACAAACAAACAAACAACAAAACCAGGCCACCGAGATATTCACCATCTGCAAGCACCAAAGACGGAGGTCCCCTGAGCAAGAAAAGTCCGCAAACGCAAAGTAAAACTGAAGAGGAAACCATGCAGCATACATTAGGTAGTCAACAGCATGATCGAGTGTGAGTGCTGCGTACCAACATTTAGGTTCAGGTCCGGATTCAAGTCCAGAGGTTTAGGTTCAGTTCTAGACCCTTAACTCCAGACCTAAACCCATGGCATATACAAAATTGCATGTTGGCAACCTTGCAATGTTGTCTGGGTGAAACTGTGGCAACAATAACATGGAGGCTGACACTGTTTTCTTCATTTTGCACAGATTTTCCAATCTATGGATGGTTTTAGGTGGTTTGGAACAAAAAGGGGTATGTGAAATGGTCTTTTTTTTGTAATAAGTCCGGAACTGGTTCTTGCCTTTTAGGTTTTTTTGGACTTGAACCTAAACATTTTTACAAGTCCGGAACTTGTACACAGCACAAGTCAACAGCATGATTTAGTATGAGACAGAACTTTTTTTCTGAAGACAGTGGTTTGGTAACATGTACATGAGTATGAGAGTGTAGCAAAGAACAGTAATAGTGCCCAAAGAAAACTATAGCTGGAACACCACATTTTGAACCAAATAAAAGTACATGTAGTTTGCATCATCTCTTAGTCTTACCAAGTTTTTTAATGTTTACAGAAAGAAAACTTATTGTTTTTTGCTCAGTTCCTTCCTCTTCTTCTTCTCCAAGCAAATAAGGTCAATGACCTGAACCAGACATCTGTCACCATGGTAACTATAGTGTTGGGTTACATCATGTTGCAACTTTATAGCAGGATTTTATAACAGAGCAGACCATATGCAAAGGTACACATGTAAACATTATATATTTGCTTTGCAAATGCTACCTTTCTACTCTAGTGTTTGTTTGTTTTCATTTTAATGTAGGGTTCCAGGGTTCCTTTCTGGGCACTATTTCTGTCAAAGCAATAGAATACAACATAGCAGATATCATAAATGATGGATATCATGAACAATAATAGATATGACAGTAGTAGCAGTAGGGTATGGAAGACAAAATGAAGGGTTCTACTTAATATAGACTACATTGTACATGTATTTTTTTATCCGTATCTATATTATTAATTTAATTTTTATACCGTTAGTTTTTAAATCAACCAAATATGAGTAAGATGATTTTTAGGCATACAAAAATCTGTACAATAACCTTTTTTTCATTTTAATTTTTATCATGAAGACAAAATGTACTATGATTTTCCAGTATCAGTCTAAGACTCTAAATATCACTTACCTTTTCATAATCTTGTTAGCCTCTGACTTGTCAATGTGAACTCCCAACCCTCGCAGTGCTTCTATGATTTCCTCTGTATCTATACGTCCTACAAGCACACACACAACATAGAGCATACAGTTTAATCATTTGTATTAAAATTAAATATAGCTTACTACATGTATCAAAACATAAGAAACATATAATACACCAGAAGTGTGTTATAGCCAGCAGAACACTGGAACATACTCTGATGATACAAACAGTTTATAAACACATTACATTGCACTGTGTGCAGCAAGCCAGGTTTTGGGACCTAACTTTCTGTGTCTGACCTTTTGCAGTCTGTGGTTAGGGAATTCTCCCCTTGTACATGCTGTAACTCAACTACACAAGCACACAAGGAAACACACCCATTTAACAATACCTCCATTCACAGAGGTAATAATCTCCAAGCAGATTTAAGGATACAGCAAATCTGTGAATATAGTTTCATCAGGTTGGTTAAAGACACTGAGTTAAGAGACTCTTTTTTCATACAACCAAGTGTTTTACATTGTATTCATAGCCAACAATTCGGTGACTGTCTGTCACCTTCCTCAGGGCAATTCAACCAACTCCTGTATGTTTGGGACCACACTGTAGATACAATTCCCTATAACTACGTATACATGTATGTGTAGATATGTAAATATTGTACATTAGAGAATGCATCTATAGCAGCGACACCTGTGCTGCAGTGCAATGTGAACCAGTCAGAATTGCCCTGAGGAAGGTGACAGACGGTCACCGAAACATCGGCTGTGAATAAAACACTCGGTTGTGTAAAAAGAGTCTGTTATCTCAAGAATGTAGCAAAATTTGAGACCTGCTACTCATAGTTACAATAACAAACCATATGCATGGTTGTCTTACCATCCTTGTTCTTGTCTAGTTTGTCGAAGGTTAGCTTGAGTTTACGCTGGTGTTCTGACATGTACTTCACAAACTCTGCAAACTCTATCTCCTCATCATCATCCTTGTCACTCTTCTTCAGAATCTCCTAATAACAACAATTTTCAAGATTGTTAATTTCTCTGTCTACAGTGTCAAACCTGCCAAGGTGACCACCTCTTCAAGCTGACCACCTGTCCATGGTGACCACTTTTTCTCAGTCCTAAAAATCTTCCCCATTGACACAAGCATTTAGCAACCTGTCCAAGGTGACCACCTGGCCAACGTGGCCACGACCACCCTGAGTTGGGTCCGCTTAAGGCCTGATACCTGCCCATGGTGACCACATCATTTTCAATCATGTTGATTTCTTGATGATAACTAATGAGACATCATGGAGAAATCTGCCATTTATGCCTCAGTCATGTTGTGAGGCGACCCTCTTCAAGAAGACCACCTGTCCAAGGTGACCACTTTTCTTTGGTCCCTTGGGTGGCCGGCTTGGACAGGTTTGACTGTATTAAGATTTTGCACATTTGTGGAAGGATTGATATTATTGGTGACAATCACCTTTTCAAGATGTGAAGAGATCAGAAATACCTGCACAGCTTCGTATTTAAATTTCCACAATGGTGGATATGCATCAAGTATTTTGAGCATTGCATGGTCAATATTGACTGAGTTTTGATTTCTTCTATCTTGATATGTGACACATGATAGACCATGTGTTAACTACTGTAAATGCATTTTTGTTCATCAGGGATTTAACTTCGCGGTTTAGTGTAGTGTAGTGTAGTATGTGCCTCCCCTCCACTGCTCCCCTCTAATGAATAATGTAACAGTCCTATAGCAATGTACAATGTAGGTCACCCCTATATCAATCCACTATTCAACTCCAATGTGGATCAATATACATAATGCTCCAGGGCTCAAATTCCTCTTTTTCTACATACACTGGTGCATGTAACATGGAAAATTACCTGCACCAGATAAATTTCACCTGCACCACTCAGAATTTAAGAAGTTATGGATAATGGATCATACAAAAAAAATTACCTGTATTCAGAAACCAAATTAATTCTTAAACTTTTAATTTTATACCAGTACTTTATACTACTATTACATGTACTAGCCTGGTGTCCAGCCATCTTGGGGAGCGGACTAAAGCCGTAGTAAAGGCAGTAAAGCTAACAAGGCTGGACACCAGGCTAACTTAATACAGGTGGTCGCATGCACTTAATACCTGCACATGCAGGTGGTATTTCCAGCCCTGGCAAATTATGCTTAAGTGCAGAGAACAAATTACTGCACATCAGCCTTTCCGTACACTAGAATAGCTTCCTTATCCATCATCAGATTCTATAATGCACTTCTCAGTCAACTGTGACAGTAAAGTATTCCTGTCAAATTTGATAGCCTGGGTCCCAGACTGTTTCCAGGGCCTACACATGCCAGTTCCTCAGCTCCAGGTTTTGAATGATGTGGGTTAAGCCTAGGGGTTAGAAGATTACTGTAGTCTATTGCCATTAAGAGGCAGCAATTATTTTGCTAATTGCTAATTAAACCCCAGATGCATTCATTTTGAACGGATTGTAAAAAACACTAAAGAAAAGGACTTGGTTTGCAGGTTGCATTTTTGTCCCAATGGAATTTAGACAAGGATGAAGCCAAGCAAAACATTGCCATCTGCTATCCCTGCAGTTTTGGCAGCCTTTGATAGAATGCAAGACTAAACCAAATGTTTCAATTTCCCAAACTAAAATAAGTGCACTTACAGTACTTTCATGGTGATTTTATTTCCCCGTAGGAAGGAAAAGGAGATTTTCACAATGTTTGAAATGATCACAGTGAATAGAAATATAAAACATATATTTGCAATAACATAATTTCACATTCATTGGGATACAAGGAAAACCGTGAAAATATTAAAATCCCTTAAACCTTTGGCAGGTCAATGCATATAACAGTTTGTTCCTTGGAGTTGGGAAGGTACAAAGTCCTTAAAAATCATGATGAGTTTAGAAATGCCAGGTTTCTAGTAGTTCTTTAATTTCACCATATATCAAGTTCCTAGAACTCCCAATCCAGCAAGCTGAGCAGATTGACCACATTCATTACCAGCTAATTGGCCTAAATACTACAGGGAGGTGCACTCCAGTCAACCACGGGTGATTGTTAAAATCAAATCTCTATCTATAAATTAATAAATACCTCTGATATTTGATATTAATATGGACCACATTGACACACTTACCAAAATAGGTAATTGATTACAAAGCCCTTGTACTACTGCACCTTGTCAGAATGTACTGTGCCTGTATAATTTATAAAACATAATGTATTATGTATAGCACTTTGGCAGAATGTCTCATGTTTAAGGCCATATTCATGTATTTTAAACCCTTGTCCTGCTGGCATTCCTGGCACAATATTTTTCAATAATTTCAAGTTAATTAGATCTTAGACCCCCAATTTTTTTTTCCACATTTGTTACATTTCACTGCGGTGTGATGCGTTGCACGAGAAATACCCCCAAATCGTTAATCTCCAAGCAGATCTTTTGGTGGCCAAAAAAGATAGTATCCAACACGTGGACAGTATCCAGCCGGCCGACAGTATCCAATTGGCCACCGAAGGGGATGGGCCGGCTGTCAGAAAAAAACGGGGCATAGAAAAAGGTCCGACAATCTTCCCATTCAACCTCTGCTTGGAGAGTACCAAATCGTACCTATACAGAGTTCTATATACAGTATGTAGATGGTAATGTATGTGCAGAACAACAGGACAAGGGTTAAGCATGACATCCCACCCATAGTTTTCAAAATGTTGTGTCGGGAAAGATATTTTCCGCAATGGACAAAATTCTGACCAAACATACAACAAAGACTGCAAAAATCTGGATTTTACACAGGCGCAGTATGTTCTGCCGACATGCTCTGTGGCATATGTATTTATCGAATGTCAGTTATTTGTACTCCCATCCAACATATGGGGCAAGGGTATAGGTTACAGAAATAAAGCAAGTTACAAATACCAGGAGAGGTAGATTATCTAAACTGGGCCATAGGAGTATGACAGCAATTTATAGGGTGCCCTGGCAATACTTGTAGCTGATATCATGCCAAAACTGATGAAACTGCAAACTCAACATGGCATATGCAGTTGGATATGTCAAAAGAAGTATCAATTGATACACGTACATTGTTGTATTCACATGTAGGTTCATCTAATGCAAGAAGGTATATGTACGTTCTAATCAGGCTAAAGGCCTAAGGGTAGTGGGTTGTTTATCCACTGTGTCTAGGGCATGGTATTACTAATTTGAAAACAGAGCCCATCCCTCTCCTTCCACTGCCTTTTAGTTTTACCTCCCCAACTGAAGTCAGGTACATATTTTACACCTGAGTGGAGTGAGGAAATTTGGGTTAAGTACCTTTCCCGAGGACACAAAAAAGATCTTGCCAGGAATGCCAAGAATCAAACCCGTGACCTCTGGTCTCATGTCCTATAACCACTTGGCTATCACCACCACTGTATCAAGAAGAGTGTTGACGTGTGACACATACAGATGTATCTTTGGGTCAAACAATCACCTACTTATGATATCATATGTCAACAATGCTATAATGCCCTCGTTCATTTGAATGGAACCTTCTTGGTCCTTGCCTCCATCCATAGCATGCCAAAAACTAGACGTTTTGGGGGTCTTCTGGGTCTTTGGGAGCTTTTATGTGCTATTTTCTGATTGAATATAGACAATATAGCCGGCCTGGTTGAATTACACCCGTTTTTTTTTTAAAATGGGCTAATCAGAAAACAGCCGAAGACCACCAAACCCCCAGTTCTATAGTATAAGCCTGCTACGGAGGCTATTTGGTCCTTGCTTCATTACCATTTTGCCTTTTAATGAACAGACAAGGAAACAGGCAAGACCAGAATTCAATAGACATAAATATTCGATACTGTCTTGCCAGTAATTTTGCTGGAAAATATTGAGCCTGAAATATCTGGTAGGAGATAAGTTGGTCCATGTGATCATCACATTCAGCTTTCATCACCCATGGCTTCATGCCAAGTACTAAAGGCCAAATTAATAATAAAATTCACAACTAATTGCTACAGTACATACTAGTGTAACCAAGGATAACTTCCTATTTTGACTTATTATTTTCAGAGAGAGATTACACTAGTCAAAGTCAAAAGAAGTAAATCACTTTATAGTCGCAGACTCGCAGTAATTTTATATTCATGGATTTCGCTGTAACTTTTTTCCTGCTACCGCAAATATAAAGTGATTTACAGTAATTTATCGTACCTTGGGAATAAAATGCTACTAGTCAATGAGGATGACAAAATTCAGAGAGTCGGAGGAATACACAATTAAGAGCTCAATCAGCATAACACTACCCTCCCCTTAGGCCACACTGACTTAATTTTATGGATGACATCCTCGCGCGCATTGATTTTCCTCTGTTCTCAAAAAAAAAGATCACGTCCTCCGAGGCTCTGTCCTGGCTCTAAACCTAAATGATGGAGGATGGCACCCAGGCAAACGAAGCTCCACCACGCAAGAACTCAGCACAGTGCCGATTCATAAAGTCTGCAAAAAGCCAGTATGTGCCGGCTTGTCGTATACTCGCTAAGTACTGCCGCAAATTCACAATACCAGGTTTGTATTGGTGGTTTATAGCTAGTATTAGTTAGCATTTTTATTTTTGGCCGGAACTTTTTTATTCGCCTGTGCACACTAGTTTGGGGTCTTTAGAGGATGTCATCCATAAAATTAAGGCGGTGTGGCCTTACCATCCCCTAAGGAATTTGACAAGGAGCTATTAATAATAATTATAATCACATACAGCAAACCATGTAATTTTTATGACGGCCACATTTTGATAATATGTTGCAGCTAGCATAATATTTTTGACATGCCACTGCTAAGCAGAGTGACATTCTTGAAGAGGGACCAAGAATAACTTTGCATAAATTTTACACCTGCGCTGTCAAAAACGGGGCGTGGTGAGTGAAGCACACCTTCTCAAAAATTCCTTCTCTTCTGAAACAAGTTTGCCTACGTATAAAAACCCCTTCACTCTTATATCATAAGTTAGAGTAATGTAGAAGCCATGCTAGATATAATTTGGGCCGTCAGCCAAAATTTCCGTCGGCGGCCTAGGGCATTTTTATGCGGCTAACTGCTGAGCTCCCTCGGGCTACGAGTACAGTCCACCGTAACGCCCATATTTTTAGATCGGCGGGCGTACCGCCACGTGCCGCGGAAGGGTCTTGGTTGACAGCCCGGTATCTAGCATGGCTCCTAGGCTACAGTTAGAGCTGTGTCTACGTAGGAATTTGTTTTTATTAGCCCTGACCTGAGCATGTTTCTCTGCCTGGTCGCTGTGTACCCCGAGTTTCTTCAACCCCTCTCGCAGCTCTTCGAAGTCGATCCGCCCGTCCCCGCTCGCGTCTAGCCGCTTGAACAGCTTCGTGAACTGTTCTTCCTCCTCGGCGGACAGCTCGTGAAGCTCCCGGGTACTCGCCATGGCCGAAAACCTAGTTTGATCGCATGTTTTTTAGAGGAAAATCGGTATAAAAATCGTCCCAAGTTACTGGAATATATTTTTCTTGCTCCCCTCCCACCGATTGCTTTTATTGATGAGCGCATGCGTGGTGCGGAAATTACCCACTGTGCAGTTCGGTGATCATAATCTTCAAGCAGATGCAGGGTGGGAAATTGTATCCGTATACTAGTATTTGAACTAGTACCCCTACACCTGGTGATCAAGTTGTTTGCAGTGCTATACATGTGCTATAAATGCATAAACATGTATATACAAATGCATGGCTCGGGTTTAGATGTGTCACTTGGCACTGACAGGTGTTCCTTGCTCTTTTTTGGCGACGTCTCAGGGAGGAGCCTAATGGTACAGTATTGTGTGCAGTTTGCAAGAATTCTAGGAATTGTACAGGAATTTTGTCCACAGGCATTTCTCTGACCCACATCTACGCCCAAATTCCTGCAAACCTTTGGGAAGACCTCTCTGCCCCGGATGCCCTATATATACTTTCTGTGACGCCGGGGCTCGTTCACTCAGGGGAAGAATGCACAGTGTATCTGTCAAGACTAAGGCTTCCCCAAAATCATGAAATGATGGCAGTGCCATGCAAACAATAACCCTAACAGCAACCACCGTCGCCATGGCAATGTATGTTTCCATATTGCCAGTCTTGTTTCGAATTGTTCCTTGGTGAGGATTTGTCTACAGTAGACTTTTAGTAGCATTTCACAGGTAATTGCCAGTAGCATGGCGCATGCAGTGGCCGTCAGTTGACGTTAAATTTGGTGGTTATGATATCCTAAATGTCGTAATAAGTACTAAATCTACATCATACACCCCAGACTGGTACAGCCATTTTTCTACGATTGTACACAACTACTATAGCTTATTTGTAATTCCTTGGGGTGTTCATACGGGCCTACATGTATTAAGTTCAAAATGTAGGCGTGCATTAATGTTTAATGGCTTGGTTGTTATTTTTGATGGAAAACAAATCTTTGAACTGAAATCAGCTCTTTGGGTCCTTTTAGTACCCATCAAACAAAAAGTACCGTTGATTTGGCCCGTCTGACCATATCATGTGTACTCAGTACTTTGCGTTGGGAGGTGAGTTTTCTCGTCAAGATGCCTCTGCAGACGACAGTTATCGGGAGTTACCCCAAGCCGGAGAGTGTTCCTGTCCCGGACTGGTTCAGGACCAGGCCCGGGGTGAGGACTGGTCAGGAGGGGTACTCCGCACAGGAGTATAACGACTTCAGAAGGGACGTAGCCTCCGAGGAAGGTAGGTTCTATCAGGGACATTATACCTTGGTACTATCAAAATTCAGTTGCGAGGGGTTCATAGTTATCAGTTCATAGTAGCCTGGATGCCAGACTATTCCCAGGCCTTCGCAGGGTCAACCCACCGTGAGGCCCTGAGCTCCAGACTGTATATCGGACCGTTAGCCGGTTCCCTTCGGTGGCCAAAAGCAGTACGCCCGCCTATCTTCGGATATAGTTCTGATCAGGCAACTGTTACGGGAGGTCAGAAGTCAAGGTCAGAGGAAGCTTTTTTATGACCATAAACAGGACATAGACTAAGAGAGAGAAAAACTTCGGCTGTTTGGAGCCGGAAAAAAATACTCTGCCTGGCTAATGCTTAGTCAACGTACGGCAATTTGGGTCTTCTAAGCTGTAACACAGCAGATATTAAACGCTTTTTAGAGATGCCCTTTTGGAGTTTGGACTTTGCATATCAAAGGTCGGAGGTTAACGTTACATACAAGACTCCGCGTACTACTATAACGTTACGAGTATATACATGTATATAAAATAGGTCTTCGTATCTGTGTGAAGAACCGGTTGAAAACGCCACAGTTCTATAATAATAGTGTATACTGTGGCGACTAAAAAGCACTGCACGGAGTGTGGGTGCAGGTAGACAAAGGGTTTTGCCCGGGAGACAACACCTGTCTACACGCCGTAGAGAACAAGGGGGCCAAGGCCGGACCATGCGCCTGCCATGCCGCTAGCTGAGGTCGCGTGCATGTGATACCGCCCGAGGGCGAGTCTAAAGGGCTGAGCCAAATGTATAACGTGGTTAACATCTTATCACACAAATGAACTTATAAAGATATTTTTCTACGCTTGTACACCCCTGGTTGTACGTGGGGTGATTACGACTTCAAAATTCAAAATACTAGTACACGTACCATGCATATTACTTGTTTGAGTAGAACGTCCTTGGTCATTTTTGAAGACATCATAACATCCGAATCATTGGGGGAAAATCAACTCTTGCCACGAAACAACGACTGCAATTGCTTTGGCCCGTCTGCGCTGATTCGTCAAAATCGGTCGTGCCTTAGGCCATGTTGATTTGATTATATGGATGACATCCACGCGCGCATGAATTTTCGGCCGTTTCCAAAAAAAAAAGTTTTCAACCATACTGTAAATCGTACAAAACAGTTGCAAATTGAGCAAAAATATACCATAAGTTACAAAAAAAAATTAATAAAAACTATACCAATGTCGTAGAATGTCAAAATCAAACGAAAAAAGACGAAATTGTAAAGAAATGAACGTGAAGACTAGATTATTCGCCAAACCATATTCTGTGCCAATTGCTCAACCCTCATGACCACGTAGATTTCATAATGAAAACAACATTTTTTTTGCAAAACTTTTTTTTTATTCGCACGCGCGCATCAGTTTTGGGGCTCCCGGAGGATGTCATCCATATAATCAAATCAACATGGCCTTACTACTTAAGCACACCCCAGTTTATTTGGCGTCTCTGTTCGAAGCTGCACACCCTCAAATCTAGCGACCGTCGCTGCCGTGGAATAATTCGGAAGGAAAATAACTGTATATGGGACGAAAGGATATCTTCAGCTACAAGACCTGCTTTTTTAAGTTTGGTAATATCAACGGAAAAAACATTATTTTCACTCCAAAATTAATGCCCAAAATATGCAAATTTTCGCATAGGATAATCCCATAAAAAAAATTTCCGGCAGAAATGACTGATACTGGCAGAAAGACCCAAGCCTTGACTATACCCTAGTAAATTATAAAGAAAATTCTAGACCTGAATTTTTTTTAACAGTCCACGGCGCGAGGGGTTGCAAATCCACTCTTAGGAAGGCGCAGAGCGAAATCTAGGTCAAACGGGCGGATTACACTTGGCGCGCAAGGATACCCGGAAGTAACGGTTCGGAGCCAAAAGAACAACGGACTACCACGGTTAAGGTCGTGCCGGGGGTTTGTGTACATCCAAGTTCGATAGGAAGCCCAGGGAGCATAATTTAGCAAAATCTAGTCGTAATTCTCGTCAAGATGCCTCTGCAGACGACAGTTATCGGGAGTTACCCCAAGCCGGAGAGTGTTCCTGTCCCGGACTGGTTCAGGTCAGGACCTCTGATCAGGACAGGACAAGAAGAGTCGTACTCGGCACAGGAGTATAATGACTTCCAGAAGAACGTAGCCTCCGAAGAAGGTAGGGGATCTAGTTTCCACCAGACTCCTTTGCACTCAATAAACCCTCCATAGAGGAAACTAGACAAATGCAGCCATTTTCTACGCTTGTACGCCCTAGGCTGCCATTTGGTGCCCAAAATTCAAAGTTCAAAATACCACGCATACCACTACTTGCTGGAGTCATTGTTAAAATCCGAAACATCTGAGTTGGGGGAAAATCAACTCCATGCATACCCGAAGCCAGCAGCAAGAAACAAGAAAAGAAATTTTGTAGCATTTTGTTGCCTTCTGACAGTGGTCACCATGCAGAAAATAGGCAAAGATGTCTGTTGCCATGCCGGAAGGTGGATGGCAGATAAATATGAAGAGATGAGACAAGAAAAGGCTCTGATCTAATGTTTTGTTTCTTACTTGATGCAGTAATATGTGATGTTGGCTGTGTATATGTGATGTTTGTACAATTTTTTGTAATGATTGAGTCAAAATTTTAAAATGTAGGAACCTTGTTTTTTTCGGCCCGCCTTGTTTTTTTTTCGCCCACGCATGAGATTTGGAGTCTGCGGATGATGTCATCCATAAAATTTACTTGCTGAGGCCTTAGGTACATTTCTAATAGGAAGTCCGATAGGAAGGTTACGGAGCAGAATTTAGCTAGTCGTTCTCGTCAAGATGCCTCTGCAGACGACAGTTATCGGGAGTTACCCCAAGCCGGAGAGTGTTCCTGTCCCGGACTGGTTCAGGGCCAGGCCCGGGGTGAGGACTGGTCAGGAGGGGTACTCCGCACAGGAATATAACGACTTCAGAAGGGACGTAGCTTCAGAGGAAGGTAGGGGATCATAGTATATTTTTATAGCGGTACAGGACTTTCCAGTCTTTCGTTAGAGCTCATACCCACCCTGATACCGGCGAGATCTACTAGTAGAAGCCGCATTTTGTTCGTCGTTGTTCTAGACAGAGATCGGCAGGTCAATATATCCATTGTATACTGGCGTACATGCGCGCGTGCAAGGTCATGAATTCTCCTGAGTACTGTTATTTTTGGAAACCATTGTTGTTGGGGGCAGGATGCTAGTATGAGTACTCTCTTCGGCTGGGGGAGGCCACAAGCCCCGATCCCGGCTCTTCTTTATCTCTCAAGTCTAGCAGGCTAGATAAAATTTTCGGAGCCGAGAAGCTAGCCTGTATGTTTGCCTGGCCACAGTCTGGCCGCGTGACCTATACATTTATTTTATAGGCCAGGAGTCGAGCCCGGGGGGAGTTTGGCCTAGTTGTTGGGACGGTCAAACTCACCCCGGGCTGGACTCCCCTCGTAAGCTAAGGTCCCAATTACGCCGGTGCCCGTCGGGGATGTAGCCCCGGCTGGCTCCGGCCGGGTTCAGGAGTCGAGCGGGCATCGGCTGTCGTGGTCACAATTAAAAGTTTCCTTCAGTAGCATTTTGTTAGAAATTTTGTCACCCTCTTTGGTCGGTATCCGGCAGGCACCCGGCAGGTACCCAGCAGATTCTCTGACGATGTCTTGTATTGACCTATACGTAATGCAGAATTCACGTATTTGTTGTGATCATTTGATCTGTGAGGTCACACATTTTACCCGGGTTTACGAAGTACACACCTTTATTCTGTTCATCTGGTCTGTGACGTAAGAAATGTGTCCCGGTGGATTGCCGGCAACCGGAGGGGTACCTCTCGGTGTTCTCACGATGAGGTCACGGCGTCTTTTTGTCAGCGGGGCCCGGGTAGAATTTAACTCAGAATTAAATTCTTCTCGGGGCCCCGACGGGCCAAAAAATAGCCCGGTAGCCGCAGGGTGCCCCGCGGGGCCACGTCGGGGTCCCGCCCGAAAGTGGTAAAAAACAGCCCGGGAACTACCCGCCAGGGCCCCTTTTCCCAATTGGGACCTTAGCTGTAGCGGTAAACTTTAGACAGGCGGGCGAAGGGCTTCTGGCTGCCGAAGGAAAACGGCTAACGGCCTCAGAAACAAGTCTGGCACCCAGGGTAGAGGACAGCTTGCGGACCGATGCCTTTTCACAAAGCGGTAATCTAGCTGTTGGTTCACGGCACGGGCAAAGTTCAGGGACACCGTGTCAGGGACTGGAGGCAGCCAAGCGCCAAGCAGATGCGGGGAGGCAAGGTGTCCTTGGCCTCGGAAGGACACTTCCTGTCGGGCCGCGTACAAAATCTATGACCTAGAACCAGGGACAACTCTTCAATTGAATTTAGGATTTAGGAATGCCCCTATAATATTGTGTACATTCGTCTAATTGAAATTAATAGGTAACGTTACAGGTCGCAGAAAAAAAAAACACGGATTAAATAAAATGAGAAGACATTAAAATGAAGGACAAAATACAACAGCAAGGTAAAAAGAGACTTGAAGACTGGAAGAAAAACAAGAAGGATCAAGAATAAAAGCACTGTACATAGTGTTTGTCAAAATGCACAATAGCCATAGCCTGGTATCCAGCCTTGTTAGCTTTAGTCCGCTACCCAAGATCCGCTCCCCGCCAACGGCTGGATACCAGGCTAATAGCCACCCACCCTGAAATATTAATGATTTGTTGCCGGGCGAGTCAAGGCTTCGTGCCATGGTTGGCCATGGGTGATGGGTTTACGGAACAGGCTGAATTACCAGCTGTCTACCTGGGCTGGCTAGCACGCCAGGCTACTCAGATCCCCCATTCATATCCTCCAGAATGATGACACAGGTACGATGTGTATCATTAGCTCAGGTCCGGCAACCAGTCTTTTCCGTAAACCCCTTATGTGATCATGGGTCGTTGGGTATCGGATGCGTTACCAGTATTTTTAAAACCAAGCAGATGTGAGGAGGGAAACTGTTCGTTAGATAGAGCTCGTGTGATACATTACAACTGTGCATTTTACTATCATGAAGGTTCATCTGTGTTGGTAGTAACATGTCTACCAGAGTGACTGGTCAAAAGCTCTAGGTGAGAGAACGTTTTCTGTGTTGGACCAAAAGTTTTAACTCTAAACTGTGCATTTTAATTTTAGTCTTGTTAGCATTCAGTTCAATTCACCAAGGTGACCAATTATTTGAGTCCTACATCGTCACCACGCCACCCAACCAGCTACATGTATTCCCATCTTGGCCCCCAGTCAGATTTTTAAAAACATTTCTTGTTTAATTAAAAGCAAAACTTTAATCTGTTTTTTTTCCAGATCTAGAGAAGCAGATCACACGCGCGATCCGGGAGGTGATCCAGGAACAGATCGACATCGGGATCGACGTGATCACAGACGGCGAGCTGCGGAGAGAGAACTACATTCTCTACTTTTGGTACAAAAGCATCATTTTTGTGTAGCTGAGCTGTGGGTTGGTGTATCTGTTTTCCCGAACAGACTATGTTGGCTGCATGTTGGTGCTGAAGATTGACAGGCATAATGACGGGACATCAAAATTATACAGAAGCTGGCCCCGGTAGCCTGGGAGCCATCCGTTTTTTTTTTCGGGGTGGTGAGTGCAAGAAGGAGTCCCGTTACAAAACGGATGGCACCCTGGCTAACTGGCCGACCGGGCCCCGGCAGGGGAACGAAGGAAGCGGGGATTGCATACTAAGTACTTGTCTGAAGGCTCGCTCTATACATGCACATTTTGTACTAATAATTCTAAATATTCCCTAACTGCTGTTTTATATAGGGAGGCGTGGCGAACCCCGTCTTGTATTAAGCTAACGAAAGGGTATGCCACCTCGTAAGGGGCGGTATAACCCCGACCAATACGGTCGACCGATGATGATGATGATGATAGGGTTCTATTGCATTCTATTCATTATCTGCGTCTATGCTAAAATTAATAAAAAGCCTTTACCATGCTTCAGAAGTGACTGAGAAGATAAGAAATTGTAGCCTCTACCAGGCTTTGGGAAGCTTGGGGAGCGGCAAAATTTTACCACCAGCTGCAGCAGCACCAACTCCCTTGACATGCTATCTCTCTAATTTGCCGATTTCTACTCTTTCGAGCCGCTTCTCGAAGCCTGGTAGAGGCTATAGAAATTAGCCAAATAGACAGCATCGATAAGGGAGTTGGTACTAGAGTGACAAACTGCACTCTTTATTTGGGAGGACCAACTCTCCTTGCGTGTTACCTGTCTATTTGGCCAATTTCTACTCCTTCCAGCCGTTTCTGAAGCCTGGTAGAGACTATTTTAAACTAGAAAGGCCAATATTTGCTTTGGAGCAAATACAGCGATGGGTTCACCACATTTTACGACATGGCAGGGAAAGAATGGGAAACACAAGGGAAAACAATGATTTACATTGATATAACTATAATATGAAGTAAAATACAACTAAAACAACAGTTGGATAGCTATTCCCTACTTTATTGGTTAGGATTTTTAATTGCATAATGCAAACTGTTGATTTTCAAAATAAAAAAAAACGTCCATGCCCCGCATTCCAATGCTGGAGCAGGAAAGCTTGAAATACCTACCAAAACACTTGAATACAGACATACTGTCAGAAATGCTTCTGTGCAGGTGTTAAGTTAACAGTTAAATCCCAACAGCCAATCAGCAAGAAGTATAGAGGAAAGCTGCATGCCTATTGGTTGATGCCTTGCATGCCATTGTGATGACTCATGCCCAAACGTGGTAAACACTGCACACTTACACAGTAATACATTAGCTATTACACAGCCAAAAAACTCAAATAAAACCATTCTAAAAGCCTGTATCACAATAATTTAAAAAACGCCTAGGGGTATTTGCCCACTGTACCTCCATATCAAATTTCAGGACCTTAGGCCCTAAAATGAAGAAGCTGAATCCATTTAAAGATATGGCAGGAGGAGAAGGAGAAGAAGAAACATCAGAAAAAGCAATATGGTTTCACCACACCACTTCGTGGTGTGGTGAACCCATAAAAATGGCAGGAGGAGAAGGAGGAGGAGAAGAAGAAGAAACATCAGAAAAAGCAATATGGTTTCACCACACCACGAAGTGGTGTGGTGAACCCATAAAAAGGATATCCCAAACCAAACCATCTTGACATTTTTTTTCCACCCAGCCGTCAGCTGAACGGGTTTGATTTTGATAACCTGGTGAAGGAGACATTTCGGAACGGCGCGTGGTCGGGGTATGTACCCGCCGTGGTGTCGGAGGTCGGCCCGCGGGACGACACGCCGTTCGTCCTGGAGGAGTGGCGGGCGGCGCAGAGCCTGACCGACCGCCCCGTCAAGATCACCATCCCCGGGCCCATGACTATCATAGGGTCTACGGCAAGTAAGTAAGGCCATGTTGGCATGAAAGTTCATCTGAGTTGGTAAATTACATTATGAAAAATTTAAACTCTCCAACTCATAAATTTCACTCACCGGAATTTTCGACTGAATCACTCAGTCTTCCTCAGCTATCTGACCCAAATGTTGTAGACATGTGATTTTTCCCACGTGTGACGTCAGCAAAGGGGTCAATACACGATATACATCAGGGCACTTCAACCTTCGCTCAACCGGGACGGGGGGCGATATCGACTTCAGACAACCTTTGACCCTTCACACGTGGGAAAAATCACATGTTGATTTGATTATATGGATGATATCCTCTGGGAACCCCAAAACTGATGCGCGCGTGCGAATAAAAATGTTTTGCAAAAAAAAAGTTACTTTCATTATGAAATGTACGTGGTCATGAAGGTTGAACAAATGACACCAAGGCTATTATACAGATTATGTGTATAATAAATAATGATCTACTAAAATCAGCCAGGAGAAATATCAACAGATACCAGAAAATTGTACTTTTATTTACGGGAATTCTACAGTCATTCATTCATTCATCCATCCATTCATTCATTCATTTTTCAGACCGTTTCTACAAAGACCGACAGGAGTTGAGCGAGGCCCTGGTGTCGATCATCAACCGCGAGGTGCGCGCCCTAGCGGCCGCAGGCTGTAAGTACATCCAGATCGATGAACCCGTCATGATGCGGAACCCGGATATAGCAGAGGATTATGGGATAGAACACGTCACTAGGTGTTTCGAGGTGATATTTCTTTTGTATGTACAAATTACAATGCTATGGGTAACTCACAGATAGCCTGGGTACCATCCGGATTTTGGCTCCGCAACGCTCTAAAATTTTTCGAGCGTCGCGGAGCCAAAACTCACAATGACATGATGGTAAACTCACAGAAACCATCTCTGCAAATATACCAGTAGTATCATATAAACCCCAGGCTTGACAGAGAAACCACGTGACTGTCTCATTTGGTCAGTCCATTGAAGAAGACCAGAGTTACTTGTGGAAAACTCTAGGTGCGAACGTACAATCTTTTGTGTTAACTTAAGTTTTAACTTTAAACATGTAGACCCCAACTTTTGTGACAAAAAATTGTGGTAAGACCTGCGACTATGTTCAAATTCGGTCCAAAAACTTTCAGCGGTGCTTTCTCCCTAAGTTGAATGCAAAAAGAGGATGAAACTTTGATTTCTCTGCCACCAGGGTCTTCCTCCTGGAGTGACTAAGGCTGTCCACGCCTGCTGTGGATACCCATCATACTTGGTAAGTCACACGGTTCCGGAAATGTTATCGTTATATTAACATGTTCGTATAATTTTATAAGACAATTTACAATTTTTTTGCCTTTTGAAAATGAAGACTACGTGCATGTTTACTGCAGGACCAAACAGACTACCTCAAAGCGGACAGGACACTGTACGACCGACTAGCAGTGAAGTTGGATAACGCCGGGTTCGACCAAAGTAATGTTATAACTTTATTATCTTATCACAAAAAGAACAAACGCCTAGTTCGTATTGTTGTTGGCTGTGCTGTGGTGTGTGCGTGTGCGTGTGTGTGTGTGTGTGTGTGTGTGTGTGTGTGTGTGCGCGCGCGCGCGCGCGTGTGTGTGTACGACAGTATGTGTGTGTGTTTATGCGCGCGCGCGCATGTGCGTTATGTAAATGAAGACCTAATTTGCGTAATGGATGAGAAAATGGTATAATTTCATGATGGCAACTGCCGGAAATTTCACATTTACCGCATTTCGACGTTAAGTGAAGGTGAACATCATTAAACAAAACTTATTCAAACCAGGACCTCATTTGCATAATTTATGAGGAGATGCTACTTGTTAACAATGTTGGTTCTGTTGAGAGAGTACTGACTACCATGTATTTTTCTCCCGGCCCCTCAAGTCTCTATAGAAGACGCTCACTGCCCCACAGACCTTTCGTTCTTGTCTATTAAACATCATTTAACATAACTTATTCAAATCAGGAACTCATTTGCATAATTTATGCTAGTTGTTTACAAATTTTGTTGGTTCTGTAGACAGTAACTACGATGTATTTCCCCCCTCTTAGTCTCCATAGAAGACGCGCACTGCCCCACAGACCTGTCGTTCCTGTCCAAGTTCAGCCGGACCACCGTGGTGCTGGGGGTGGTGGCCATAGCCCGCAGCAGGGTGGAGACCGTGGAGGAGATCCGGGGACGGGTTCGGGAGGCCCTGCGCTTCCTGCCGCCACACAGACTGGTGCTGGCCCCCGACTGTGGACTCGGCTTCCTGCCCAGGGACGTGCTCAGGGACAAGCTCACCAACATGGTCGCAGCGGCAAGGACATTTCCAGAGGCTTAAAGAACATACTTCGATAGATTTTCTTACTAGGTCAACAAATTTCAAGAAAGATTTTTTTAAAATAAAAGCTGCAGGACGTCTTTTTTGGGTAGATGTGGAAAGAGTTACAGGTATAAGACAGGAACAAGAAAAAGATAGAAGGCATTTAAATCGCGTCTTCTTGCACCCATGATCATATCACAGTAATTTTTAAGTGCCTTCCTACAAAAAGATTTTACCTTTTTGAAACGTACTACAATGGATGAATGTATGTATACCGTACCAAGGAATTAGAGAAGTAAAGTGTTTAATCATCGTGATATTTGCTTTTTCAGCTTTTCAAAATACATTCCTGTTCTCAAATAAAACATACAAAGTGAATGTGTCTCACTCTTTTATCTTCTTTTTAAAATTGATAGAAAGGAATGTGATTCACGGTTCATAGGAATGGGCGTTAACGGTAGGTTGTTTAAATGACTAAGTTAACGCTGTTCCTCGATCTGTTATAAAAATTGAGTAAAACTAAAACAAACCTTTTTTAACTAGAGAATGGGACGACAATATGAAATTCTAGCACTGACCCTTTTCATGATATTAATGAGGCCCGTCCCCTGTATACGTACATGTAACTCAACAACCACTTGTCGTACGGCCACTAAATTTTCAGAGAATGGTGTAGTAATAAAAGTGATTCATAACAACAACTTTTGTGTAATTATGACGTCATTTATGTGATGTTTGGGGTAAAACCGTCAAAAATTGTTTTCTGTAAAACTCAGAACTTCAACAAAAAGTGTCTAAGGCCACACCAATTTAATTTCTTGGTTAACGGATTTTTCTAGAAAAATAATGGAGCGGGCGGGCGAAAAAAAAATTAAAATAAAAACAGGCCTAGGCATCCTATTATGCCCCAAAATGGTACGATAGGAGCCATGAACTCAACACACCAGGCTGGTTCAAAATTTAAACAATGAATTTTGAACTTTTAATGATACCATTGCATTGAAAGATGGAATAACTGTGACAACTAGGATGAAAAGGTCTGTTTTCAACTGTTCAGGGCAAAATATGAGCATTTTGCAGTTGATTCTGGATTTTTATTTTTATTTGCAAATCATAAAAAAATGAAGCGGCGAATCCGTTAACCAAGAAATTAAATTGGTGTGGCCTAAGATAAAATACTTATCTTGAAAGTTCATCTGTGTTGGTAGAAGTCATTATGCAGCAATTTCCAACACAAGAAATTGGACTCACCCAAATTTTCGATCGTACAAAGTTACTACAAACCCAGTCTTTGTCTGAGAATGAACAATCCACAGTCGAAAATTTGGGTGAGTACAATGTCTTGTGTTGGAAATTACAGTTTAAACTTGCTGCATAAAGATAGAATACTATTTAATCAGTGTTTGGGAAGCCATATTCGGCCATGTGACATGCCAGGTCTGACTCTGGCAAAACAAAGTCGACTGAGGGCCGCTATATTGACCATAAAGGTCAGCCTGTCAGAGAGCGCAATCAGAAAATATAGAATAAACAGAACTTTGGACTGTCTCAGCTCAGCGCAGCGTTACGCTCACATTTAGGTCGGTATCCTGCCCTGCGTGCCCTTCTTCGTAAGGCGTAATCAGGCCTTTTTAGACTTCGTAATTCGTAGGCAGCCTCCGTTATAATCAACGTAATTTGTAATAGGACATTAGCCGAAAATTGTTAAGTCGTAATCAATGCACCTCTGAGACTTTAACGTAATTCGTAGTCGGCGGCGAAAATTTTGTGTAATTCGTAATCACTGCCCCCCATGCAGGCCCTCTCCTAAATTGCTTTCCCCCTTTCTATAGCTATAAAGGTACAGGTGGAATTGTCTCTACAATGTTGACGACCGTGGTCGGCAGTTACCCTAAACCGGACTACCTGCGGATTCCGGACTGGTTCACGGACGCTAACCTGGCCAAAGGTTACAAGTACACTCCAGCTGACTACAACGAGTTCCAGAGGGCCGCTGACAAGGAAGGTAGACACATATGCATGAAGAGCAAAGTTCTTTGATCACAACCATTTATTTTTTTACGAGCCGACGTTTCGATGACCGTCTGTCATCTTCATCAGGGCAATTCTGACTGGTTTGCTGTGCACTGATGCTAGATGTAACTCGTGCACTAAATGTGTTACATGGTTCACAGCGCTCTGTTACTTGCTTCGAAAATGCATTGTTAACAGTAAAAACTGTGAACCAAGTAACAGTGCCTTTAGTGCACTATGCACCAAGTAACATCTAGCGTCAGTGCACAGCAAACCAGTCAGAACTGCCCTGATGAAGATGACAGACGGTCATCGAAACGTCGGCTAGTGAAAAATAAATAGTTGTAATCAAAGAACTTTGCATGCTATTCATTCGTTTACCAACCTGATGAAATTATTTATGAAGGTATACACAGTTTTCAATGCATGTTAGTCAAGTCAACAGAAAACCATTGCTGTATACTAGGATAGAGACTCCGATCTAGTAGAATTGGCGATTCTTCTGTACGTTGGATATGATATTGCAACCAAAGTCAGACCCAACACTGTTTAGAAAGACAGTTTTGCTAGGGTGTACAGAAAATGCTAAATAGAGCGGAATGGGACGAAATATACATCAAAAATAATAGATCGCGAATAGCACAAAATTTCGTTTCATTTCGCTCCATTTCGCACTTCATGTACACCCGGGTTTTGCAACTTATATAAAAACTACGCTCCAGATCTAGAGAAGCAGATCACACGCGCGATCCGGGAGGTGATCCAGGAACAGATCGACATCGGGATCGACGTGATCACAGACGGCGAGCTGCGTAGAGAGAACTACATCTACCATTTCTGGTAGGTCTGAATTGAAACACATTTGCTTCTGTATGTATGTCATACTTCGGAAGTTTTAAACAGCGCGGACAAACTGCAAGATGAGTTCTTTATTTGCTGGATGGCACCCTAAAAATCAGACCAGGATCCATTTTCATTCAAAATTTTCAGCATTTTTGCTACATGAATATGGATATATACACGTACATTAGGATGACTGTTGTTTCAACTCACTACAATATTGACTTGGAAAAAATGGTTTTCAAGCCCTAACAAGACTGGCAATTATAATGAAAACATAAATTGCCATGGCGACGATGGTTGCTGTCAGGGTTATTGTTTGCATGGCACTGCAATGATTTTAAGGAAGCCTTGGTACCTGTTAAGTCTAGACAGATACAGTGCACTCGTCCCCTGAGTATATAGTGAACGAGCCCCGGGGTCGCGGAAAGTAGGGCATCCGGCGCAGACAGGTTTTCCCAAGGGTTTCCAGGAATGTGGGCATAGATGTGGGAGACATTCCTGTGGACATTCCATGCCTTTTGACAAAATTCCTGTACAATTCCTAGAATTCTTGCAAACTGCACACAATACTGTACCATTAGGCTCCTCCCTGAGACGTCGCCAAAAACTACTAAAAACTTTTAATATTACTACGTCCTTTTCTTCACAGTCGTCAGTTGGAGGGTTTCAGTTTTGAGGAGTTGGAGAAAGTGACTTACAGGAACGGGGCTACTACCGGATACTTCCCTACTGTGGTGTCAGAGGTCAGACCACGTAAAGACCAGCCGATTGTTGTAGAGGAATGGAGGGCGTCCCAGGGTCTAACCCAACATCCGGTCAAAATCACCATACCTGGACCCATGACCATCATAGGAACTACTAAAAGTAAGTTACGTATACTTCGAACAGTGGTGCTAACTTGTTCAGGTAAACTAGAAAGGTAACATTTGCAAAGCAAATGCATGATGTTTACCTTCCCATATGGTCTGCTCTGTTAATTCTTACTCCAACACATTCACATAATATATGGTGACAGGACTGTAAATCCCTCCTGCTATAAAATTGCAACATTATGTAACCCAACACCAGTTACCATGATCACAGCCGTCTTGGTTCAGGTCATTGACCTTTTGTGTTTGGAGAAGAGGAAACTGAGCAAAAACAACATGTTTTCCTTATTCTGTAAACTTACCTTTACCGGTAACTTCTGTCATATCACAGACCGCTTTTACAAAGACCGACGCGAGTTGAGCGAGGCCCTGGTATCGGTGATCAACCGCGAGGTGCGCGCCCTAGCGGCCGCAGGGTGTAAGTACATCCAGATCGACGAACCCGTCATGATGCGGGAACCAGACATCGCCGAGGATTATGGGATAGAACACGTTTCAAGGTGCTTTGAGGTGAGTGGAATTTATGCATATTAGGTCATCATTATGCACATACCTTAATTCTGTTAGTGTATCACCAATATCCTATTTTTAACGTTCCTCTGTGCCAGTAGAAGCCATGCATTATGAAGCAAGCTTTTCTTTTAACTGTAAATTTCCAACACGAAAAATTGGACTTACTCAAAAGTTTGACGGTACAACTCCAGTCTTTGTCAAAGAGTAAGCAATCCATCGCTTCTGTGACGTCACATTATGCAGATAACACACGTGACTCGGTGAGCAGTGGATCATAGGTTGAAGAAAGCCATCCCTCAACAAGGACGGGGGGCGCCACAGACGTTTATCAGGAAATAGCCCCATTTCTTTTCTTTTCATGACTTACCAAAATGATCTACTCATCGTCAACATACAAATTATGTGACGCTGTTGTTACAAGATCTGTACACATGTTCATTTTTCTTATGATCTTATATCATGCTATTATTTGTCCACACATTAGGGTCTTCCTCCAGAGGTGACCAAGGTTGTACATGCCTGCTGTGGATATCCGCTTTACCTGGTAAGCACATGTACACAGAGGATGCTATACAAAAGGATATGCTGTACTTGCAATTGTAGATACGTTCTTTTCATCCATGTTAAGCATACATTTGTATGCTGTTGTTAACTGTACTTAAAGTAGCTTGCCTTTTATAGGTCGTCTTGATTCCAAAAGGAGCAAAAAACATACACAAGAAGTTATTTTTAACGGCAATTATTTTCTAACTAAAGTTTATTCCAAAAGGACCAAGAAGACTACCTGAAGGCGGACAGATCGCTGTACGGAAGGTTGGCGGGCAAACTGGACAGCGCTGGTTTCGACCGACGTAGGGCCTATTTCTGTACCTGCCTTCTTCCTGTTGGAATTTTTGTCGAGAAAAAAAGATGACGTTTTAAGTTGCACAGACAGAATTATCTGTCATATTGTACATAGCATATTCTATCCGTGGGTTAAGAAAGTTTTGGGAAACGAAAGAGATCTCGAACCCCTTTATATATAATTATTATGGGTTCACCACACCACGAAGTGGTGTGTGGTGAACCCATATTGCTTTTTCTGGTGTTTCTTCTTCTTCTCCTCCTTCTTCTCCTGCCATTTTTTAAATGGATTCAGCTTCTTCATTTTAGGGCCTAAGGTCCTGAAATTTGGTATGGAGGTACAGTGGGCAAATACCCCTAGGCGTTTTTAAATTTTTGTGATACGGGCTTTTAGAATGGTTTTATTTGAGTTTTTTGGCTGTGTTATAGCAAATGTATTACTGTGTTAGTGTGCCGTGTTTACCACGTTAGGGCATGAGTCATCACAATGGAATGCAGGGCATCAACCAATAGGCATGCAGCTTTCCTCTATTCTTCTTGCTGATTGGCTGTTGGGATTTAACTTGATTAACACCTGCACAGAGCATTTCCACCTGCACAGAGCATTTCTTGCTGATTGGCTGTTGGGATTTAACTTGATTAACACCTGCACAGAGCATTTCCATACTAACAGTATGTCTGTATTCAAGTGTTTTGGTAGGTATTTCAAGCTTTCCTGCTCCAGCATTGGAATGCGGGGCATGAACGTTTTTTATTTTATTTTGAAAATCAACAGTTTGCATTATGCAATTAAAAATCCTAACCAATAAAGTAGGGAATAGCTATCCAACTGTTGTTTTAGTTGTATGTTACTTCATATTACAGTATAGTTATATCAATGTAAATCATTGTTTTCCCTTGTGTTTCTCATTCTTTCCCTGCCATGTCGTAAAATGTGGTGAACCCATCGTTGTATTTTCTCCAAAGCAAATATTGGCCTTTCTAGTATATATTTGAATCATGAAATCAATTGTCAAGTAAAGTTTCTCGATGAAGTAGACAGTAGGTTCTGGCATTATAAGGATCAAGAAATTCTTTTTAAAAAATGACAGGGCTAAAATGAGAATAGCTGGTTGGGTGGTGTGAGGGTGATGACGATATGTGTGTCACCTTGGTGACTTGAATTGGACTAGTGCTAATAAGACTGGACTTAGATAAACAATTGTAATGTATCATGAGCTCTTTCAAACGGGAAGAGTTAGTTTGTGATAGTTTATTAGCGGTTACTCGCGGTAAAGAATTGCGTAGCTTATTGTTTCATTCGGCAGGCCTTTCCTACTGGCATCTGCTTGGTTTTCATTCAAATGGCGATGAATAATGTGGTAGTCCCGTAAAAAACATTTCTTGTTCTTCCCCCTTCCAATCACCAACTTATTTGAGTCACACATCGTCATCAAACTCACGCCACCCAATCAGCTATTCCCTTCTTGGCCGGTTTTTTAAAAAGGCATTTCTTATTCTTCCCCCGTCAAGTGTCCATAGAAGACGCGCACTGCCCCACAGACCTGTCGTTCCTGTCCAAGTTCAGCCGGACCACCGTGGTGCTGGGGGTGGTGGCCATAGCCCGCAGCAGGGTGGAGACCGTGGAGGAGATCCGGGGACGGGTTCGGGAGGCCCTGCGCTTCCTGCCGCCACACAGACTGGTGCTGGCCCCCGACTGTGGACTCGGCTTCCTGTCCAGGGACGTGCTCAGGGACAAGCTCACCAACATGGTCGCAGCGGCAAGGACATTTCCCGAGGCATAAAGACCATTTTTGTTAGTCTACAAATTTGAAGGAAGATTTTTTACCTCCGGGGAAGGAGATATCCTTCCGCGAGGAGGTTTTACTATGGTTCGAAACATTTCTGTCAGCAGCTGTTTCTCGCGATCGGCTGGACGGATTTGTCTGTGGTTCGGTATACGTATTGATATTGGGCTGCAGATGATGCAGAACATTTTTGTTTAATTGCATATGTGTTTATGGGCGTCGAAATAAAAGGTTTTTAAGTGCTCTGGACACCCCCGCCATGCTGAAAATGGTAATTACCATGTTGTTAAGGAATGGGGCGGTTGCAGTTTTGCGTCTTAGCATTCAAAAGGGTCAAACAGAGGGGTGTCTGGTTCCGATAAAAATTTGGGTGACGGCGCAGCAATGACGGCGCGGGATGGACGGCGGGGGTAATGGCGCGGGTGACGGTGCAGGCTGTCACGTTAATCAACAGGCCATACCGAACAAACCGTCAGTAGCCATCAAACACATACAAACCATATTACGCACATAACTTTCATACTACACACAAACAAATAATCTAAACCAATAGAACACAAAAAAACCCGGAGGTTTGAAATCTACGATTTCCCTTGTTTTAAATAAAAGCACTTATTAATATTAGTTTTTTTTACATCGATAGGAAAATCAGGGCGCCTTTCGCGTTAATGTGGAAAGAAGAACAATTGACCGGAATAAGATAATAGTCTACTCGTTTTTATACCACAGTAATAATGGAAATGCCTCACTGTAAGAAGATTCAATTCTTTTTTTATTATTTTTTAAAGCGAACTACAATAGATAAAATGCCAAGCAGGCAACGGTGTTTATCATCGTGATTACCTCATATAACAATATTTGCTTAGTTTTCAACTTTTTAAAATACATTTGCGTTCTCAAATAAAATTATAAACATGCAAAGCGGCTGTGTCTTACTCTTTTAGCTGTAAAATATTTCTTTAAAAAATCATGATGTATCAAACGAGTTTTGCTTAATTGTTTAGACTGATTCTGAAGCTGATAATGCTGTGTGGACTGTAACTGTCTTAGCCTGGTATTCAGTCTTACGTGGTTGGGGTGTTCAGGCAGGCTGTGTTTTCGGGGGCTCTAATAGGTCCCCCCGCCCAGTGCTACAGGCCGTCCCAGTCTGGTCCCAGTGTTACGCTAAGGCCACACCAAGTAAATTTTATGGATGACGTCCTTTGGAGACCCTAAATCTAATGCGAGAGGGTGAGAAAAAAACAAGAAGGGCCCTGAAAAACAAGATGCCTAGATTAGAACATACTAAGAGATGACAAATTAGGACACAAATTGAATGAGGTGACACAGATTAACAAGCAAGAAGTCTTTTATTCATCATCAAAACAGCAATAAAACAGGTGGAACAGCAGTTGTCGTCCTGTCCTGTTTTCGCGTTACGGGTTTCACGTCAATTAATCTGACGATTGGCACTGTCGTGACGCTTTGGTCATAGTTACAGGAAGCGGAATTTCTTGTTTTTTTTTCTAGGAACAGGCCAAAATCAATGCGCGCGCGGACGTCATCCATAAAATTTACTTGGTGTGGCCTAATAAGAGAAAGGGATTTGGGTTCGTGGAGGGCTAATCAATCTCTTGTGAAATACACACCGGGACACCTATGTGAGGCGGGCGGGACAGAGTGTTGCCCCGACCACGAATCAGACTGGATACCAGGCTATAATTGTCTGAAAATTTGCACGATTCTCTGAGCGTGGAGACTAAGCTTACAAGGACAGGTGAAAGTTGCAATAAGAGCGATAGAACTTTACAGTCGATAATGGTATGTGATCTAAAGATGGTGATGCGCACATTGCATGCTCTAAAGCGGAAATGCAGTGTACTTCAAACAAAAGAACGGCCAAGTTGCAGCTGTCTTTGGCTCTCCTAGTATCTTCCTGACTTGCTTAGAGCGGATTACACAATTAACGGCAGCTGGCAATATTATCTCGTCATATAAGTTGAACAGAATAGAGGACGTACGAACGCCATTTTGTAATAGAATGTGAACTGTATAGCAAAGAGAGAAATGAACTGTATATGTTTGTACAACACCTATTCCCCTATTTCATGCACCTAAGTACTTTAGACAAATTCATATTCCTAATGCGACTAGACAAACCACCCATCAAAAAACAAATCTGTACCTTTATCTCTACGATAACTGATAAGCGTGGAGAAGTTGAATTTATTCGATAGTTAGTTACTTTTGTATATGTTAATTAAGAGTGACCATTCATCTTGTTTTGACCTGTACTTAGCCAAGTGTGGCAGAAATTTGCAACAAAGGTCTTCATTCATAATGTTCAAAGCACTTCACAGTAAGTCATCACTTATCATGTGATCCGACATGCAGCTGGTCTTGACTGTCTTCCTGCCATGACTTTAGCTACACAATATTCCTGTTTCCTGTGAGTTTAGGCAGATATCGGTAGGTTGAGCTGGCAGGAGTGCGGGATTACTCTCTAATGGGGAAATCTCGCATGTTTCGTAAGGCCATGTTGATTTGATTATATGGATGACATCCTCTGGGAACCCCAAAACTGATGCGCGCGTGCGAATAAAAAAAAAGTTTTGCAAACAAAAAAAAAGTTGCTTTCACTATGAAATCTACGTGGTCATGAAGGTTGAACAAATGGCACAGAATATGTTATGGTGAATAATCTACTCTTCGAATTCTTTTTTTTACATTTTTGTCTTTTTTCCTTTGATTTTGGCATTCTACGACATTGGTATCGTTTCTAAATGATTTCCTTGCAACTTATGGTATATTTTTGCTCATTTAGCAACTGTTTTGCACGATTTACAGTATGGTTGAAAACCTTTTTTTTTTAAAAAGGCCAAAAATTCATGCGCGCGCGGATGTCATCCATATAATCAAATCAACATGGCCTAAGCAGGAATAGCCCGGTATCTAGTCTTACGTGGTTGGGGGTGTTGGGGCTATTCAGGCAGGCTGTTTTCCTCGGGGGCTCTAATAGGTCCCCCCGCCCAGTGCAACAGGCCGTCCCGGTCTGGTCCCGGTAGGAGTGTCACGCTAATAAGAGACAGTATGCTTCGTGGAGGGCTAATCAACTATTACATGTACATGTATATATAAATGCCTAATGTATTCTAGTCTTTTCAACTTCTTCTCGCTTCTTGGTAATAGTATAAATGCACGATGCGTTAGGGTTTGCAAAATTGCAACCCTAACTAACTTTAAAGTTAATCCGTTGATCTTAGGTGACATGAATCGAAGTTGAAAACTATCTTTTGGGATCTCTCTACAATTGGCAGAAAGCCGACCAGAGTTTTTGCTGACATATCGTCCTATAATGGAATACAACAAATTTATAGCATTTCATCATTAATTATAAAAATCAGATTATGATTTCAAATATATTCCGTTTAGTTATGTCAAGCATCACTTAAGCTCCCCGCATACCGAAATTCATGACGATCGGTCAAGCGGTTCTTGAGTTATCCTCCTTACAATGTTTAAAAACGCCCCTGCGGCCGCGCGGTCCCAGAACAAGCTGCTAGGGGGCCGACTTACATTACTTACTGCCAGAAACTAAAGAGCTTTCTACTAGTCAAAAATCATGAACATGAGAATTACAGAAATTTCGATATGCAAATCTGAGGAAGACTCGTATATGATAGAACAAAACTAATAGCTGATACATGTACACGTTTTCCAATAATACTAGGAGCCAATAAATGTACTACAAGCCACCACATTTTATTGCACTGCAACAACATTGCAAACTAAATATAGCCACTTAGAGATGTGTATATGGATGGGCTACATAACAAAGACTGTAGATATTCATGGCATAGAAAACCAAAACATGTACTACTAAACATAAATGATTTACGGCATGGCAAACTCATTGGAAATGGTACATAACAATTTGTTTTTACATTTACATTTTTAAACATTTACAAGCCGGCGGTCAACATATACGGAATACATTACATAAATAACAATACTGAGGATCTATGTACAAAATAAAAGTATATACTGTTGATTCCTATACGCTAGAAGTCAAACTATTAAGAGTCATTCCATAAACTACATATATAACTACTAAGAACAGACAGTACAAGTTTGTCACGATTAAGGGTTTTATAGGTTATGTTAAATACTATCACAGATTAGAATATGTTACAGCACAAAACTGTGGGGAAATGGATAAACATATGTTAAAAAGGGGTCCACAGTATGGTAAATTGTCAGACTAATGTATTTTGTGCAAAATGTCTCTGGGTATTTATTTTTCTTGTATGTGAACATGTCCTCTGTTTTCTTTGTTTTTTTAACTAATAATAATAATAAAGATTATATCATTTGAAAAAGAAAACTACATGTTTGGTACTATGAACATATCATTAATGCAAAGTATGAGCCGATTTGACCCGGACCCCCATCTTCCGACCTCTGCCTGGTTTTCTCGTGAAATGACTCTTATTGAATATATTTTAATTAGTTTAAGCCTCAGGGACTGGTCACTCACTACATTTTGACGCATATATATACATTGAACAGTACATTTTCTCAATAGGACAATTATTGATAGCCATAAAAACATTAAATTTAAGCAATGCTGCATATATATTTGTACATCACGTAAAGTTTTCAGTCAACAAACACGTTTAACGTCTGAGTAAATTTTCACTATAACGAGACTGAACCGAAACACTAAATGTGCATCATTTAGGTATCGTAAAAGTGCTATCAACAAGCATGTATACGTCTCCTACACATCATGTAAAGTTTTCTAGTCAACAAACACGTTTAACTTCTGAGTACATTTTCACTCTAAGCAGACTGAACCGAAACACTAAATGTGCATCAATTAGGTATCGTAAAAGTGCTATCAACAAGCATGAATACGTCTCCTACACATCATGTAAAGTTTTTAGTCAACAAACACGTTTAACTTCTGAGTACATTTTCACTCTAAGCAGACTGAACCGAAACACTAAATGTGCATCATTTAGGAATCGTAAAAGTGCTATCAACAAGCATGAATACGTCTCCTACACATCACTATTACTCTGCAGTTTTTTTACTTATTATTTGTTTTACATATTTCCTCAGTGCAAGGCTAAAGACCACTCCTAGGCATTGAACGTAAACTAAGCTGGATTCCCTCTCACACAGACGCAACGTCGCATCCCTATCCCTCTTTTAACAGATACTTTCACGGTCGATGTCCAGGAGAACTTACACTTCTTGTTCCGCCGCTTAGAACCTTTCAGCGTGCCACTAGGTTCTCTTCCAGTTCTCATCAATACACCGTTAACATACCTGTTTCCAAGTCATTCTACAACAACATCTTCGATTCTTTCCCCGGACAGCTACATTATGGAACCCTCTTCCAAACACATGCACTACAATCCACAAAGCTTCATTGAAAACAAAGGTCCACCGCCATCTCCTGACATTACCACATTATACTCACATACGTACCTCCAGCTCCGTATGCCTAGAAGTGGCCAAAAATAATTGGCCTTGCACTGAGCGACACCGTTAAAAAAATTACGGGCTGATGAATCAGCATCTCAAGCCAGAAACATCAATTTTCGAGACAAGCTCAACTAACGCAGAATAAGGATCAACGGCCCAAATAGGATTTGGAATTAAGAATGAATTGTTTTGAATATGGGGGAGTCTGTAACTGTATGGCTGCTTAAATATGTAATTTGTGATGGTCCGAAACTATGCCAATAATGTGCATTACTCGTACCAAAGCATCACAACGTTATGTGAAGGAAAGTCAACAATTGTAGTTCCTGAGTTTGCATGGATCAGGATTGTGGAACAGTACTTACAATCTTACAATATCAAGTAAATAAACAAATCTTAAAGATCGGTAAAACAGGCCTACCAGCTGAGTGCCCCTGTGGATACGAGAAAAAGCCGGTCCTAGCCTGCTCCTAATCCCAGACTCTTCCTTGCCTAAATTGTTCATTTGTCCTTTCCAGATGGAAACGTATTTTCACTTGGGTGAACACAATTGTCCTGGGTCCAGTTCTTTTTCTGATTTGTCCACATCTATTCCACAGCCTTCTTTCGTGTAATTTCACCGTTTAACTGCATTCTTTGTTTCAGTGTCTCAAGATCGTCTTTAGGATTTGCCTTTGTTGTACTGGTTTGTATCATCTTCCTCCCATGCCAATTTCCGACGCGTTGGTGGACGGTCCAAAGTGTGCACTGCTGTTGCCTCGTCGATCTCTGTGTCCAACGTTATTGTAGGGACGTCGTCTTCTTCGGCGTCCGTGTGTACTTGTCCGGGGAGGAATACCGTCGCGTCCTCCTGTCCGGTACGTGGCCTCGGCTCAGCGTGCACCTCTGCCATCACTGTTAGCCGGACCGGTGGCCCTGAGACGGTATCGCCGCGGCCACGGTGCCCTGCACGAGGCGCTGGTCCTGGGATGGTGTCTGCCGGTGTTGTCTGCTTCTGTGCCTGGTTGGAAGGTATGTTCTCCACCGGCGCTGGCTGCATGATCAGGCCCTCTGAAGAGACTTGAGCTGGCGCCAACTCCGAGGCCGGCCCACCGCGCCGCCCAGTACCGGTGACGGCGGCCATCTCCGCGTCGTCCTGGCGATGCCGCCGTGTCGTCGGTGCCGCCGCCGGTGGGTTAGGGTTGGCCGGCCATCCGCACAGCTGCCTCAAGGCTCGGCGGAACTCTGGCAGCCGAAAGCTGTAGATGACAGGGTTGGCCACGGACGATAACGTCAGGTACAAGAGAAAGGCCACGCGTCCGGTGACGATCAGGGCACGTTGCGACATCTGTTCCTCACTGATCAGACCTCGGATCGTGGCTATGCGGAAGCAGGCAGTGGCCGTGCAAACGGTCAAAACGGCAGCATGCGGCACCGTCACTTTGAACGCCTTGGTCTGAAACACCCACAGGTCACGGTTCTCGTCCCTTTCCTGTTGTCTTCTAGCCTCCTTGAAGATTCGAGAATAGATCACTAGGATGGAGAGAACAACAAGTACCCCGAAAAGTAGGCCCATGCTTCTTAAGATGGCAGATAAGGAAGTACTGTTCATAGGCTCCGCCTCACAACGCAGGTTAAAGTTGTACTTGGGCAGTCCTCCGAAGGCCACAGGTGCTAATCCGCCGAAGAGGGTGAAGGCTCTGAACGCCAAGATGCCCAGGACCACGCGTTTTGTGGTGACTTTGTCATGGTAGTGTAGGGGATGGCATATGAAATAGTACAGATCTACTGCCATCATGAGGTATGTACCGCACATGGATAGAATACTTGCGGGTGCTACCAGTGCCTGGACCGTGCACCACGTCTGTCCCCCGCGGGCATCCTGCCGGAAAAGTGCGTACACTCGGACGGGAATCAGACAGCCGGTGAAGATGATGTCGTCTACCGCCAGGTTACACCGCAGGTAGTGGCTGGGCTTCTGGAGATACTCTTTCTTCCAAACCAAGAAGATGAGCAGCAGGCCGCATCCTACCGACAGCACCAGGCTGATGACGAGATACGCCGTCTGCAGATCGCGAGATGTTGAGCCGAGGGACAGAACATGGTTGATGCCATCTTCTATTGACGAACCGTCCGTGTCGTCTTCCATATTGACAGCTTTCAAACTCGACGCTTACATGTAGTCGTGAATAGTGTTCTCCTTTCTGACTAGCTAAACGGTGCAACTAGGCAGCTGTGTGGCAAGTACTGGCTTAAGACAGCCAATTTCTTCAGGAGTTAGAACGTGATATTTCAGCGAGAAAAAAGGTTGTTTGTTAGCCACCACTCTATATGAACCTCTGTTCTGACGTCTAAGGTATTCGTGAGATGGCGTGTGGCTCTTCACGTCAGTGGCGAGTAACAAGAATGTTGTAATAATAATAATAAACTGTTCATCCACGGAACTCATCTCGTGACGAAGGCCAGCGACAGACACAAAGACTCAGACTGCGACAGTTATTAAAAAAAATCATGTAAAGATCATACGCCGAATACCTTAGACGTCAGAAGAGATCTTTTTATGCATGTACAAAGGTTGCTGACAAACAACATTTTTCGCGAAAGCGTCAGACACAAAGACTCAGACTGCGGCAGTTATTAAAAACTTCATGTAAAGATCATACGTCGAATACCTTTAATAGACGTCAGAAGAGAGCTTTATATACATGTACAAAGGTTGCTAACAAACAACATTTTTTCTCGCTGAAATATCACGTTCTACCTGAAGAAGAGTGGTGGATGTCACTCGAAATGTCCGGAAATTATGTTATTTTAAAAGGAGCAAGAAAGACATATTTTGTACACAAAAGCATAAACTTAGCCTGGTGTTGGGTTACATCATGTTGCAATTTTATAGCAGGAGGGATTTAGACTTGTCACCATATATATGTATATGAATGTCTTAAAAATTAACAGCGCAGACTATATGCGAAGGTAAACATTATGCATTTGCTTTGCGAATGTTACCTTTCTAGTGTACCTTTGCTTCTTTATGTCACCTTTATTTCAAAAGGACCAAGAAGACTACTTGAAGGCGGACAGATCGTTGTACGGAAGGTTGGCGGGCAAACTAGACAGCGCTGGTTTCGACCGACGTAGGGCCTATTTCTGTACCTGTCCATCTTCCTGTTCAACTTAATTGAATCGTGAAATCAGTTATTCCCCTTTCTTTGGTGAAAGAATACTCTAGATGCCAAACTGGTATCGGGCCCAACCGTTTTCCTTCGGCAGCCGATTGCAAGAGCCCTTCGCCCGCCTATCTAAATTACTCGTACCGCTACGGGGGAGTTGAGCCCGAGGGGTTTGTCAGGCTAAAAGGGCGGCCAAACTCCCCCCGGGCTAGACTCCCCCGCTGCGGTAATTCCGACCAGCGGGCGAAGGGCTCTTGCGTTTGGCTCTTGAGTTTGGCTTCCAGGGTAGTGAAAGAAGTAAATTCCAGTTTCTTCACGAAGTTGACAAAGGTTATGGCATTATAAGTATCAAGAAATTCTTGTAAATCATTTCTTGTTTCCAGTCTCTATAGAAGACGCGCACTGCCCCACAGACCTGTCGTTCCTGTCCAAGTTCAGCCGGACCACCGTGGTGCTGGGGGTGGTGGCCATAGCCCGCAGCAGGGTGGAGACCGTGGAGGAGATCCGGGGACGGGTTCGGGAGGCCCTGCGCTTCCTGCCGCCACACGGACTGGTGCTGGCCCCCGACTGTGGACTCGGCTTCCTGCCCAGGGACGTGCTCAGGGACAAGCTCACCAACATGGTCGCAGCGGCAAGGACATTTCCAGAGGCTTAAAGATCCATTTTTATTAGTCTACAAATTTGAGGAAAGATTTGGGGAAATAAAAGCACAAATCAGTGTTTTTACATGGAGAGGAAAGTCGTTTTAGCAAAACCGAGAAACAGCTTTGGCCACACCAATTTAACTGTTTTTTCCCGGATTCGCCCTGTCCATTTTTTTCTGGTTTGCAAAAAAAGGAAAAAACATTTGGCTCTAACACTGGTCACTTACTAGTCTATATCAAACATTTTCCATTGTACAAAAAAGCAAGTTGACCACTCTGTATTAGCTCGGTAGCTAGAACACTTTTAGCCTAGTATAGTACCCTTATATGTTCCTTATGTATGTATGTCTAAGTCAAGCAGTGTATCTTTTGTTTCCACTTTTATATTATATATACATGTACGTTTGTTATGTGTAGTGATGCATACCTAAACTTAATTTTAGTTTAAGGTCCGGATTCAAGTCCAGAGGTTTAGGTCCAGTTCCGGACTTGTAAGTCCAAACCTAATACCATGGCATATACAAAATTGCATGTTGGCAACCTTGAAATATTGTCTGGGTGAAACTTTGGCCACATAACATGGGGGCCGGTACTTGACGATGGCAATGTTTTCTTCGTCTTGCAGCAAAGATTTTACAATCTACGGAAGGTTTTGGGTAGTTTGGAAAGAAAAGGGGTATTTGAAATAGTCTTTCATGGTATTAAGTCCAGACTCGGTTCTTGACTTTTAGGTTTTTTTTTTTACTTGAACCTAAACATTCTTACAAGTCCGGATCCAAGTCCAGTGAACCGGTATGCATCACTAGTTATGTGTCTGTTAAGTCTTGACCTGTACCTAGCCCGTCGTGGCATGAATGTACAATAAAGGTATTTCATTTCATTTCATTAAAACTTCACATAACACACAAAAACATTCGCACACAGCCATTGTTTGAGAGGGCATTTATTTTTTTGTGTATTTCATGTACATTATTTAGTCCACACACATCCAGGCCGGGTTGTTGTGTAGGTGAGATGGGGGGTCTGGTTATTCCGCCTCCATGGCCCTCAGGTACGATGCCTTCTTCTGCTTGATACGGTCCTTACGCTGCGCGAGGGACATCTTGGCACGGTTCCATCTGTGGTAAACACAAACAACAGTTAGTAAACAAACAAACAAACCATAGACAAAATAACCTGCTTTGCTATCAGTTTTTATTTTTATTTTTTTTATGAAGATTTACCACATTTGTGGAAGGATTGACATAACAGGTGACTATCACCTTTGTCAAACCTGTGACCAGACTGTAAGGTTTGAACCACTCACACCGGGAAGGTCCCCTACTCTTTTTGGTAAGTGCGGTGGGTTCTTTAACATGCGTGGGGTGTGGCTCTCCCAAACATGGGACCTCCATTTAACGTCCTATCCGAGGGACGTCCCTAACCGAAGCTAGGTACTCATTTATACCCGAGTGAAGTGAGGAAAGTCGTGTTAAGTGCCTTTCCCAAGGGCACAAAATTGGAGACACCAGGCAGGATTCGAACCCTGCACCTCTTGGGCCTCGGCTGAACATGCTAAGTGGACTTCAGGGTGTACAAATTCAGTTGTTTTCTTATTGTTGTCATTAACTTATTTCCTGAAAAGCAGGCTGGGACAGTCCATCCTCAGTTTGGGACAATTGACATCTATTTTTGGAACAATTCTGGGACAATAGTAAAAGAAAGTTAATTTTGAGGCCTGAGACAACACCCACCTCTTGACGGTAACTTCCTTCTTCTCCTTAGGTTTGTGCTCAGGGTCCTCCCTAATTGCAGCGTGGGCCTTGGTGTACATCTCCTCAATCTGACAAAAAGAATGGTATGGTAAAAAAAAGAATTTAGTGACATGATCATATACAAAGTACATTTCATGTTAGAACAGTTAAGAATCTATTCTATCTGTATAAAAAAAACTGTTGCACATTTGATGCTCTTTCAGGGCTCTAAATACTAGGTGAATGTGCACCTTAGTGCACCCAAAATTGGAGCTGTGCACCTAATTTTTTACCTTAACAGCATTGAAGAAAACAATGTTTCAACTTCTTTTCAACTTTTCAACTCTCTTATTCAATTTTCTATTGAATTGATCATGTGTGATACTCAAAACACGAATTTACTGGTAATCAGTTGACTGCTTCATTTTGTTGTTGTTGTTGTATTTTCAAAGAGAAAAAAAGAACTGTTTAGGTTCTGGATCAACTCCAAAATGCTCACATTTTTGGCATCAATAGTTGATGGAAGCCCTTATCTTCTTAGCTTTTTTTCCCTTATTGATTCATATTATTTCTTTTACAAATCCAAGAACCAAAGAAAACCTTTCCTACCGAGTCAGCCGTGATGCCAAGCTTGATGTAGGTTCCAAACTGGGACTTGTAGGCCTCCTCATCCTCCTCCTCCAGTTTCCTCATGTACTCAGCCACGTGCTGGCCGAAGATGTGCCCGCGGTGAACCTCCGCGTTGAAGTCTTTCGACTCGGCATCGTAACCCGGGAAGCGCTTCGTGCTGTGCGACAAAAACCAAACAAGAAACGGACGTGAAACAACCACCAAAGCCAAAGGAAAGAAAGCACAATGTTCTTGTAATGCTCTGATTCAAAGGGTTGAGTTTTTTTTTGTGTGTTCGTGTGTGTGTGCTGGTGTCAGTGTGTGTGTTGATGGTGTGTGTATTGGTATGCATGCACGTGTCCGTTGGTGTGTGTGTATTGGTATGCATTGTGTCGTGTTGATGGTGTGTGTATTGGTATGCATGCATGTGTCCGTTGGTGTGTGTGTGTATTGGTACATGTGTTGGTGTGTGTATGCGTGTATACATGTGTATTGGTGTGCATGTGTATTGGTGTGCGTATGTATTGGTATGTGTGTGTGAACGTTGGAACCATGAAAAGTAATTTGCAGCTCAAACCTTTCATTCACAGAATATGAAAAATAAGCACGGGCAAATTTATAGGAATATAAAATCTACCAAAAAACTTTGCTGGTAATGAACGTGCAAATTTTCATACGATAGTAAAGTAAACCAGGTGAGTCTTTCAGGACTGAATGGCCAAGGGAAGTTGGAATGTTGGGTTTCTGGTTTCAGTCCTGAAAAAACTAAGGTAAGGCCTAGGAAAATAAATGTTGTGTTTCCTGTTTCCCGACCGACCCTAAAAAAAACCGCCGACCCTAGCCTTATTTTTGTGTGGACCCCTGCATATTGCTGAACCAAAACATTTTGCACGACGCTACCGAGAGAATCGCTGTTATTGGTGGAACATCGGGCGCCCCGCTAGCGTTTTGAAGTCGTGTAAACAACGCTAATAATTTGTCTGATTTGTTTGTAAAACAAAGCCATCGACTCCGAAAATAAGTTTAAAAGCCGATACATTTACGAACTAATCGTAGAAAATTCCCTACCGTACTGCACCATCAGCATGCGGCGGCCGCAAAAATTCGGCAACGCGAAAGAAAAATGTCTGGTCCATGATAGCAGTATTTCTCATAAAAATAATGTATATGATTTATTTTTCCCCCTTTGTCGGTCTTTTGGTCCCAAAACGTCTAAAAAAGCGGAAATTTGCCCATAAAACCGGACAAGGAAAGGTAGCTATCGACGTAAACAAATTATAAGCACATGGCGAAAATCAGCAAAATCGGCAACGGGACAGAAAAATGCCTGGTCCATTTATCGATATTTACCATGAAAATGTCGTCTGTGGTGTATTTTTCCTCTGATGTGAGTTTTTAGGTCGCAAAACCTCTAAAAAAGCAGAAATTTGCCCACGAAAACGGACTGGCAAGGCATGGGGGAGGGCGCTGTTGACGCCTGCATGACCCCCAAAGGTTGAAGGTCATAGGGCACGTCCATTGCGCAATAACCTTAAATCGCCGATTTAGCTAATTTTTTGGGGTTTCAAATTGATACAATCACACTATCGATTTTTAGGCAAACAAAGGGATAGAAACCAATTAAAATTTTGTGCAGATTTAATTTTTTTTCTTTAGAATTCTTTTTTGTTTCTTTTTTTTCTCCCAAATCCCTGGGAGAACCCTGAAAACCTGTAGACTTGAATCAGGACCTGAATCTGAATTTAGCCCTGCAAGGGCTAGGGACATCTGTTAAGTTCTTCGAGCTGATCGACCGTTTAAAGCTCCATGATCTGACACCTGAGTGATGAAATATAATATTGCACAATCGATTTTTCATCATGTTCTGCTTATATAAACACAGCAATCAGCAAAGTCTAAAAAAAAAATAAAAAATAAAAATAAAATAAGATAATCCCTACCTACCGACCCTAATTTTTTCTGGACTGAAACAGGAAACACAACATTTTTTTTCCTTGGCCTAACTAGGAATTTTTTTTTAGTTTCGGCCAAATATTTTACCAGATTTTCTAATGACAAAGTTGCTCCTGAAATTGCGTGATATGATTTACGTTTAAGAATTCCAGAGGGTTTGAAATTTTAAAGCCTTACCAGCTGTCGATCCAAAAACAAGCTAGGGTCGGCTTGAACTTGCTATTCTATCGATCGGGGGTCGATTGGGAAACTGAAAACATTATTTTCCCAGTCTAACATATATTGTGAACCCACCTATGGGGGATGTCCAGACCGCCGTCGACGGCTCCCTTCATGGCGCCGAAGACGCGGGCGCCGGTGCTGGTGCGGACCAGCCCCACGTCCAGGAAGCAGCGGAAGGGGCGGGGCTGGCCGTCAACCTCCTCCACGTTGTACTCATCACCGTCAATCTCGGTGCAGCCTTCATAGATCGTGTCCAGGCTGAACTTCTTCAGAATCTGAAACAACCAGGAGGCCCATACTTGAACTTGACCTTCGTCTTCCCAACACCTACCCACATATCAAATATTGTGCTAAATTCCTCAAAAATCTGAAACATAAAAATGCTACATTGACAAGTGCACTTCAATGGAAAGCTACCAGGAGGCCCATACTCGAACTTGACCTTCGTCTTCCCAACACCTACCCACATATCAAATATTGTGCTAAATTCCTCAAAAATCTGAAACATAAAAACGCTACATTGACAAGTGCACTTCAAAGGAAAGCTACCAGGAGGCCCATACTTGAACTTGACCTTCGTCTTCCCAACACCTACCCACATATCAAATATTGTGCTAAATTCCTCAAAAATCTGAAACATAAAAACGCTACATTGACAAGTGCACTTCAATGGAAAGCTACCAGGAGGCCCATAATTGAACTTGACCTTCGTCTTCCCTACACCTACCCACATACCAAATATTGTGTCCAGGCTTAATTCCTAAAAAATCTGAACATAAGAACGCTAGATTGACAAGTGCACTTCAAAGGAAAGCTACCAGGAGGCCCATACCTTCATCTTCCCAACACCTACCTACATACCAAATATTGTATCCAAGCTAAATCTCTTCAAAACCTGAAACACAAGACAGCTGAAGCCTAAATCTCTGTTTTAAGTGTAGTTTTGAGCATGGAAAAAATTATTCAACAGAACACTTTGATTTTTGATCCTTATTCAGATCCCTACTAAATACATTCACTTGAGAACAACCTTCCCTTCTAGTAATACATGACAAAAAGATGTGTTTCTTACCCTGCGGGCCAGCAGGAGTCCAGTACAGTATGCAGCTGCATAGTTTGTCAACCCGACCTTAATGCCGTAGCGAGGGAGTTCATGTGCGTACGCAGCACACACGATGACGTCCCCTTCTATCCGGGCATACGCTACCTGTGGGGAGAAAACAGCGGTCATCAATTCTGTCACCTTTGACTCTCTGAGATGCTTGAAACTTAACTTGACTTAAAATAAGTACAGAACAGTTTTTTGTGACTATTACATCTTGGTACAGAAGTGTTGTTTTACGTGCTTTAGGTTTGTGTAGCTGTGACAGTGGTCAACATGCCGAAAATGGGCAAAGATGCTTGTTGCCATGCCGGAACGTGGATGGCAGATAACTATAAAGAGAGGAGACAAGAAAAGGCTCTGATTTAATGTTTTGTTTCTTACTTTGATGCAGTGATATGTGATGTTGGCTGTGTATATGTGATGTTCCCACTGAATCAAAACCATTTGTACAATGATTGAGTCAAAATTTTAAAATGTAGGAACCTTGTTTTTTTTTTTAATTTGAGTCTGCTGAGGATGTCATCCATAAAATTTACTTGCTGTGGCCTTATGTCTAAAATGTCTGAATTCTTCTTTGTACTAATGTTAGCTCTGACTGCCTCATGTATCTGAAGACACGGGGGCATTTCATTTTTATCTACTTGAAATGAATGTTTAAAATGCACAATGTAACACAAACCTGACAAATGATGTCCTTGTTGGTGAAGCGTACTATAAGCCTGTACTTAGGTGTATTGTACTTGTTCTTCTCCTGGATCACCAAACGTTTCCTGGCATAGTAGTCAGTTACACCCTCTGAAAAAAAACCCGAACAACATAGCATCAGAATAAAGATATACATGGAAAATGTTCATAGGTTATGAATATATACCATGGAATGATTACTCAATTTCAGACTGTATTTTTTGTGTGACTTTGATAATAAATTGACAAATGTAATCGTTTTAGCCAAGGGGAAAAAAAGCATTTTTGTGACCATTGCAGATTATGAATAAATTATGATAAAGTGAGCACTAATTTTTTTTGACATGTACAATGACTTGAACTTTAAACTTTACAAGGAAGTTACTGAAATAGAAGATACAAGAGAAAACTATTTTTTACCTATTTTTTTAAAAAAAAGTAACATCAATTTCAATATTCAACATAATTTGTGTGTCCATGTTGCAACATCATGGCAGGATTGCTACATACCTCTACGCCTTCTGAACTTGACTTGGAAACGCTTGAAGTACGCTTTATTCTTCACCACTTTAACGAACCCCTGCAAGGGAAAAATATTTGCATAAATTTCTTTAAAAATTGTATAATAAATTGTATTTGGCTTGTCTTACAAGTAGTAAAGTCATGATAAAATTCCTCTAGAAATTGAGTAGAAAAGTCAAGATATTCCTATACAACTTAGGCTGAAGTACAAAAGTCAAGATATATTTCAACTTCTGGAATAGAAAGTTACAATTAAAAAAAATGAAACAATTTTCTGGTGCAAAATGAACCTTAAATATCAACTGAATTTTTTCAGAATGTCATTTTTGCGACTCGAGATTTTTTGCTAGCTTTTTACTTTAGTTCTTTCACAAATAACCTGTCATACACAACAACCAGGAGACGAATTATGGATCCCTAAGTACTTAGTACTTCCGAAATATGAAATTTGTAGTTTCAACCCTTGGTTTGTAAAATTTTGCACATGGCAAAAATAACGGAGTGTGCCGTATGGCCACGTTGTACTTCCAACTACTAACGAGTCAGAAAAAAATGCAAACCTTGCGTCTACTGCTCACTTTAACCAATAAAATACAGGCTAGAATGATAAATAAAGGTACCGTGCTACTAAAGGTTTGTAAAAGTGTTTGTGCACTGGATTTTTCATTTCATTTTTCGTAAATTCCTCCAAACTTGCAGTAAGGGTCCGCCATCTTGCAACAATCTGATGACTCGCATATCCATTTCTATCCGCAAATATCTCATCATCTGAGGAACAATCGGTGATGAAACTTCGCTACAAGGTAGATTAGACTTTATATTTTTGATTTTTCGTCGGATTTTGTGGATGAAACTCACCATTTTGGCTGGTTCAGCCTGTGTCCGTTGGACCTTAGATAGCCTCGGCTAGGGGCCGACGAAATATCATCGGAAAAAGGAGGTTCATCACTACGCAGGCGCAAACCTCCCAAAATCACCCGGATGAAGACCGATCCATTAACATTCAGGGGGTTGATATTAAACCTCAGAACTTTTGCTCCTTTCTGATCTCAAGAAATATGACTTTATGCTGTATCTTTAATAACCACCAACTGATGTATTTGGAAGAGAATTTTTGACCATATCAAAAGTTACTATTAGGAAGCTATCGTAAGTGTAAAATCAATTTTATTCGATAGGATACTAGTATTGTATGTCACATTCCAATTCAATCTGCATCATAACTAATATTTTTTACTTGTTCCATAATTTTACTGTCACTGAAAATCACAAAAGCATTTTTTCAGTCACACACAAAAAATGAAATCATCTTTATACACACCCCTGTAGTGTTACCGAAGTTGAGACCGCCCAAAAATGGTCACGTGGCAATAATTAGTCCAATCAAATCTCGCGGCGGTTTCCCAACGTCCACAAACATGGCGGCGTGCTGTTTGTGTTTTTGTCTCACCTGACGGTTTTTAGGAATTTCTCGCCCGAAATAAGCCGCTTTCGATGTGATTCTTGTCAGGTAAGTGCACGGAAACAACACTTATCCGTACCCAGTAGTCTTAGGTGTCAAGAAACTTTGTAAAGTTTCAAAATAGAGTCTCGGAAACAAGCGTGAAAAGGTCTGGAAAGCTTCGAAAGTAGTTTGTTCGCGATGCTACCACAGGTGGGAAAATTTTGGTATGTAGACGAATAATTTAGAAGTACACAACAGGTGCACCTAGGTTTGTCTAACGGACACTGGTGACCTCTGACTTCTTCTTTGAAGTGATGATTTACCACTTTCCTGCTAAGGTGTTAGTTTATTTAAGAAGAGGTTGAGCTGAGACACTTTGTTGCACTTCGGCGTTGTCTAAATGCGTTACCAAGCGCATCTGTAGTACGTAACGTTATGTTTAAAATTCCGGGTAACCAACTTTTCAAACTGTCCATGCGTATGTAGAATGTAATTGCACTATTGCAGAAACGGTTTTCGCTATAACTTCATGTTACCCTACCAATCCTCGTTCCAGATCACAGTTCCTATTCCAGATGACAACGCAATTACGACCAGCGAAGCCAGAGCATAGAGACGACTGAGTGTATTCTTTGTTCTCTCAAACCAACTGCGCAGTACGCATGCGTACATCGGATCAAACCATTATCCTAAAGGGGGTGTTTCTACATGGCAACACACGCCCCCCCTGGCTGAGATGTCGTCCCGACATTTGACAATAAATATTGAACTGTTGTAAATAACATGTAGAACTGTTAACTTGGAACTTCTCTATAGCTACATCTATGTGAATTCGAATAAAATATTTTTAACTTGTACAACAAAGTAAAGAGTGTTAGAACTGCCTTAAGAACCGCTTTGACTATTGAATTAAACTTAACTACAGCAAGACTGCATTTTTCACTACGTAACTTGCACGTACATTTCAAACATCGCGAAGGCACTGACTTCTACAGTAGCAAACTGATATAAGATAAGATTCTACTTCCATACAGAAGAGATAAATGCATACTAGCATCTATATTACTTAACAACATGGCTGAACAACTCGTCCACTTACTAATACACAAAGAAATCACAGCTTTCTTTCTTCCCCTAACTGATGCATTATAGTGTAATCTTCAGAATGTCACCTCTTAATCCACTAGAGAACGTTTCATACTCCCTACACTTTTTCTGAAAGAAATAGATTTACTATAGGAGTTCTTCATCAACAGACACATCAACAATCCACGGTATAATAACCTCCACACATGTTGATTGCCCAAGAAGTTTCACATGACCTGACGACAGATGTTCTCTCTTTCTCAAGTTCTACCTCATTCACACTATGTCTCTATTACACATGTTCCACAATATTATGCATTCACTGTTCATAATATAATTGTCCCTTGAGACTCTTCTCCTTCAGCGGGTAATCCACAGGTGCAGCGGCACAGGTACAGCAGATAATCCACAACACGAACAGTAATTCTTATTCCAAACAGTTAATTGTCCGCAAGAACAACAGGTAATCCACAGAAACAAGTAATCCACTGGAATAGTAATCCATGGCAGTTCACAGTCCACACAAATAGCAGGTACTCCACAGGAATAGTAATCCATAGCAGTTCACCATCCACCCGAACAGCAGGTACTCCATCCCCTTAGCTGAGCGCGTACATGCGAATTATCGGTATCAACTGTCTGCAGTGAGGGCACGACTGATATAATTGCCCAGGATGCCCTGCTCCCGCATTCCACATGTTCAGTGGCCATGGTGTCCCTACGTTCCACTCTGCTGCATTTACTGTGTTCACTGTTGGCACTCTCAAGTAGCCAGGTTGTCCACCTACATCATACGTGAGAGTCCGTGGTGGTCTCCTATTTCGTCTCGGTCTATTCTCTTCTGCTTCTGCTGAGTCTGGAACATCCTCACCACCCTGGGACACACAGGGCTGGTCCTCAGACTCAACTTCAACTCCACTTAGTGCAGATTCTTCTTTCTCGCTGTCACTATCGCTGTCTGAGCCTCCTGACTGGCTCTCAGGTTCAGGCTCTTCATCTTCTTCTACTCTGCTGGGCACAGCTTCTGCCTGGCTCTCAGGTTCAGCCTCTTCATCTTCTTCTACTCTGCTGGGCACAGCTTCTTCTTTCTCACTACCTCTCCCCTCCTCCTCTTGAGGTGTTCTCCTTCTACTCTGTTTGGGAACTGGGACCTCTAGGGGCAGTCCCTCGCATGGGAGTAACATATTTCTATGCAACACTCGTGATCTTCCCTCTTGGCACTCTGGGCGTACCTCATACACGGGGATATTTTTCCCCTTTTGCTTCACAACGATGTGGATTTTGTCCTCCCAGTGGGAACGCAACTTGCCCGGTCCTCCTCGGTCTGTCATATTTCTAACAAGGACCCGGTCACCACTGGACAGACTGAGACCGTGCACCTTTCTGTCGTACTGTTTCTTCCCTTTTGCACTTGTTTTCCTGGCCTGCTGACTCGCAATCCTGTAGGCCTCCTGCATGCCCCTTTTCCATCTCTTGACATACTCAGGATATGATTGAACCTCATGCTCCTTGTCTTCAATCCCAAACATAAGGTCCACTGGCAGTCGGGGGTGATGTCCATACAACAGGAAGTGGGGAGAGTAACCGGTGCTCTCATGTCGGGTGCAGTTGTACGCATGAACCACCTTGTTAAGAGACGCCTTCCAATCTGTCTTCTGGGATTCTGGGAGAGCACGTAACATCGCTAGCAAAGTCCGATTAAACCTCTCCACTTGACCGTTTCCCTGGGGGTGATAGGGAGTTGTTCTCGAGGGCGACACTCCACTCAGCTGATGTAGGCGTTGAAACAACCTGTTTTCAAACTCCGCTCCTTGATCATGGTGAATCTTGAGAGGATACCCAAATCTAGGAATGAAGTCATTGAAGAGCTTCTCTGCTGCTGTTCTCCCTGCCTTATTCCTGGTGGCATATGCTTGAGCAAACCGTGTGAAATGGTCCACAACCACCAGAATGTACTCGTAGCCACCTTTGCTCCTTTCAAGGTGGACATAGTCAATAGACACCAGTTGTAGCGGCTCAGTGGTGATGATGTTAGTAAGTGGAGCTTTGTCTGGAATGTTTGGCTTCCGGCGCTTAATGCACTGACACTTGGAGGTGCAGTATTCAACTATGTCTCTCTGCATCTTTGGCCAGTAGAACCGTTGTCTTGCCAGGCTGACAACCCTGTCTGCTCCCAGATGGCCCATTTTGTCATGTAGTTCTTGGTATACAATGTTTCTATAGTCCTTTGGAAGCACTATTTGCAGAACTGGACCAGCTCTCCGGCGGAGAATGCCCTCATCATCGATCTGAAGCCTTTTCCACTCCCGCATGTACTCTCTTGTACCGAATGAGTTGTCTTGCCTCTCTCGGGTAGTGGGATTCCTCCCTTCTTCTTTCAGTTCAATTACCTTTCTAATGGCTGAGTCTCGACGTTGCGCTTCACCGATCTCCTTCTTGCTCAATGGTCCCATACTTGCACTCTTATCTTCAGGTGGTAGACTGTCAATGTTCGTAGTGATAGCACTTATCCATGTGGCATCTCCTTGATCAACCGCCTGCATGGCCTGGGTGGTGGCACTCAGTACATCACCACTCACTTCTTCTGTGCAGGTAGCCATAAACCGCTCAGCATCTCCTGGACTTGGACGTGGTACTCTTGACAGCACATCTGCGTCTGCATTGGCTTTCCCAGGTCGGTACTTGATGCTGAAGTTATAGTCCGCCAACTCTGCCACCCATCGGTGACCTGTCGCATTCAACTTGGCCGTACTCAGAACGTAGGTGAGGGGGTTATTGTCGGTATACACTTCGAACGATGGTGCGTAGTACAGATAGTCCCGGAACTTTTCAGTGACAGCCCACTTCAAGGCGAGAAACTCGAGCTTCCCTGAATGGAGGTGGTAGTTCTTCTCCGCCTGAGTCAGGGTCCTCGATCCATAGGCTATTACCCGCAGCTTCCCTTCACTTTGCTGGTACAATACAGCACCGAGACCCTGAGCTGATGCATCAGTGTGCAGTACAAAGGGTCGCTCGAAATCTGGGTATGCCATCACTGGTGGGCTAGTCAGCTGTTCCGTGAGTTGGCAGAGTATTCTCTGGTGTTCTTCTGTCCACTTGATTGGTTGTTTTGGGGCATGATTTGACAGCAAATCATACAGGGGCTTGGCAATCTGACTGAAGTTCTTAATGTATGTCCGGTAGTACCCAAGGAATCCCAGCAGCTTCCGCACATCCCCTACTGTGGTAGGTGTTTTCTCCTTCAGCGCATTGACAGCTGCCGTGTCCTCGGGGTCCATGGTGTAGCCCTCAGCAGTTACTAATTTCCCCACGTATCTCACTTGCCGCCTGAACATGATGCACTTCTTTGGTTTAAGCTTGCACCCGTGCTCCTGAAGGCGACGTAAGACCCTCCTGTTCCGCTCAACATGGGATTCAAACGTGTCACTATGGACCATGGTATCGTCCATATAGGGTTCACAGATCACGTGGCTCAGGCCTTCTAATACCTCTTCCATGTGTCTCTGATATGCTGGAGGTCCGTTCTTAAGACCGAAGGGAATTCGAACCCATTCGTACAAGCCGTATGGAGTAACGAACGCTGTGAACTCCCGACTTTCCTCATCCATGTAGCCTTGATGGTAGGCCTTACCCTGATCCAGGACGGAAAACCAGGTGCTTCCTTTCAGGCGGTTCAAGATGTCTTGGATCCTCGGTAGTGGTTGCCTGTCTGACATTGTCTTCTCGTTCAAGGCGCGGTAGTCAATGCAGAGCCTCATGCTCCCATCCTTCTTTCGGACGCACACCATCGGAGAGGAGTAGGGTGACTTTGATTTGGTAATCCACCCCTGGTTGATGAGGTCCTCAATATACTCCCTCACTTCTTTATACAGAGGTGCTGGGATGGAGACGTAATTCTTTTGCACTGGCTCTGTGTCTGTCAAGTTGAGTTTCAGCTTGAGACCTTCAATACTGCCGATATCAGACTCATCTCGAGAAAATGCACCTGATTCCTCCCGGAGCATCTGTTTCACAATCTTCCTCTGCTCCTCGCTCAAGTGTGACAGGTCAACTGGAGGGTCCCACAACTCATCTTCTGCCTGAACAGTGTTTACTTGAGCTTGCTGTGGTGTTTGCTGTGGTTCTTCGCTCACTGGTCTCCTGTCCTCAGTTGTTGGGTGTTGAGATCCCTCAGGCACTCTCCTCAGCTCAACCGGTACTGCTGATCGTATTGGTTCTGCTCGACCCAACACTGTCTTTGCCGGCAGGTAGACATCATATTGGTTGGGATTGGTTACAGGCACCTTGATCATCCCCGTTGAGTTAACTGGGATGAGTGCCGGTCCCACTTCCAGGCCCGTGGGCCAATCACCGGCTTCATCTGGTTCAAACAGCATGATCTGTTTCTCCTCCACTGAGCCGCGAGGAATCCTGCACCTAACTTGAACTGTTGCCCCTCGTGGTAGCCGAACTCTCTTCCTGCCGACCCGCACTCCTGCCGGGTTCGGGACGCTGAACTCTTCTATCAGGTTAACCAGGGCCGCCGCCCTCTGTGGCCGAACCGGCAGCGCCCTCGACAGCAGGGCAGAGTCACTCCCACAACGCTTTTGGATTTCTTCGATGACGTTGTATCCAATTATCGGATGGTCCTGACTAGGGCTGTTGGTTGTCAGAAATGGCACAGAGATAGCTGGTGAGTCATCTTCGCTTAGTTTAAAACTGACCTCTACCCATCCACTGTATGGGATCTCTGTACCATTTGCCGCCTGTAAGTTGAGGCTTGCTGTGTCCTCAAGTATCTCTATTACTGGTCTGACCTTGATCTCTGGTAGATTCTTCTCTCTCCACGTATCTGTCATGATACTCACTTGTGCACCGGTGTCCCATAATGCCAGGACTGGCTGGTCATCCATCTTACACGACACCAGGCACCGATTCCCGACTAACTTTGTTATTTTAGTTCTTTGTTTTGGTGTTAGATGTGACGCAGTCATGGCGTTGACGTGAACCGATTGCTGTTGATTGTTGTTTGCTGTTGCTGTTTGTTGTTGTTGTTTGTTGTTAGTTGTTGTTACCGAGGGCTGTTGATTGTTATTATTTGGTGTTGTTTGTTGTTGTCGTTTCTGGGACGGTTGTGAGCTGCCTAGGACGACCCCTCGTCCCCTTGGGGTGCCCCTGAAGCGTTTCCCTGGTTCTTGTTTCGGCACCACCGAGCGATGTGGTTGTTTCCCCCACACCTGAAACAATGACGGCACAGCTCCATCCCCTGTTGTGTACATTGGTTGCACCGCGGGCTTGTTACAGTGACCTTGTTGACGTGAGCTTGTTGAGGTGAGCTTGTTGATGCGAGCTTTTCGTCCCGTTCTTTCTGGTCCACGATGGCTCGGCTCAACTTCTCCAACAGTAGGATGTCGCTACTGTTGGAGTTGGCTACCAGGTACGGCTTCATCTCCATCCTAATGTTATTGTCCCTCAGGCCTGTTTGTACGGAGCGGAGGAACATCGCCTGGACCAATTTGGCGTCATATAGTCCATCTTCTTCCTTTGATGCTTCTACCACCTTGTCTCTCAGCCCCATCATCCTTGTGACAAAGCCTTGTGAAGACTCCCCTTCTTCTTGGCATCCGATGCTTAACTTACGGTACAGGTCGGTAGCAGTTTCCTCTAATCCATGGGCTCTTATCACCTGTTCGACCAATGTGAGGTTCAACTGTTCTTTCCCTTCCAGGTAAGTCCGAAGAGGTGACCCGGCTGGTATCGCCCTGATTACTGCATCTACCACCTCCTCCTCTGTATATCCCTGCCTCAAACCACTCTTGATTTGGTATGTGAGGGACTGAAATCTCAGCTGCCCCACCTGTCCTGTTATCTTGAACTCCTTCTTGTGGTTGGACCCTGCTTGTTGGTTGCCCTTGCTGCTATCCACCTTCCACCTTGACTTCTTCTCCGATTGCCAGAGTGCTCTTCTTACAGTGTGGCTTCCTTCTCCAGCAGATTCACCCTCCAAAGTGGCCAGTCTCTCTCCCAAGCGCTCTATCCCAGTGAAACAACCGTTTACTACTCGTGCCAGGTTCGTGGTGGCATCAACTAGGTTTTTCATCGTCACCTCCGGCGTCTGAGGACCTGATGTTTTATCGTCACTACTACTGTTCTGTGCGCCTTTTCCTCCTTCCGCCATACTTCTCTTGTAGTGCTCAAATATCCCTCTAAAACTACCGTAATCTTGATTCAGCGCACCGACTTTCAACCTCTCTTTCGTAGCAACAATACTGCAGTCGCCCTCCCCCTTACAACCGCGGCGCCATCTTGTTAACCCTTGAACTTTGTTTTGTTTACGTATGATTTGACCTCTCTGACCTTTTGTCCCGTGACCACTTTTGGCGCGAACTTTTCTCTCTCACTCCGGCGTCTGTGGCAGTTTCTTCGTCGCAATCGCTTCATCCGCTCCGTTACTCCAGGAAATAGGATCTCGGTAGAACCTCCAAATGTTACCCTACCAATCCTCGTTCCAGATCACAGTTCCTATTCCAGATGACAACGCAATTACGACCAGCGAAGCCAGAGCATAGAGACGACTGAGTGTATTCTTTGTTCTCTCAAACCAACTGCGCAGTACGCATGCGTACATCGGATCAAACCATTATCCTAAAGGGGGTGTTTCTACATGGCAACATTCACACTGCAAAATCAAAACAAGTGACAAATATATGAGTCTATCATAATTTATAGATTCATACTACTACTGTAGTACAGAATAATGAACGTGAACTTCAAACACAGTGAAAGCTTTGTTGTCCTTGTACTGCTAAAAAGATAATACTTACCCTGGGTGCCAAACTAGTATCGGGCCGTTAGCCGTTTTCCTTCGACAGCCAAGACTGGCAAGAGCCCTTCGCCCACCAATCTAAATTACCGCTGCGGGGGAGTTGAGCCTGAGGGGTTTGTCCGGCCCTTCCATAAGGTCCACACACCTCCCCTCCTGTCTCAGTGATACCCCTCGCGGGTTTTTAGAGCGATATCCCAGACAAAGACGAAGATAATAGTTGATATTAAATTTTGATACGGTTTTTACTGTAAGGCCATTTACTTCACGATTTATCAATAAACCAATTACTATAACTAATTTCCCTTTTAGGTCCCTTCCTGTCCAGTAGTTTGATAGATTGACCCGTCCTACCGCTGACATGATGCAGTAAACATGTCGTCTGACGAGGAGATTCTCATGCGGAATGTGTCGGACCTGCGCAAACGGCTGCAGCAGACAGAGCAGAGTCTCCGCAGACTGGACACCGCAGCTGTGGCCGCAGCAGTGGACGCCAACGGGTGAGTCCCGCAGCACTGTCTGCTTATGACATGAAGCCTTAATTAAACATATTGTTTTTGTTACGTTTCTTCTTCTTCTCCAAACAGTGACCTCTGACCTGACTGAACCATATTGTCTCTCACCATGGTAACTGGTGTTGGGTTACATCATGTTGCAATTTTATAATAGGAGGGATTTAGACTACTATCACCATATATGTGAATGTGTTTGACTTTGAGTAAGAATATGGTAGATATACTTTTACATTATGCATTTGCTTTGCAAATGTTACTTTTCTAGTTCTAACAACTGACTTAATTTTTACAGTTTAAGAATGTAAGAAAACACACATTTCAATGCAAAATGTGCCAACAGTTCAAACAAAATATTGTACTACATGTAATGTTCAGCAATTCCAACACACAAATGCGGTTTGTGTTCAAATTGTATTCTCTGTAATATCTATGCACATTTACTTGACTGTAGCAAAGTAAAAATCTGCTTGTAGGACTGCAGTGATTCACACAGCAGATAGGTGGCGTGCATGACATGTTACCAGTTTCAATGGACTAGCAAGTGGCAAGAGGAAAGGATAGACAGTAAATAAGATAATTACACCCCTTCCTGTATCAAAAGCGATCAATCTAACAATCAATGATTTAATCTGTTACCCAAACTTGCCAGTTAAGCCTGAATTATATTGATTTACACCTAAACTACTAGTAGTAGTCATATCTGTCATTAGCACACATACCGGTACAAAATTTATAAAATTTGAGTACTGGATAAAATAGGTTCAAAAATTCAATTGCCATACCAATTTAATAGGATTTGCCTGTTTCTTTTTCTGATTAAAAAAAATTGTTCTCAGTGTCACTTTATATTTTCATATTTTTTTCTCCAAAAATCAGAGAACCAACAAATTAGATTGGTGTGGGAAACAAATTATATTGTTAATCTGCATACAAATGACATGATGAAGCCCTATTTGTAACAGCCTGGAGAGAATTGACAGACTCGAAAGACATTATTGTCAAGATCCACACATAGGCCCTGTAGGTAACAATTGTCAATCCAATCCACCTCATACATGTGAATTATCTGGTATATGAAAAAAAAAAAATAGGCATCTTTTCCCATGTTATCTCTTTATATATACGTTAGTATAACCAACAAATTAAAATATAGCCACCAAATTACTAGTAGATTGTTGTTCTCAAATGACATGATGAATCCCTATTTGTAACAGCCTGAAGAGAATTGACTCGAAAGACAACTTCCACAAATAGGGCCCCTTCTAGATAACATAATTGTCAATCCAATCCACCTCATACATGTGAATCTGGGAAACTATATGAAAAAAAAGGCCTATTTTTTCCCATGTTTTCTCTTTAACTATAACCAACAAATTAAATTGGTATAGCCACCAAATTAGATCTACATGTATGTTGTTCTGCATACAAATGACATGATGAAGCCCTATTTGTAACAGCCTGAAGAAAATTGACAGACTCGAAAGACAAGATCCACAAATACATGTAGGCCTTCTAGATAACAATTGTCAATCCAATCTACCTCATACATGTGAATTATCTGGCATATAACTACCCATTGTGGTAGTTTCCTAGACAGTTACTAGTGATGCGTTAGCTCTGATGACTATGATTACAGAGGGTAATTTGTCGCACACAGACAAAGAGTTGTTACTGACAACCACTCATGACCAGGATAGGAATTGATTAGGCTTACTCTGTAGGAAATTCAAATTAGTGCTGTGTTTCCGGTTTAAGTCCTGAAAAAAACAAAACAGAGATGGTAGTTAGAGATTCTCTTTTTTCTTCTTTCTTTAATTTTTTTTCACATTCAGGCGACACCAATTTGATTTGTTGGTTCTTGGATTTTTTCAGAAAAAAAAATGAAGCAAAAGGGCGAAAAAACTAAAAACAGGGCTAGGCATCATATTATAGCCCCAAATGCTATGATAAGAGCCATGAATTCAACACAAAAGGCAGGGTAAAATATTTAAACAATGAATTTTGAACTTTATTATACTTATATCATACCAAGTTGCATTGATAGATGGAAAAAGTTGTAAAAACTAGGAAGAAAGGGACTTTCTTCAACTGTTGGGGGCAAAATATTAGCATTATTTCAGTTGATTCAGAACCAGAATCTTTTTTTTTTTTTGCAAATCAGAAAAAAATGAAGCGGCGAATCCGAGAACCTACAAATTAAATTGGTGTGGCCTTAGGCTAACAAATAAAGTTTAACAATGCATTGGGACTATCTGGGTATATGACACTGGGTATAGATATTATAAAGATGCCAAAAGAACTTTCAGTTGATGTTTTTTTTTCAAAACCCACCCTTGTTTACCAAACAGCATGTGGTAAAACATGGTTGTGTTTTGAGCCCTGTAGTTTACGCCCGATACGCCTGGGGGCATGCATTCACATGGTAATTACTCGTGTAACAACCCACGCTTCACCAGACCATAGTCAGCCTGGCCTCAGTACTGACACAATCGTGTAGACACTAAAACCATCTGCCATGTTTTCTACCTGATTCTGTGTTTGTATCCTTGCAGGTAAGCAAAGAGCTTTGCTGTTCTCTTGTTTTTAGTGTGTAGGAGATTAGTGATGGGGATTAAAAAGGGATTATCTTCTGGGACGCTTTAGCCGGCAGATTTTCAGGTATTGGATTGTTGTGAATGCATGTAGAAGCACACGGCATATGTACGTACAAATAGTACAACAAATGCATTCGGAAACAAGCAATAGCTGTTTTGATTCAAAGTCATTGCCAACAGTATTTTTTTCGCTAGAAAAACAATGAGTAACTCTTATACTCAAGCCTTTTTTTAGGCCAGAAACCAACTTTTGGAATAAAAGTAGTTAGATAATTTTGAAGCAATTGGATGTCAGGCATTTTTGCTCGGCATTTCTACTTTTTGTACATTATGAGAGCTTTCTAAGATTCTTTAAACCATTATATAATTTAAGCAGCTTGTTTCAAAGACATCTTTGTCCATTTAGTGACTGAGCTTCCACTAAAAAAGTGAATTTGTACTGGAATTGTTTATTACTATTAAGTAAATATATCAGAAGAAAAGAAATACCAGAATTGTAGATGCTTCCCTTTTCTCCATGTCATCCATATTAACTTAAGACATTTATAATACAGTGTAACTTATTACTTTTATGCTATTTTTCAAAGTACGTCCCTGGTAGAGGTTCCATGCAAAGCCCAGATTTTAAACTGTGTTTCTTGTGTTTTCAAGACCTTCCAGAACAAAAATGTTTGGTGTTGCAAGCGTGCTCTTTTTAGACTTAATATATTAATTATTAGACATACTTGCAATTTATTACTCTAATTTTTTTACTAAATTACATAAATTACATGTACATCCCTGGTAGAGGTTCAGTCCAAAGCTGATTTGAAACAGCGTTTCTTATGTTTTCAAGACCAGTCCCAGAACAAAGCGTACTGTTTGGTGTTGTAAGCGTGCTTGTGGTGGTTACCAAATATTGTAAACTCGGCCGGCTTTCAGCACCCTGAAACTCTAGTTGCCGTTCAATTGTGTCGACCCCCTCAACAAATAGGGGGGCATTGGCCGTGACATCTGTTGGGAAAGTATGTAGCACACAGAGGGCTTAGAGGCTCTTAGGTACACATACACTTTGTAAGTCGAAGGTATAAACACGACGATCGTTATTCAAAACACTGCTTGTGCGTCAGAGCATTGGTATCACTTACAACTGTCATATGACGCAATTTCAAATTCAAGGCAGACAAAAAAATATTCTGGATATAGAATTTGTTTGATATTTAATGGCAAGTTTGGTTTTGATTTATTTCTAAGCACAGTTGTGTCATCATTTCATAAGGCCACACGAATTTAATTTGTTGTTTTTCGGATTCGCCCTGTTCATTTTTTTCTGATTTGTAAAAAAAAAAAGATTTTACGTTCTGAATCAAGTGCAAAATGCTCAATGAAAGACATCTTTTGGCCCCAATGGTTGAAAAAAGTCCTTTTCTTCTTATAAGTTTTTCAATGTAACAATACAATTTTGTTTCATTTAAGTTCAAAATCTATAAACCAGGTATGTTCACTTCATGGCTCATATTGTAACATTTCCGGCTATCATGGGGTGCCTTGGTCTGTTTTTTTTTCTTTGCCCTGTCGCTCCTGATTTTTTTTTAAAGATCTGAGAAACAACAAATTAAATTGGTATGACCTAATGGTGACAGTAAAAAAATAACCAGAAATTTGACTTTAAAAAAAAGTTTTATGTTTTTGCAGTCTTTGAAAAAATACGTATTCCCTACTTGATTTAAATTTGTGAATTCATGTGGGTTAGAATTAGACGCTTTCAAATTGTGGTCATCTCTCAAGATACAACGAGCAATTTTCCACTATTTTGTGATTTGCACCACTTGACATTTTACCTGCCGTGTGTGTCAATGAAAGCTCGGCTGCCATTGGTCAGTCTTCCCTCCTGAATAGGCCGGGCCCCGCTCAGTAACCTTCCGGTAACAATGGCGTGACCTGAGGGTGTAAACAATGTAAGGAAAGGTCAGGGTTAGGAGTTACCAGTAGGGATCTCTACCTACATGTGTGACCACTGGACTGGACTCACATTGAACAAGTCTGTGGCAGTTATAGCAGTTTGTCACTTGCTAAATCAGAGCTCAGTTTTATTCTACTAATTTTTAGGATTTTAACTCAAAGCCTTGATTGGTCGATAAAAGGTGAGTTTTTTTTTTGTTTTATTGAAAGTATTGTACTGTTCAGTTACTGTATTGTATTGTTCACTTACTGTATTTTAAGCCACTGTTCTTAGCAATTATGAGTCTTTTTGACATCTCAACTGATGTAACATTATAGATAATGTAAACCATTGGCCAAGGCTTAGGGGTGTTTTATTTAGGGAAAATTTTGAATTTTGAGCTTCTGAAACACCGTTTCCTGCATTTTCATGTAAATTTTGCTGCTAGACTCAATATTAGCTTTAAGTTTAATGACATTCTCTATCCATATCTTTACATGCCGATTTTTGTCTGTTGAAAATTTCTGTTTGTCATGTCAGCAAAATTCTGTCAAATGATATTGGAAATGACTGACACTGGCTAGAACAGTCAGCTACTTTGTGTACTAACTCAATAGAGGCAATACTTTAACTTTAAATGACACATTTTTTAAAACCAAGTGTACTGTTATGTAGTTCTTGAATTTCAGGAGTTGGCCTATAGTTTCACAAGTTGACTAAGTCAAAAAAGATTTCACTGAGAGTTATATAGTGTCGTTGTTTTGAGGTCATCTTATGCGTAATGCTGTATACATTTTAGTTTAAAAAGTCACAAGCCATAGAATTAGAAACCTAGATTGTAGCTAAAACGTTAGCACACTGTTGTCTCCCCAAATATGTGTTTAGTGACCTAAGAATCCCCATTCAATTGGGCCATTCATAATATATGTCAAAGGTTATGTACATTCTGGCTTTCTAAGATTTGTTTATTCTCGAGACATACCGATGTCTTGGCTTCCAACGCAAGCACTCCGACTTCTTGTTGACTTTTCTTAAGAAGCATAAGATTCTATCGTAATCCTTAACTTCAAGTGGTTGACACATGTATGCTCGAAGATGTGTTGTGTTACAAAAACGATAGCGTTTAACTAAATGAAAGGTTTGGGTGTTGTGTATCATGTATATTGTTTGTTTTGTTATACGATCGCCCGAAGCCCTTTATGTATTTTCAGGGGCATGTTAAAGAATTGTAGAGCGAAGCAAGTTGGTAGCTGGGTTGGGTTGTCAAGTGTAAATAAAGAATTGTCACAATTGTCAGCATACATTGGGGATTAACAAAGGAGGAAACTATTGTGGGGCGAAGTATGCCGTCCAGGTGCACCTGTGCAGAAAGTGTGTTCTTCGAGCAAATAGGGTTAGGCTCGGGTTGGTTTATAAACAAGCTATTAGTACATGTATCAGTGTGCAGGTGGTCACTAATTGCCAAATATGCTAAGTTAAAGACACCCAAAGTGATTTCAGGGTGGTAAAACTGCATTTTCAAGGTCAATTTGCTGGTCGTTCTTTAAATTGAATCAACCTTAAGGCCACACCAATTTAATTTGTTGTTTCTCAGATTTTTTTCAGAAAAAATATGAAGCGACAGGGTGAAATAAAAAAAGGCCAAGGCACCCCATGTTAGCTGGAAATGTTCCAATATGAGCCATGAAGTGAACATTCTAATTGATTTTGAACTTTCAATGAAACAAAATTGCACATTGTTACATTGATAAATGTTAAGAACTAGCTATATAATATATTTAGGAAGAACAGGACTTTCTTTAAGCATTGGGGCCAAAATACGTCTTTCATTGAGAATTAAATTGCGGTTAATGTAGAACAAAGTTTTTTTTTTTCAAAAACATAAAACAAGGAACAGATGAACCAAGCAAGATAGAAGCTTTTGTTTTCAAAATAGTCTTTCCATGCATCACTAGAAAAGAGCCATCCAGAGAATGTTTTCATTCTGGAGCTTAGCAAGTTGAAGAAAACAACTGTGTTTAACATGCTTCTTAATATCTCAAAACAGATGTATGTTTGAAATATTTCGAAATTCAGGGCTCGAAATTCCTTTTTGGGAATAGGTGCATGCACTGGTGCACCCAAAAATTGGGGGGACAAAAAAAAAATGTGGGTGCACCATATAAAATAAAATACGTAGAATGCTAGCAAAAACTAATTATTTTTCATAAATCTAAAGATTAAAGTACTACGACAATGATTATTATTTGTTTGACACTTGGATGTTAAGAATATGCTGTATAACTTACATGTATGTCATGTACATAAACCTATGCACCAGTGCACCCACAGAAAACACAGCTCCAAATTTGGGAGCACTAAGGTGCACATGCACCAGTATTTTGAGCTCAGCCATTTGATGCAACTGACCCCTTCGTTTTCATCAGTGGTCTGATCCTTCAACCAAAATGATTTTTCTTTTTTTTTAAATCCTTTGAATAACTGAAGCTTTCCCAATTTCCTGTGCTTTGCCTGATCCTCCAGCTATTTGTTACTTCCTGATTAGTTCTGTCCAGTTTTCTGAATGACTGGACATTCCTTAGAAATGAAAGACCCTCAGACATATTGTGTGAGAAATCGGGACAGAGCCCAGGAGACCAGGTATTGTGTGAATCCAGTGGTGTTGAAAAGCAGCTATTATAGAATTTAATTTGGGGCATACGAACTGAAACATGGTATTTGCAGGTAACAGATTAAGGCACCTAAAGTGATTTCAGGACAGTAAGGCCACACCAATTTAATTTGTTGGTTCTCGGATTTTTTCAGAAAAAATATGAAGCGACAGGGCGAAAAAAAATAAAAATAAAAACAGGTCTAGGCATCCTATTATAGGCTTAAATGCTACAAAATGAGCCATGAAGTCAACACAAAAGGCTGGGTTAAAATTTAAACATTGAATTTTGAACTTTTAATCAAACCACTGCAATGATAGATGGGAAAACTGTAACAACTAGGAAGAAAAGGACTTTCCTCAACTGTTGGGGGGCAAAACATGAGCATTTTTCAGTTGATTCAGGACCAGAATCAATTTTTCTTTTTTTTTTGCAAATCAGAAAAAAACGAAGAGGCGAATCCGAGAACTAACAAATTAAATTGGTGTGGCCTAAAACTGGATTTTCAAAGTTTTTCTGGTATTTTTTAAAAAATACTTTAAGTTAGTAATTACTGAATCTACCTTATCCCTATTTAGCATGACTCGTATCTGTGAGGCAAAATGTGATGTACCGTAGCTCAGACTTTAAAAAACGTTCTTTCATACCATAGGCAGGTTCTAACTATTAATGGGTGGTACCCAGAAAATAAAGGGATTCCTCACATACATTGTTTCTTGTTTTTGGCCTATTACAATTTTATGCTTCAAGTACAAAATTTGTATGTATGTAATAAATGATGACAGTATTATAAATCTAATTATGTCATACCTGGGCCGCGATTACGTTCGATACGGGTGTTCAGACCCGTGTGATAACTAGCGGTAGGGCCCGGGGGTTCTTTACGCATACGGCCCGGGCCTTCCAAATGTTCCATAGAACAATTCGAACGCGTTTCGCTCTAACTGCTTGCACCGCTTTCGAAAATTCGAACACAAAATTCGGACGTTGGAATTGATGTTGTTGCATTTTGGGGGTTTAGGGACACCACATTTTCGCTCATTTCGCATTGCAAGGCGTGTTTTCTTGGGTGGGTATGACATAAATAAAATACAACACGGTGTATTCCGCATCACCCTCGGTCCCAGCCCTCGCGCGAGTCGGATTGCCCTCGGCCGAATATACAGAATACCCTGTGTTGTATTCTATATATATCAGACAGAAGTATGGACCAGGTATTTTTGTTTTGCTGCCCTGAAATTGCGTTGGATTTTGTACTGTGAATGACAATTTTGTGCTGCAAATTACACCAATTTATTAATAAGCAAGTAACCCGATTCGCGTTAATTTGCAATTCCTAATATGCTGATCCCGATTTACAGTCTTTGTTTTTTTTTTACAGATTTGATGACCTCCAGTCCAACTACTCCTCTCCTGAGAGGTTACCACCTTTGACCCTTGAGGACTTGACCCCTGACCCCTCAGAACATGCCCTGGATGACCGTGGTTTCTATAGTAACCATGATGCAGTAGCTCCCATTGGTCTGTCGTATGGCAACGTGAGGGCAGACTTTGGTGTTCCCGTGCAGAGAGATATGGTAAGGGTTTTGTCACAAAATACTGTAATTCCTGATTTTTCACTGTACTGTTAGGCCACACCAATTTAATTTCTTGGTTAACGGATTCGCCCTCTTCATTTTTTTCTGATTTGGAAATAAAAATAAAAATTCAGAATCAACAACAAAATGCTCATATTTTTTCCTGAACAGTTGAAAACAGACCCTTTCTTCCTACTTGTTACAGTTATTCCATCTTTCAATGCAGTGGTATCATTAAAAGTTCCAGATTCATTGTTTAAACGTTGAACCAGCCTGGTGTGTTGACTTCATGGCTCCTATCGTACAATTTTGGGCCATAATAGGATGCCTAGGCCTGTTTTTATTTTTATTTTTTTTCACCCGCCCGCTCCATTATTTTTCTAGAAAAATCCTTTAACAAAGAAATTAAATTGGTGTGGCCTTATATTCACTGTTTTCACTGTCACTTCTCTGTACCGTGAACTTATCATTACAGTTAGCAAATAATTCCTGGTTCTGAAGAAACATTTGGTATAAAAAGGAGACAATAATGAATTACTGAATTAGTACACATAGAACTACTGATAACTACTAAGAAACTACTTAAAGTAAAACTACTGGGTTTGACTTATTTTTTGAAGACAGAGGAAGACAAAGGATCCCACTTTTTCCATAATTTGTGGGTTTTTGGATGTTAAGAGGAGAGTAGTTTTCTTTCATTTGTATATGTGTGAAAGTTTGGATAGAATTTGGAAGCTACATCGAAAAGTTCATTTCGTTCATTGCTATAGAGGGTACAATTTGAGATTGTAAAATGCGTTTCGTCTTCCACTGTATTCAATGTACAATGTTTGCAATAATGTAACCACGATGTAAAACAAGATCGTTAGTCAAGCGAACTGAGGCGTGTTTTGTTCCCGAAAGCCGTCCTCGGCGCGGTCGCGGTCGTCGGCCTCCAGTTTCGACATGGGGGACGGGGAAAACGAGCTCCTGAGGAAGAAACTGGCCAAACTGCGGCAGGAGAACACCCAGCTCATCTCCCAGAACCACAAACTGCACACTGACATGGAGAACACCATGTACCAGCTGCACCAGGCTAACAATAAGGTAGGGGGCGCTCATGTACACAGACATGGAGAACACCATGTACCAGCTGCACCAGGCTAACAAGGTAGGGGGGCGCTCATGTACGGGGAGTTTGAAAAGAATAGAAGTCCTTACTTCCATGTACAAGACAGTGCTCAGTCAGATTAGTGTAACTTCTAACACAAGACATTGGACTTACCCAAATTAGTCTGAAAGCTCCTGTTATACAGGACACAACACTTAAGCTCCTGTCCTGTATAACAGGAGCTTTCAGACTAATTTGCATCATCTTGTCTTGACTTGTCTGACTTTTGTTCCTTTTTCGACTTCCAAAAAAAAATTTGTCTTCACTTTATTTGCATATCAATCAACAGGTTGTGTATATAAACCTGCTTTCCCCTCTGGTCTCTCAGTCACTGACGAAAGCTAGTGGATACTAGCTGAAACGTCTGACGTTTTCAAAATCATATCCAGTTGCTTGAGTAACTGTTTTTTGGCATAATGACAGTCTTTGTCATAAGTGCTCATGACACCAAAATATGACCTTAGCTGATTGTAATTAACATAACTAGTATTACCTGGCTAACAGACACATTTACAATAAATATGCACGGTTCTCCTGTTATATTTGAAATTGTAATGCCCTGCCATGGAAAAGTCAGCACAAGCCAGTACTGGCAGGCGATTTATTAGTTTTGCATGTCTGTATTTCTTCCTGAGCTGATGTCACCCTGGGTGATGTCAGCTCTGGAAAAAGCACAGAAATGCAAAAATAAAACACAGAGACGCAAATAGAGATGCGCAAAGTGGGCGATTGGGAAGCTTGCTAGAGTCTCTAAAAATTCACTTTTAAAAGTTCATACAAGCTCAATTCCTCAGTCAACATGATTGGAACAAACTTCCAGTGACTATATTGTATGTATATTGTACACTTCCGATATTTGTATGTATTTTACAGACTTTTTTTGGTGACATTTGGTCTTTAAGTAAGGGGTCTTTTCAACATGGCCAAAACTATTCATGGGTATTACATGACTGTACTCGACAAGTAAATCTCCTTTTCCATCCCCACCAGATGAAGATCCTGACTATGGAGCTGGAGGCTCACAAGGAGAGTGTTCCCTCACTGGAGGACAAGGTCGTCAGTCTGGAGGCAGAGGTCACAGCACACGACAAGGCTTTAAGGTAGACATGGACTTCTAATCTAATGAAAAATATCAATGATTTTTATACCTCTTTGATATCTATTTAAATGTACATAGCTGGGCCGCGATAACATTCGATAACAGTGTTCTGGCTTTCATGGCTTCTATTGAACTACTTGAACGCGTTTTGCCCTAACCATTTGTGCTGCTTTTGAAAATCCAAATACAGAATTCAGACGTTGGAATTCGTGTTGTTGCATTTTTTGGATTAAGGACACCAAATGTTGGCTCATTTTGTGTTGAAAGGCACATTTTCTTGGGTTGGTTTTTGCAAAGTATTGTAGACTTTAAATAAAAATAAAGTTTGAAGTCCTTCTGTACCAGATTGTGAATTATAGGGCAGTGGTAAATGTTTGTTGTTTTTGTTGTTGTTTACCCAGAGAGGCGGAGGAACGTCTGGACGAGGTGCAGAGACAGTTGTCGGACAGAGAGCGAGACGTGAAGAGACTCCAGGCTGAAAACAAAAGCATCAAGGCTGACTTACTGGAGGAGACAGGGGAGAGGAAAAGGTCTGTGTAGCCCCTTCAGATGTGCAGTATTGTTTAAACTAGTGCTGTGTACCTAAACCCACATTTAGGTTCAAGCCCGGATTCAAGTCCGGACTTGAAGGTTGCAAGGTTTAGGTTCCATTCCGGACTTAAGTCTGGACCCAATTAACCAATGGCATAATTATACAAAATTGCATGTTGGCAACATTGTAATGTTGTTTGGGTGAAACTGTGGCAACAATCACATGGAGGCCGACACTTGGCAATGCCTGGAGGCAATGTTTTCTTCATTTTGCAGCCCAGATTTTCTAATCTATGGAAGGTTTTAACTGGTTTTAACTGGTTTGGAATCAAATTGTGTATGTGACTTTTTTTTTGTAGTAGATCTAGAACTGGTTCTTGACTTTTAGTTTTTTTGGACTTGAACCTAAACATTTTTACAAGTCCGGAACCAGTCCAGTGAACCAGTACACAGCACTAGTTTAAACTAAATATATGTGCATTGTGTGCTGACACTTTTTAGTATCTAGGGTTTATAGATAAAGGGAATCAATGTAACAGTACTTGTCTTTGTCCAAAAATGACTATTTGACTATGTGCATAACATGAACCTGTAGAATTTATGGAAACAAATAGTATCCAGATTTTTACTCTGTTAAGTATTTAACAGTTTGTGTGGGTTCTGCTGAATTTTTTCTCTAGATCTGAGAACCAGCGAGACGAAGCTTTACAGAGATTGGAGGAACTTTCTGAAGAGCTGGAGGACTACAGGTCAAAGGTCAAGGAAAAACTAAAAAAGGTAAGAGCCAGTTGCAGCACTTGTCCATTTTTGCCTGTAAAAAAAAGAAAAGTGTAAAGAATTCTTCCTATGGATTTTCAAGTGTTTTTCCGTAACAACAAAATGTGATTTAATTTTTAAAAACTTCATAACTGTATTTGGCACTGTTGAAAGTTGGTTATTTTAATGTTTACCAAAGGAAAACATTATTGTTTTTGCTCAGTTTCTTCTTCTTCCATTCCAAACAAATAAGGTCAATGACCTGAACCAGACATCTGTCACCATGGTAACTAGTGTTGGGTTACATCATGTTGCAATTTTATGGCAGGAGGACTTAGTCTCTTGTTTATTATTTATTATTGTGCGAGATATTATTAAATTATCACCATATATATATATAATTATAATAATTATATAATCGATATGTATTGAATGTGTTTGAGTCAGAATTAACAGAGCAGACCTTATGCGCAGCAGATTTTCTATTAGAGTTTGTTTCTGTTATTGTTGGTGAATTAATGTCCAGTTTGCTAGAGTTTTGAGGAATTAGAAGTGGTGTGATGCACAATAACCCGTGTGTGTGTTAACTGCTCCCCCTAGCACCAGTTGACAGAAGAGCAGCTGCGGGACAGCCTGCTCCACTCAGACCGTGAGCGGGGAGAACTGCTGGATCGAGCAGCCTCGCTGGAGGGACAGGTCAAGGACCTGCAACAGCAGCTCAAGTATGTACAGAGTTCCTTTTTAAGTCTCTCTTTATTCAATTTTTACAAATAAACAAAAATAAAGAATGGCATGGCAGATTACAACTACATGTACATGTAAGACACATTGGTACCACAAAATCAAAACGTAAAAGTCGGAAACAGTGCAATTACAATTATAATACACCCCTATTGTCCATATTCACTTGTAACGTCGCTGTTTGCTTATTGTAAGTTTTCCCAACCTTATTGTAGTTACCTTGTCTGTATACAATTACAGTTTTGAGAAGGAAACAAAAGATATTACAGCTAGCTGACAAACTCAAGGAATACATGTGTATTTGATGTGATTTTTAATGTTCTATTGTTTTGACCTCTTTTACTGCGAGAGTAAAATAATGGTAGTTGTGTGCTATACTTTCGTATCTTAGGTCATAGAGACTATACCACTTTCATAGTCATCTATGTATATCATGTACATGTAATTGTTAAACCAGATTTGCTACCAACAACACAGTAAAATGTAGCAAAATTGCAGGTATTTGTAAAATCTGGAATGTCTACTGTATTTCCCCCAGGAGGTTACAGAACGAGGGAACAGTTGAGAGAACATCTAAGACAGACCTTGAGTCCCAGAACCTGGAGATGCAGCGGACAGTCAGCAGACAGGCACACAGGATCAACAGGCTGGAGAGTGATCTGGGAACAAAGGTTGGGTGAAAATATTCATATATCATCTTAGCTTTTGTGTTTGAATTAGATTCACAGCAAGTCTTTCAGTTGTGCACTTAGTACACAACATACTGTAATTATGGGTTCACCACACCACGAAGTGGTGTGGTGAAACCATATTGCTTTTTCTGGTGTTTCTTCTTCTTCTCCTCCTCCTTCTCCTCCTGCCATTTTTTAAATGGATTCAGCTTCTTCATTTTAGGGCCCAAGGTCCTGAAATTTGGTATGGAGGTACAGTGGGCAAATACCCCTAGGCGTTTTTTAAATTATTGTGATACAGGCTTTTTAGAATGGTTTTATTTGAGTTTTTTGGCTGTGTTATAGCAAATGTATTACTGTGTTAGTATGCCGTGTTTACATGTCTGGGCATGAGTCATCACAATGGAATGCAGGGCATCAACCAATAGGCATGCAGCTTTCCTCTATACTTCTTGCTGATTGGCTGTTGGGATTTAACTTGATTAACACCTGCACAGAGATTTCCATACTGACAGTATGTCTTTATTCAAGTGTTTTGGTAGGTATTTCAAGCTTTTCTGCTCCAGCATTGGAATGCGGGGCATGAACGTTTTTTTATTTATTTTGAAAATCAACAGTTTGCATTATGCAATTAAAAATCCTAACCAATAAAGTAGGGAATAGCTATCCAACTGTTGTTTTAGTTGTATGTTACTTCATATTATAGTTATATCAATGTAAATCATTGTTTTCCCTTGTGTTTCTCATTCTTTCCCTGCCATGACGTCGTAAAATGTGGTGAACCCATCGCTGTATTTGCTCCAAAGCAAATATTGGCCTTTCTAGTTATATTTCAGTCCATACCATGGTATGGATGAAATATATTGTGTTCTCTCATGTTTCTTCTTCTCCTGCCAAACAGTCAAAGGGATTCAACTCCGCCATCATTCAGCCAAATGACTTGAAATTTGGCATGGAGGTAGAGTGGGCCAATACCCCCAGGCGTTTTTTTCAATTTTTTGATAAATGCCTTTGAAAAATTTTTATGAAGGTTTTTTGGGGCATTTTTCGCCAAAAAATGGATTTTTGGATCCTGAGCCCTGGTTTTACAACCAAATGATCTGAAATTCGGTATAAGGGTACCTTGAACATGTGTCTACAGAATAGCAGTCATATATTTGGCATACACCACTTCCAAATGACTCATTTGGGGGACTTTAATGGCTCTTTTCAGCAAAAAAAGGGCCAAAAGTGCTATACCCGTTCCATGTTCTATCTAAAGAATGGCCTGTTCCATCTGCCGTTGGCCATGGAACACATGTTCCATTGCGGGTTACCTGGGGTCACATTGCACGCAAGTCGTGCGTAATGACCCACACATTCAATTTTATGTGCCTAAGACCTTCAAAATGTATCAAATCTCATCATTGTTAGTATTTGCATACCTGTAATAAGATTAGTAAAGCTTTCGAGATTCAATGTGCTTGTTCTTGCATCTTTGTTCTCACTTACATAGCTACTATATAATTCATTTATTTGAGAATCTTTGCCAGTTTTACACTGGGGTAAGTTTGGAATAGTCCACTTTTGCGTGGGAGGGAGATGGACTGAAATATGCTGTATTTGCTCCCAAGCAAATGTCGGCCTCTCTAGTTCCTGATTTTTTTTACTGTACCATTTTGTTCACTGTTTTCACTGCCACTTCTGTCACGTGAACTTATCATTACAGTTAACAAATGATTCCTGGACTTTCTCTTTCCTGCACCTGTCGCCACCATGAAAATATAGTTCCGTGAACATGTAAATTTTTCTCAGACCGTGAACTTTTGCTACCATGAACATTAAGTGAATTACAGTTAGTATGCATGTGTTACTGTTGAATTTAATATTATGTACTTGTATCATAGAGCTTGAAGGTAAAAATGTTTAATGCAACTTGGAATAGTAGTTACTTACTTGTGCTACTGATTAAAATGCAAGCTATACACACTGGACTTACAAATGTAGCGTTAAAACTGAGGACATGAAAATTTTAACTTGTTTCTGGAAAAAAAACACCCAGATAGACATGTGAATCTACTGGTCTTATATGTGTGTGAGGGATCATTTTATTTCTGGGACTAAGTCCAGTAAATTAACCCCACACCAAAAGAAGAACAGACTGTAGAATAATAACAGTTTACTTACAGTAGATTCACACATCTGTGTGTTTTTTAAGGAACAAGTTGAAATTTCACATTTGAGGCAATGTTGTATGTATCCAACAAATGCAAAGAAAACTCAGTGTACGCAGCAAAAAAAAAACCACCAAAACTTGCCGGTATTTTTGTCCAGGAACAAGAGAACACAGACCTGAAGCTGCTGTCCAGCCGTCAGAAGGAGAAGCTGGCCAAGTGTCAGTACGAGGTGGAGCAGAGTCAGTCTGAGCTCAGGAGACTGGAGGCCATGGTGCAGAGGATACAGGAGAAATCACATGTCACATTCACGGTGAGATTATATAAACTTAGCAGTTAGCAAGAAATCTAAGATTTCAGACAGAGTCAGTCTGAGCTCAGGAGACTGGAGGCCATGGTGCAGAGGATACAGGAGAAATCACACGTCACATTCACGGTGAGATCTTTTTTTTTTAAATCCAATTTTAACATCCTTTTTTCCCGAAACGGGGGTTAGACGTGCTTGCATCAAATGCAAGTCTTTTTTGGAGCAAGATTTTTACGGCTGGATGCCCTTCCTAACGCCAATCCAAACCCTAGTAGAGCCCAGGATCCCTGTAACTGAGGGGGAAAAATAAGTGTAAAGTGCCTTTTCCAAGGGCACTATGGGTGCATGCCCGAAAATGTCTGGGTCCAACCCTGGGGATTGAACCTGGGTCCCCTTGCTTGACAGTGGGGTTTCTCTATCCACTACACCACACAGACGCCACTAAAACTAGTAAGTAGAACATTCTTCTAGCAGTTTGAGAGGTAGGAACACGTACCTCTAAATTTTCGATGTCAACTGTACACCTTGATCACGGAGTGACCTAGTCTCACAAGAACATTTTAACATGTTAACATTTGCATATTTCTGTATCTGTATAGCCGGTATAACCGCCCTTCGGTGTAACACACCAGCTTTGCAGGCACGCGGTGCGGCGGCAGCTAGCTATATCACACCGAACGGCTTGTTACACTCAATCTTTGCACATTTAATTGCAGGAGTTGTTTAAAGCTTTCTAGTAATGATGCCCCTACTGTGCTTGGTGGCAACGAGTTCCAGTCTACGATAGTGCTGGGGAAATAGTTTTTGAACACCTTAATTCTTGGTTGATAACTCTGATATTTGTGACCCCATACAGCCCACCAGTGACTCCGGGTTCAGCCAGCGGCACCGTGATGGAGACTCCACCAGCCCAGACGAGGCGGACGGGACCGTGTCTCCCAGCAGAGCAACTGTCGCTGATCTCAGGTGCAGGGGGACAAAAAGTTTGGGGAGGGTGGGCATAACACGAAGTCTGTCTATGATAATTATATATTGATAATTGTTAAAGATTCAGCAAACGTACACATTAAACAAAAATAAAAATGATGAAAATACATTGTTCCTATCTGGACTTATTGGCTTTTAAAGATTTTGCCCAAAGGTCCCCTACAGTTCCAGAACAAACCCACATCACTTATTCCTGACAAGAAAAACTATCCGTCACCAAAAAGTCAAGACCATAGCATGACCATAGAAGTTCTGTAATACCAAGGTCATCCACCAGAAGGCCCATATTTGACGTTGACCTTCGTCTTTCTAAGACTTACCAGCATACCAAATATCATCACAATCCATAAAGGCGTTATAAATGTGCAGAAACACAAACACACACACAGACACGGCAAAAACAATACCGACCTCAATTTTTCATGGAGGTAAAAACGCAATATCCTAGGTTCTACCAATTCTATGAAACTATTTTCAGAAGTAGAACATCTGATTCACTGTTTCTGTGTCTAATCCAGACTGAAACTTGCCATGAAGGAAGCAGAGATCCAGAAGCTGCAGGCCAGTCTGGCCTCGCTGACCGCTGCGGCCGCGTCCGGCCAGCGCGAGGCTATCGGACTGGGTGACAGTGGACGCATGGACGGACTGAGGAAAGAACTCACAGCCATCATCGAGAGGAGTAGACTAGGTATGGAGAAAACACTAAGTGATAAAATTTGATAATTTTTTTCAACACACTCAAAAGTAACTCACCTCAATCTTTTTTTCAGTCACTCTTTCCTTGACCTTCTTTAGGACACATGACTTGAGTAATGAATCATAATTACCTCAGGTAGTGTATATCGGCCCCTGTCTCGGTTGAGTGTCAGCTGGTGGCTCTACTGTTTGTAGATAGCCTCTTTTTTGTCGAAGACTTACATGTAGTGTTGTTCAGAGTTCTAGGCTAGTGGACACTACATTGTAGGTTAGGCTAGTCAGGTCACTGTTTGATTCCTTGCATTCCTGGCTTAGAAAGTCGTAAGGCACTTTACACGGTTTTCCCTACTCCAACCAGTTGTAAAATGGGTGCCTGATATCGGCTAGGGAGGCAAAAGGTGGTGGAAAGAGAGGGCTCTGCTTTACAATACTGTACCTACATGTAGATAGGGCAGATTAACAACCCACTGCCCCTACAGCCTCAAAAAAGGCTATGGAACTACCTTTACCTTTTAACCAAGTCTTGTCTGTAGTTTATCCCTACTCAGTATAATGTTTTCATGAGTAATACCAAAATGTAAATCTGTTTTTTTTTTCATGTGCACAGTCCAGTCATAATTGCCCACAGTAAATGTTGTCCCTTGTTAAACATTTAACAAGTGGTTGCAAATAAAGGACTTTGCTATTCTGTCATTCACCAACCTAATGAACTTATTTACAGAGTTCTGACGTGATTTTACAGGTGACAGGAAGTCTCAGGAGTTGGAGCACATTATTGGTCGACTGGAAGATGAGCGCAGCAAACACGCCTCCAAATTACTCCGACTGGAGGAACAGATTGCTGACAAGACTGCGCAGGTGGGATAGTTTCTCAGGGTAGGGAGGCCCACACCTCTTTCGGCACCAGATGTGCCATGTTCAGACTTCAATAAAAATTTTTAGGGGCCATTTGCGGTGATTCTATTAATATTGCCGGAATAAGCGTTAAAAGTTGACCTTGCAGTTCAATTTTCACATCTTTCCGCCCGCGCAATCCGGAGTTATCGCGGTTTTAGAATCGTAAAAAAGCACCCGCGCGCCCATAGTTAACGCGCCGCCCCGGCGTGACCCAGAAAAATACGCCGCGGCGATCCACTTCCGGGTGTCACCCGCCCGACGGCTTAAATAGAACCTGTTTTTTTGATTCGTCGGCGCCTTTTAGTAAACTCAAAAACAACCAATCAGATGAGCTGTTCCGAAAGCTAACACCCTGGGCCGCATCATATCGAGGCTGCAGCGAAATGGAGCGGGAATTTCAGGGTGAAAATTCAATAGGTAAGGAACACGTCCCCGTATTTCTGCCCTATTTCTGCCATCGTTAAATTTTATGAACTGCAGGTTTTACTAGCGTCAGATAACATATCAGGGAACATACTGACGGAATTTTGTGGATTTTGTAGCCAAAATGTTCGCGCGCCTGCCGAGGAAAGCCGGCGGTCACCTCTACGGCTGGACGCACTCTTCCCAGCCGACCCTCCCCCTACTGCGCCGTGGTTTCAACGCACATAGCTCCCGGTAACTATGGCTTCTAAAACATCTGTATGGCAGATTTTAGGCAACGAAATGGTAGTTTTGATAGGAGGGGAAGCTCAGCTTTATTTGAAGTGGCGTTAAATATCGATGATTTATGATTTTCCACCCATTGTTTCATGGGGGAGGGGGGCATACATTTGTACAGTGTTCATACTGTGACTCTTAAATTTTTTTTATGTCGTGCGATATAATTCCATACAATTATATACATATAGAGAGAGACCAATTTTATCACTAACTAGTGTAGGTTTTATCACAGTTTTGACTGCAATATTTTAATTTTAGAAAGGTAGAATATTTTTAGAGATTCTACTTGATGTGTTGTGTACTTGTGTATGGATTTTAAGGAGTTTATTTTGATGTTACAGGTATACATTTCTGGACCCTTTGGGCCCTGTTGCAATGCTGACACTGACAAACCGGGACTTTTTGGAGTTGCATTACACAAGTCTTAATTTGAAAAGACTTGTCAAGTTGTACATGCAATCAACATGGAATTCAGTCATGCAGACGTACTACATGACAAACAGGAAATCCTTCTCAGTTGGCCGCGGGCATTTGGAGGGATTGACACTACAGATTGTACTGCGAAACAGTTGGAGGCCAAATGCAAGACGGTGGTCACAGAGTACTGCAGATTGGCAAAAAACTACAATGCAAGACGTAACAGAGGAGGCAGCCAACAGTGGGACAAGTTACAAGGATTTTTGGATGCTGACTTTAGATGGAGAAAAGCTGTTCCTTCAAAATCTTTCAGCTTACACTGTAGTGGCCCTCCATGCAGCTTCAACCCGAATGGAGTACAAGCACCACCCATGTACCCTGATATCCCCCCTCCAAGCTTACACTGTAGTGGCCCTCCATGCAGCTTCAACCCAAATGGAGTAAAAGCACCACCCATGTACCCTGATGTCCCCCCTCCAAGCTATGAGGAGGCCATGAGGTCAAGCCCTGTGAAAGTTTATTCCAATAGCCTTCCAGCTCTCAGTAACATTACTAACAATAGCATGAGAAAGCCACTTTCAAAATCAAACCTTACAGAAGTGCAGCTGAAAAGAAAGGCACAGAGACTTGAAAAGACCAACAAAGTTCTGAGAAACGAAAATGATGGTTTAAAAAAGCTGGTTGGATCACGTTTAAGGGATGTTGCCCAGGAACGAGATAAGGCTGTGACTGCAGCTAACCTGAAGGTACAAAAGATTGTAGAAGCGAGCCAGAGGAAGTTGAATATCGAAACCAGCAAGCTCCGAAAGAAAGTTGAAGAGAATATAGAACTTAAGAACAAATGGAAGACATGTGCAGAAGAGTTGATGGATGCATGCAATGAAAACAATAAAGAGACTGAAAAAGAAAAACAAGCCTTGGAGAGAAAAGTTGAGCGACAACAAGCCAAAATGAAAGAACTGAGAGAAGAGTTGAAGACAGAAAAGAAAAGACTGCAGAAGGCTGAAGGGAAAGTGACAAGTCTGCAAGACAGGATTGAAAAAGCGGAGGAAAATTTGGAGCAAGGGCAGGAAGCGGCAGAAGTGTTTTATGAAGGTATCATAGAGGAGTTAAAAAAACAGGCTGAAAGGTCAGCTGACAGGGAAGAACACTTGCAGAAAAGGGTACAAGAACTGAGTTCATTAGAGACTAGGTATGGACAGACATATACCGCCCAGGTCCGCCTTACATACTATCACCTGCTGACATTAGGGGTGTCTAGCAACATTATCCAGGAAGTGGTTCAATCTGTCCTAGACAATCTCACAAAAATCAACATGGACAGTGTCACATTACCTGGACGAACAACAGCACAAAGGCTCAAAATAGAAGCTGGACACTTAGCAACAATTAAAGGCTTAAAAGAGTGGGAAAGGCGAGGAAACAAAGAAGTTGCATACCAGTCAGACCACACGACAAGAGGACAGCTGCACTGGCTGTCACATAAAGTGATCCTAAGACAAGAAGGAGAAGATCAAAAGGACAGGGTTTTTTCATTGGCAATTGCTCCAGTCTGCAATGAGACTGCAGATAAAACTGTACAACATCTGATGGAAACCTTTGAGGAGATGGGAAAGGTGGCAGACACCATAGGAATAGATGGCAGTTTTGTTAATGTCTCTGCCATAAAAACGCACATGAAGGACAGAGCAGTAGTGGAACAGAGAGTGACAAGCCTGCTGGAAGACATGAAGGAGTCCAATTTGGAATCAAGCACAGAATGGAATAATCTAACTGCTGAAGAGAAGGCAAGAAGAAAAAAAATCCACCCCTTCACATGTGCAGCCCATAAGGTGCAAAATACTGCAGAGGCTATGAGTACAGCTGCACAAAAACACCTTAATTATGATACCAACCACTCTAGCCGACATAATATGGTTGGCGGAAAAGCTCACATCTATGCCACAGATAAGTTGATTTGTATGGAATCCAAGAAGGAGTATTGCGAGGGCAAGGAGCTTCGAGGTTTCTCCCTAGCCCACGAAGAACTTGACTCATCTTGCCAAAAAACTTTTTCGGCCCATAGTGGGTAATAGATTTCTTGCATTTTACCACAATGCCATACCTTGTATTGCAGGGAAAGAGTTAATCACATTGTATTTAACAGATAAGAAGATGCAGAAAGGCACATTGAATAGATTAGAACAAGCTGTATATAGCGGATACATGGATCCCAAAGTGGTGTCGGAAGAAAGGGCTTATTCCATTGTATATTATGAGGTTTTATTACCATTGTATGATAAGTCTATTAGAGCCAGCACTCCAATTGCCATGAATGAATACTACCAGGTAGTGTATGACAAGTTGATTGAATGGAGTGATGATGTACAGCCCCTCTTTGAGGGGTCAGATCCATTGTGGGGTGGGGGGCGAGACAAGAACTTAGAAGAACACATGCGGCAGATCCGTCAACCTGATGAGACAGATGCCTTGACAAAGGCTACGTTGCAGGAAATGTGTAAGGCTGGGGCTAAAAAGCTCAAAGATCATGCGCATGAACACATGGCTGGTGGAGTGTATGAAAATCCTACAGAGGATCAAGTGGATGCGGCCAAGTTGATCGGAGATGCAACTAATCTAAGAATCGAGCAGGACTTTGGAATACTGGCACAACAGCAGGTCGTCAGCCCCTCGGCAAATCCGCTCACACATTCATGCATGGTTCGGTGTAAACAAGACAAGCCAGCAAGGTGGCTTGCCAGCCAACCGAGTGAAGATCAAGAAAAACTCTGTGCTACGGCCAGAAAAGGAGCCATTAGGTTAAAAAAAATGTGGGGAACTAAAGAGGAACAACTAAGAAAGATGTATGAGGAGGAGCAACCCAGGAGAACTGAACGAAAGAGGAAACGACAAGCCAGGGAGAAAAGAAAGCAAGACAAGAAAAGACAGATGGTAGAAACACTATCCAAAAGTGGACTTATAACAACGTGTAGTAGAATAAGAAAAATGAAAGGCCCGGAACTTACCCTCCAGCTGCAGCTCTGGGCGGAGTTGCCCAAGCTAGGACTTGAGATCAGAGGCGGGGACAGAATACAAAACATCAGTAAGTTAAAAGTACAAGAAAAAAAACATCTGCTAATACAACTTGCAGAGGAGAATCCCGGTGTAGGTGAGGATGTGGAGGATTACCTCCCCCTCTCGTCTGTACAGGTAGATGAGGACGACATTCCTCTTGCTGTGCTTACAAATGATGATGATGATGATGATATCCCATTAGCAGCTCTAGCTGAGGATTGGTATGACTCAGATGAGTCTGACATGGCTGTGGAATAGTTCAGCCAGTCAGCTGGTAGGAATTCTACAGTTCTATGTAACATTTAGGGGGGAGGGGGGTGCACTAAAGCAGATAGTCATGACTCTTAAATTCTATGTATAATACATAGTAATTTCATGAATTATTGTAACTGTTACCCTTATTGATATACACTGGTCTTCCAGTTTCCTGGTTCCAGATTCTCTTTATTGTAAAAGTTGAATGTACAGTGTTACTACAGGTGTTCAATGGGGGGGGGGTTGAGTAAAGCATATTAGTATACTATATATATATATGATATTCATATAACATCCATTGTAAAATACATCATTAAGCTAATGAATTGTAATTGTTACCCTTCTTGTCATGTACTAGTTCTTCAGTTTTCTGGTTACAGATGCTGTCTTCACTTTGAATATACAGGCTAAAATCATATCCTCCTTGTTCGATGGGGGGGGGGGGCACACACCATTACAGGTGTCCATTTTTGAAGGTCATGTAATGTATATTGTTCAAGTTGGTAATAAATTGACTTAATATGTTTTACAACTTGTTATTTTGTGTTACTGCACAAACGTTATATCATTGTAATGCTGACATAAGTGAATATTTTGGCATTTCTTAGTGTCTTGTGCAATTGCGCAATCAAAGGGGGAGGGGGGCGGCATATGGCATATGAAAGTATTTTCAGCTGCATATTCTGGACTTAAGGAGGCTGGCAGAACCTTGCAAATTTATCAGATGATTGTAGGGGGCAGGTACATTGGCTTCATAAATTATAAGATCACTGAAAGCTTAAATGGCTTGTTGGATATGACTTAAATATGCTACATCATTAACTTTAAGCCACTATGCTGGGAACCTAATTTGCATAAAATTAGCATAAATAGGCCACAAATCTTAATTTTTTTATTGCTGATGGTGATTGAGTCAAAACTCTATCAAATGGCGCAAACCGCACCCTTCTAGGACTTTAAATAAAAAATTCACTTTTTTAGGCTTTGGGATAATTTTAGATTAGCCTTAACTATGGGGTCAATATGCTCTGGGAAGCATGTTTGAGGAGACAATTTTTTGTCTTCCCGATGTCGCAGGCAAGTCAAATTTTCAGGACATACAGAACCCACCACGTTCTGCCTGAAAATCAATAAAAAAGGCTAAATAAGTGTCATAAACAAAAATAAATGCCTACGAAAAATGGTATTTATAGCCAGATTTGTGCATGGGCCTCCCTACTCAGGGTCCAATTTAGAAAATGAAGTGTAAAACTGTAAAGTTCAGTCTGCAAGAAAGACAAAAGCTGTCTAGTGTCCTGCAATTAATGATTACCTATTGAATTGGGTTCCAAGCAGTAGAAAATAAATACAGTACATACATCAGAAGTCAGATAATTTTCTATTTCCATGCTTTCTATACTGACTCTATCAAAATGTTAAACTGCATAATTCAGCTGCGTAATTTTTTTACATCGTATTATTAGACTGCAATGTTGTGTGTCAATTTGCAAATAAACCATTTATAAAAGTTGTGTAAAATAAGATTAAAAACTGTGCATTTCTCAGTTATAAAGCATGCGAAGGCTGTGCAACATCTTTTTTAGATCAAGATGTTCGTGTAACTACCTGTGGCTATGCACTTGTAGATAACCACATACACAGCTTTTGCACAAGTTTTAACCTCATGGCTTTTACGTAGCTTTCAATTGCAATTTACACGTTTTTTGCTCAAGAAATAAATGAGTTAAAACAATGAGTAAATGCGTGGGAAGGGAAGTTAATCAAGATCTGTACTGTTATAGACTGATGTATTTCTTGTTATGTCATGACATTGAGCTACTAAAAGTACAATGTAGTTTAATGAGAAATGTTACACACATGTATTGACTGTTCAGGTGACGTCACTAGAAACCAGACTCTCCCAGAGGACAAACCGGTACAGCGAAGCTCAGAAAGAACTAGACGAGAAATGTGAAGAAGTCGCTACATTGCAGAGAGAGGTTAGTATAATCATGACATCGGTGCCAAATATATCCTGGCAGCCGTCGGGAACCCCGCCAGTCTCCGTCCAGGTCCCGTACGGTAGCGCCAAAAAGCAGACCGAAAACGCGCCGAGCTGGCCCCTTTCTCAAATTGCGACCTAGGCTTAAGATATGAAAAGAGAGGTCAGTTAAAATTTGCTCCTCAAAATGCAAGAAATAGCATTTCACAGGGTCATGATTTCAAATTTTTCCTCCTAAGACTGCTGTGCCTCCGGTATGATGCCTCATGTCTCCAGTACTCAACATGATGTTAACTTATGTGAAATGAAGTTGAGATGGAAAAAATTCAGGCTTTTTAGACTCAATTAACTTCATTGGTTTTTGCTGAGGAATAAACTATGGAGTGTTGGTTATGTGCTGGTTTCTTACAACTCTTATTGACACAGATGTTTGTGTTTTTGCTACGTATACCAAGTACCCATCAATACGTGCACTGCAGTGCCTGTCCTTGGTGCTGAAATGGCAATTCACCAGTGCATAGTGCCTTGGTTTGACAAAATCTACTGAAAATGAAATGCTTTTATTAGTTATTTGTGGTCATTTGTCTTATTACTCCTTCTAGCTGCGTCAGAAGAACTCGCAGATCTCCATGTTGGAAGGACAGCTGGACGAGAAAGTACTGTTCCACAGACATGTCAGACCGCAAACTTTTGTTACCGCGAACATAGAGTACTTTTGTCTAGTGATTTTCAGTACTGCACTTCTGGAAAGACAAATATTTTTGGCAATTTTCAAAACTCCTTCTTCTGGTTCTACATGTAGCTACAACAGTAGAACTCGCAGATCTCCATGTTAGAAAGGCAGCTAGTGCTGGACGAAAAAGTACAGCTCCACAAACATGTCCATTTTTCTCAGATTCCAAACCTTTGCTACTGCAATCATACTAGGATGATTTTCAGTACAACACTGTACAATGTACTTCTGGATAAATATTTTTGGCAATTTTCGAACTCCTCCTTGTTCTAGCTACGACAAAAGAATTCGCAGATCTCCATGTTGGAAAGACAGCTGGACGAGAAAGTATCTTTTATTAGTTCAACAAAGATGTCCATTTTTCTCAGACCGCGAACCTTTGCTACTGTGATTTACAGTGCAACACTGTACATTGTACTTCTGGATAAATATTTTTTAAACTTGTTCTAGCTACGACAGAAGAACTCGCAGATCTCCATGTTGGAACGCCAGCTGGATGAGAAGGTGGAGGCCTTCACGCTGCACGCCACCAAACTGTCGGAGCTGGAGGAGGAACTACGGGAGAAGAGCGCCACGCTCAACAGCCTCCGCGCACAGCTGGAGGAGAAGGACTCGGAGCTGAGCCAGTCCATGGCCTCATCCTCTCGCATGAAGAACCTTCACACGGAGCAGTGTAAGGAACTGGAGGGGCAGATTGAACTGGTAAGTGACTAAGCCACAGCAATTTATTTTTATGGATGACAGCAGTGCGCACATTGATTTTTGCCTGATTTAACAAAAAAAATTGTTGTCCAACGGTGGACATCATGCCGAACATGGGCAAAATGTTGTAAACCTTCATTGGCTCAGAGGTCGTCAACGATCTAGCAAACTTAAGGCACAATTGCTCACGTTTGATGGCAAGTGTTGGCACTTGGCAGTGTAAGGTGTTCCATTGTGTATGACTAATTTTTTGTATAGCTGTTAATTGAGATGTGTACACATCGTACAAGAACAGGTGATACAGGATTAAAGACCTCGGTTGTAATACTTATAGGATGACATTGTTTTTGTCACCTCAGTTCTTGTTTAACAAGGTTTATGATCTCAAAAGTTGAAAAATTAATGTAGGAATCTTGTTTTATTAGCCCCTCTTGTTTTTTGCCTCAGCTCATGGCTACATGTAGTTCTTCCCAAACATTATCTATCACTGTTATTATAGATACGTCAGTAACAAATATTTAATGTTTACATTGTATGTTTTTTTTGTTTTTTTTCCAGCTCCAACAGCGAGTAGAAGAGAAGATGATGTTGTTGCGTGAGTCAGAACTGATGGTGGACTCACTCCGAGGGGAGATGTCCCTGAAAACTGCACAGATAGAGCAGCTACAGGTGTCTTTGGAGGAAAAGTCCAAGGTAACGTATCACTTAGCAAGCTTAAGTTTTAACTAGAAAATAAATTAATGTAAATTTTGCAAGGCCAATGCATATTGTTTACCTTCACATGGTCTACAACTACATGTACTGTTTTGTTTATTCTTTCTCAAAAAATGACCAGCCCCTCTAACTCTGTCCTGCCACTTGCTACATAATGTATCCAACACCATAGGGTGACAACTGTCTGGTCCAGGTCATTGACCTTTAAGATATTTGTTTGGGGTATAAGAAGAAGAAACAGCAAAAACAATATGTTTTCCTTCTGCGAAGGTAAACATGATAAAGATTGAGATTGAACATTATGAACTGATTTTTTTTACCAGCAGAAGAAAATGAATTTCATGTTGTCTAGTACAATTGTACTAGTACCGGTACAATAGCTCAATTGGTAGAGTGCTCGCTTTGTAACCGGGAGGTCGTGAGTTCAAACCCCGGCTGGGTCATACCAAAGACTTTAAAAATGGTACACACTTCTTTCTCTGCTTAGCACTCAGCACATATGAGAAATAGTGTGGGAAGGTCAAACACACAGCACTACCAGCGGACTAGCCCCCTGCTGTAGTGCCTTGCACAACTGTGTGTCGCCCAGGGGCTACAGAAATGGATATGGGCACCACCTTACGCTCTGCATAAGGGCACGGGAGACCTTTCCTTTCCTAGTACATGCTGTCCTTTGAAAACACACATTATCTGCCTGACGTACTAGGAGCTGAACAGGGAAGCGAGACAGAACCAACAGGCACTGAAGTCCCTGGAACAGCAGGCAGCCGACGGGACCTCACGGGTCAGACAGATGGAGACTGCCCTCATGCAGACCAGGGAGGAACTGCAGGCATACGTGACCCAGCTGGAGGACAACAAGAAACAACACGACAGAGAGGTGGCCAAGAAGGAAGAGGAGGTAGGGCCACGTTTTAACCGTCTTATATGGACCTCTTATATGGACATCCTCCACAGATTCCAAATCTAATGTGAGCGGGCAAAAAAAAAACAAGGCAGGTCAAAAAAAACAAGGTTCCTACAATTTAAAAGTTCGATCATTGTACAAATGGTTTTGATTCAATGGGAACATCACATATACACAGCCAGCATCACATATCACTGCATCAAAGTAAGAAACAAAACATTAAATCAGAGCCTTCTCTTGTCTCTTCTCTTCATAGTTATCTGCCATCCACCTTTCCGGCATGGAAACAGGCATCTTTGCCCATTTTCGGCATTGTGACCACTGTCAGAAGGCAACAATTTTTTTTTTTCAAAACCAGGCAAAAATTAATGCGCGTGCTGATGTCATCCATAAAAATTACTTGCTGTGGCCTAAATATGACACTTAACGCTCTACAGTTGAAGAGGCTTCAGAAGCAGCTCCAGCAGAGCAGGAGGGATGTTGAGGAGAGGGCGGGGCACATTGTGGAGCTGGAGAGAACACTGGACCACAGACAGCAGATGTTACAGCAGAGCAGCAGCAGGATAGAGGAGCTAGAGGATGGGCACAGCAACATGGAACAGCAGGTTTGTAGCTGTTAATGGGGAACAGCAATGTTTGTATATTAGTAATAGCAGTGGCACAGCAGTGAGACAGCAGAAGGATAGAGGAGCTGGATGATGACCACAGCAACATGGAACAGCAGGTTTTTAGCTGTTGATGGGGATCAGCAATGTTTGTATATTTAGTGACAGCAGTGTGAAGCAGCAGGATAGAAGAGCTGGAGGATGGACACAGCAATATGGAACAGCAGGTTTGTAGCTGTTGATGGGAACAAGCAGCAATATAAGTGACCTGAAGGATGGGTACAGCAAAATTTGAACAGCAGGCTTGAAGAAATACATGTAGGTGGGGAACAGCAATTTCTATATTACTGACAGGAGTGGGACAACAACAATGTCATGTAAGATCTGCTGGAGGATGGACACAGCAACATGGAACAGCAGCTTTGTAGCAACTGGTGGGGAACAGCAAACTTGCTCTCTTTCCTCCAGTCAGTGGACATAGATTTCTAGCTCTGGGGAACCATTTTAGAAATTCAGGCCAGTCATGGAAACTAGAAAATGCACATTTTGTAGTGGGACTATATCTGCCACTGCCTGTAACAGTTTTTACAAAGTTTGTACAAAATAATTGTTTTTTCCTTAGCTGTCCAAGTTGGAGAGGGATCTACAGAGACAGAAGTCGTCCACAGCAGATGAGATGAGGGACATGGAGGGGAAACTTCACCAGGCATGTCGGGACCTGGAGTCAGGCAGACAGCAAGTCCAGGACCTCACCAACACTATCAGGTACTACCACGGCTGGCAGCCTGTCTATTTTTTTTCACAAAACAAGGCTCATGGGAGCCACTTAAATGTACAGCCAGTAAGAACAAACCTTAGACTTAAAAAGTTTGATACCACAAATAGCTACAATGGTCTATGTCTCCTTTTATTTGGCATATGGAAAGACACTGATGATTATGTTTACATGTATATCGATTTATCTTACTTTAAAGTTTCTCTGTTTAATCTTTTTCTTCTTCTTCTGTGATTGTCATCCATCTTTCTCTTGTCTTTATAATCTATTTGACACTCCTTCTTTTCTGTCTTTATCTTCTGTCTGCCAAGACTAGGAAGATGCCAGACTTTCGAGGTATCTAACTGTGTATATTGAAATTAAAGGTATTAACTGTGTATATTGAAATCAAAAACTTAGTTTAAAAAACTTTAATGGCATCTCTACAGGTATATCTTTACACACAGATTTTTGTCTGTCAAAGATGACGGATTGGGCAGATTTTTTGGTCCATCATGTCACAAAACTCAGAAAGGGCAAAAGACAGACTCTGGATTTGGGTCATACCAAACATGAACTGTTTTATTTTGATTTCTAATAATAATAATTTTAACATAACCGCAATATATTACTATTATATGTATACATGGACCCTAGCACCCCCCCTCCCAGGAATTTCATTGAAGTTCATTTCTCTTCTCCAGACAGCTGCAGGTAGAGCTGAAGCACAGCACAGACCAGATCAGCACGCTGGAGGCACAGCTGGGAGAGACACAGCGCGATGGGGACAGCAAGGACAGGAGGGTCAGCGACCTGGAGGTCAAGGTCAGGGAATCAGAGATGAACTTGGAGAACAAGATGCAGGAAGGTGAGAGAATCACCTCTTTATGATTAATAAAGAAAATCATAATTTTTGTTTAGTTTTCTTGGCCATTTTCAAATTGAAATATCCATCCCAGAAGTTGTGAATGATCAATGATATGAACTGGGTGAATGTGACATTTAAAAAAATTCAGCAAAAGTGCTAAATCCTTTTTTTTTTCGTTTTATTTCAACCTTTATTTTATCCTTTTTCAACCTTTATTTTACACTCTTCAATCTTCACATGCAAGGAAGGAGGTTCAGGGATCTTGTTTATATTATAGTTTTAACAATACATCATAATAATACATGTACATGCAAAGTCAGGAGTCATTGATATAGATTGCTTATTGCTGGCAATAACATTTTAATAGCACATCCTACATTGTATCAGTCTTGAATTTTAAAAATTGCTATGTAAGAAATTAATTTCAGTTAATAATTGTGTCTTCTTTTCCTTGCTCTTTTGTAAGAATTGTTCAGTCTGTAGCATATTTTATTTCAATTTGTTTAATTTGCTTCTTCGCAGTGAGGAGACTAGAGGAACAGCTGGCCCAGACTGAGCTGACATCAGAGGAGAGACTGCAGCAGAGCGGGCGGCTCAGCGAGGCCCTCGAGCAGACACAGGCGGAACTGCACCAGACCATGAACCAGCTGGAGGACCTGGAGAAGGTGCTGAACCAGCAGAGGTCGGAGGTCAAGAAAAAGGACGGGGTGGTCCAGGAGATGAGGAGCTCACTCAAGTAAGTGTGGGGACACATTTTTTTCTACAAAAATAATTTTGCACTAAACCATCAAGGCACCCAAAGTGATTTCAACGCAGTAAAGCTGGATTTTCTGGCAATTCTTTTAATGTCACAGTAGTTGAATGACATTATCACAAATAAAAACCCCTATCCCAAAGGATACTGGATGATGTGAAAAAATGTGATGAGAATATATAACAACAAGCGATAGGCGACAATTCTCCGTGAAGTATTATATATTGCAACAAAAAGAAGTAGCCATTGGCGACAATTCTCTGTGAAGTGTGATAAATCGAACAAAGAAAAATTGTTTAAACGCGCGTCGGCTCAGTCATCTTAAGACGCAACAACCAATCAGAGATGCGAGATGCCGACACGTGACGCGGGATTTGCATACAGTCTAAACAACGGGGAAGGGCGCGCGATGCCCGAAATATTTTTGCGTCAATATTCAGCGTCGTGATTCAAGAGATTAATACCCGGAAACAATTTCTTTTCTTGTTTTGAACGCATTAACATGCATTTACGCTAATCTAGTATGATTCAGGGTTACTTTTTTTAACCTGCCATGGCCAGATTATCTAAAGATGTGTGTATTGTGTGTACAATCTACAGAAAGAGAAATGTACATCAGGTCCGATCATCCGATTTTCACGTTTCGGTTTTTTGGACTCGGTTCATGAACGTATTTTGGTTTGGCTCCTGGAATGTGCGAGAAAAAATGACTCCCGGGACTGTCTACAGGGAACACTCGCACATTCGCGGTGTATCAGGACAGCGCGACTGGTCGGCATTAGCGCAGTCCCTGCAATTAGTAACAGTTGCA